TGGCACCAACCGGATGCGAAGCTTACTTGAACAGAAATGCCGGTTTATAACCTTACGGCCATGTAACAACTGTAGATATGGGGTAAAAAAAATACATTCATAAAAGTACGGTAAATTCTTTCGAATTTCACCAGCAGCGTCTTCCTAAACCCTCATTCAGACCACGTTGACCGCCTACTTTCGAACATGGCTAAATACAATTAATGCTCATAACTTAAAACATGTCATACTGGAGATGTTAAGGATATTCAAGGATCACATTGTACCAGTTTATCTGAGGCCGTATTTAGGGGCGTGGGTGAGGGTAAAATTAAATTCCACCTTCTTCCAAACACTGGTGTTTATATGTAATTTCTTCTACCATATTTTTTTAGCGTTTAAAAAATTAGACAAATAAGAGTACAAACACTCCAAACAATAATTTAAATAAGGAAATTTAATCCCCCTCACCAGAATATAGCTCCTACATACGGCCTTAATAATTATTGAATAACAACACTGTTTGTAAGTTGTACATTATGATGTATTGTTTTCACTGATATGATGGCCAATTTTATTACTACAAAATTAAATTTAAGAGATACTTTATGATCTAGTAATACATTAACCTGATTTGAAAGCGTCGAACTCTACCAGCTAGCTATACGAGGATCCGTATCCTCTTCAGCCAGGAGCAAGATGAAGCAGTCTCGTTCTGATATTTTCCATTTCCATACACTGTAACTTTTTAATATTATATATAATTGAGAAGCGCTTCTACATCAGAAAAGAAAGACTGATCTTGATACACAACACCATTGATGGAATGTCTCCGCTATGCTTGAAGTCTCTGGCTATTAACAGCAACAAAACCCAAGCAAAATCACAGTCTGGTTTTCAGTTTACTTCTCAATGCCTGAGAAGAACCAACACAAAAACACAGCTGTCCTTATATGCACTGAAAGAATCTAAGTACTTTAAATATATATGTATCTTATGTATAATATATACTGGTATTTATATGATGAATAATTTATCCACGGTTCTTCAGTCTCCCTCAACACAGGCCTGCATCCAGCACTGACACAACGTAAAGTAGTCTTGTAATTATTTATATATCACAGTCTCTATCTTGCTGTTGCAGTCTGGAATAGTGTCAACACTTGCTTCCACCCCACATGAAGCCGGTACCGGGGTAAGACGAAGCGGCACGCTGAGGGATCGCTGCCTCACGGCTCCCGGATCGAGTCCTGGCAGGCACCCCAATCGGAGTCGTGGTCGCCATGGTTACCCGGGAGCTGCTCCGTCTCATAGATGACGGTGGTGGTTGGAGCGACTCAGGGTCCTCTTCCGCGAGTGTGCCTCAGGAGGATGTCCGCGTCGTATCCACGGTCTCGGAACCGTCAGGAATGGCGGGATCTTTGCCTCTCAAAGAACGCTTTAACTTGTCGACCAGGCGGTTGTGGAATTTGTTGAGAGAGGACTGGGACCCCGATTTTGGTGGTGACGAGGAGGTGGACTTACTAGGCGACTGCAGACTGGATTGGGAGGCACGCGAAGACGCCCTGGAATACTGGCGAGATGACATCGCCATGGGGATGGAGCGATGTGCTGGTGACCCCACAATGAAATCACTGCCCGGAGAAGTGGACAGGCTGGGTCCCTCCGACTTCGAGCACTCGGAAACCTTACGACTCCTGCAGGACTGCGGGTTCGAACATTCCGAACTGCGACGCGATCTGTTAGACTTGTAGATGTCCCAATCATTCTTCACTACAGGCATCATAAAAGCCATGGTGCAAAATTACGACCAAAACTACACTTGCCACCAAGAAAACCTTCTGCTCACTGACGAGGCGCGCCTTCCCCGCCGTTATTTTATACATTCAACTGCCTACAACTTCCAGCTAGGTCAAATGGATCAAAACCGAGAATCTCATTGGTCGCCGGCTGAAGCGCGGCCCCCTTACTAGTCAATGACGTCACACGAGAACGTAAAACTCACTACATTCCCCCATGATCCGTTGCGCAATAGGCGACAGGCGTGTACTCTACCGACAACAGCTTACACTAAAATATTTGTAGGTGGATGTTTATAATGCAACAAAACAAACCCATGTGTTGCACATGTTGACGCAGTAATAATACAAATTAATTGAAGTGTTATGTGATTTTAATAGATTCAAGCGGCAGTGACAATATGGATCCTGAATAATACAGACCGTAGTCGTTTTCCCATGTACAGCTGTTACGTTTATACACGTTTATACCATTGCTGATAAACAGAGCAAACAAAAATGTTGATTCATAACACTTGGCGTAACATTACGACATCCTTAACTATTAATAACCAGTTGATAATGTGTTCAGCATTTTACTAGATCACGGCTAGTATAATAATTGCGCAGTGTTAAAAGTATAGACCTAGTAATGAGTGTAACACAGGTCTGGCCCCCAGTTTGCGGACTATAAATGGTTTTATTAGGACATGTCACGATTTCTGTTCGTGTTTGTATATTTATTCCTAAACCAATTTATTTATGGGGCTTTAATAATTGTATGTATTATAGAAAGACCGCCTTATTTTATGTTACGACTTTTATTTGACGCCCGAATATCATGTTTGGTGTTTTGTTGCTAAAGGGATCCGGCAATCGAAAAAGTCGGGAAAAACAAAGTCCTGGAGGATCTTTAATGGAAAGTGTCCTGAAATTGAACTACAGCTAAACATGAACCCAGGATGACTAATTGATTCTAGACGTGAAAATTAATTAAGCATTCGTACTCTAGGCCTATAGAGCAAATACTACTTTTCAGTTCTCTATCAAACTGAGTTTCACACATTAGGCAAGAGGTTATTCAGCCACGTGGCTCGATGTATCAAACATAAAATAATATATACAAATCATCCAGACTTACACATCATGATGTGGTGATTATGAAAAGCTAATTAGCTGTCTCTATTTGAAGAACTAGTCATATGTACTTAGTTCTTTTATCTTCATGTGACTAAGAACCGTCACGAGTCATATAGTATGCAACAGAAAGAGCAGCTTTAAGTAAGTAAATGACTCATTTTCTTTTTTTTCTTTGGTACTACAGCCCAGTGGGCCTAGGCCTACCTCCATGAACTTCTCCGTTCACTTCGGTTTTTCTAGATCTTACACATTCGGTAGGACTCCTTGGGCGGGTGATCAGCTCGTCGCAAGGCCTCTACCTGTACACAAATACAGAAAAACGCACGCACACAAACTAAACATCCATGCCCTGAGTGGGATTCGAACCCACGATCCCGGTTTCCAAGCGAGCGAAGACAGTACATGCCCTCATTTTCTTTGCATAATTACTTTCTGCCTTGTTTGCCGCTATGTGGTCTCGATACTGACAGCGTAATGAAGTAATAAATATTAACTTCAACTTTGTGACTTTATTGGCAAGAAAACTGATGCAGATGTACACATTTAGTGTCTTCGAAATCGAACCTATAATTTTCGGCTGTAGTCAACCTCTCCCATTAAATTGTGATTAGATTCAAGAGCTCATATAGAAGTAAGGGAGTTTCAATGCCGTCAAACTAGAAACAGCATGCTATTTATTCATTCTCGATTTATGTAACGACTCTTTCAGTGACTCTAATTGTATTGCGTCGAATTATACGATGATTAGTAAATAAATAATTGGGAAAGGATGTGGAAAAGTGATAGTTTAAGGTTTACTGCCCATGATGGATATCTTAATTGATGTTTATGTGACACTACATAAACATCAATCGAGATATCCGATTTCTGGGCCGAGATTTGAACCTGGGACTTCCCGGACACAAAGCAAAAATTCTTACCTTGGATCTGAATTAGCATTGGAAATGAGGTAATAACACTCATTTTTATTTGTGTAAGAATCTTTGACGATACTCAAGCCTATTCAGAGTTTTACGTTATTTCTGTAGTGTCTGTGCTGTATGCATAGAGAATGTGATTTTCCTGTTAAATATAAATAGGTCTCATTTTATTCTTTTGAATAATCTAATTAAAGTTACGGAAAGGCGTTTAAATACTGGATACAACTCCTACATAGCTACAAATATACGAATGTGAGCAATGGTGTAGCTCTTTAAGAATATGATAGAACTCTATTTAAGAATTTGCAGAGAATTAAATTGTGTACAGAATTGGCATCTGATTACTAACTATCAAGAAATTGCAGTATTATCAGTATTTTATTTCGCTTATATGCAGCAGAAAGACGATGCACCAAAGAAATACGATTACCGCTTAAAATCATGTACGAAAATTATCACCCGAATTCTGAAAACATGGCCGAACGTTGTATGACCTATTTATTCTTGTGCTTTGTAAGTATAAATACGTGTATATGTGACCAATCATCAATAAAATATAACAGTTCGTAATGAAGCTAGGAGAACAATAAATTATGCGTATGCTTATTATTCAGTTCAGAAGCTGCTATTCATCTGCCTATCAACTAAACGGAAACACAAACACAAGGAAGGAAAAAATTACAGGATCACTGATGTTAGGCTTTCGTAAAGGTTCCCTGCTGGTGTTGATTCAGCTCTTGGATCCTTGCATCATGCGGATGTGGGAATTGTTTCCGAAGTCGAAGCTGATGATGGAAGTAGTATGTACTTCCGAAACGTCGACAACATTGCCCACACCCACGCGGTATAAAAGGTCAACAAGCTGAATAAACATCAATTGAATGGTTTATATGGAAGATAATACGATAACAGCGCCAACAGTGACCGTTTCTGAGAACGAGGTTATGCATTATATCTTTGCCATTCGCCACAAATTGTTTGTCAAGAGGTAACTTGAAATAAATGTCCTATTGCTGAGGGAGGAAAGCTAAATACTAAATATTCCACATAAATGATGATGATGATAGCTCTAAAGAACAAATTTATACATTTTACATTTGTGTGTGTTAGTAGAGTCTGCCACTGCTTAGAGAAATTAGTTCTCATTGGTATGCCTGTTTATCGAGTTTGGTTTGGTATTTCGAATTATTCAACATGCTACTAACTTGTGATCGTTGTGATAGGGACAAAACAGCGGTAAATGCGGTTGTGAGGGTTATGAGTTTCGCGAAACTGTGTTTTGTGGAGTGATGGTTCTTAAGTACTGCGAGGTGTTAGATGATAGTAGATTGTTCGTTAAAAAGAGTTAACCATGTTTTTATTCTGTTGCTGTATGTAACTGTATTGGAAGGTAGACTTCGATGTGCTGTTACGCTGTTGGGTCATGTAAATATTGGGAGTTAGTTTGTTATTGAAAACACAATTTCTCAGCAAATCTGGATGAAAAGAAGGAAGTAATGATCGCTGCCTCCGAACTCCAGGTAATACTAATGGGAAAAATGCCGTATCATGGGTTCACTCTTGTTCCTTCTCGCCTTACCACACACTAAACATAACGTCCGAACTAACTAGGGTGCTGCAGTACAGGTTTATGCATATTTCAACCCACGAAAAAGCGTATTTTGTTTCATCCTTGGATTTTCGTAATGTAACCCATAACAGATTTTGCCAGAATTTGTTTATTGTGAGAATTATCAGGATGTGTGATTTTAATATATTGCCCAGTGTACGATTATACGAGTATTTCACAGTTTATATAGTGTGTAGTTCAAAATAGAATGTATTTGTATAGATGAGCAGATGAGTATAAATAATTTGCTAATAACCATGTAGGAGTTTGTGCCGTGTGGCCGGCAGCAAATAAAACAGCATCCCGGTGAGGTGGTGTTGCCAACTACACAACCACAGCTACATCCAGAATCATTCCTCCTTCATCGTCTAAGTCAAGTGGCCATATCAGACACTTCCAAGGTATACATTATTGAATTCCCGCATATTCTCTATATTATTCTTCACAGTGTGGAAATGAAGTATATTGACATCTCTGATGCCTGTTTTGAATTCTGTAGTTTGTAGTTCTGATTTCCTCCTGATTATAGTTTGCCCAATTATTGATATATGTGATGTTGTAGTGGAGCTTTTTTGCAGGAATCAGAGTGGTGGCATATCTGTGCTAGTAAGAAGGGTGATCTTCAGTGTGAGGAGGAGTTGTATGTAAAGGGGAAGACAGCAGTCTGGAGTCGGGGGGTTGATGGCAGTCGAGTGGTGATCTGTTGCTACACATGTGAGACACCTGTCAGAAATGCTCTATGGTGCACATTCCATACTGCTGCATCAGACAAACCTGTTCTCGAATCTCATGGGTCCATATCCACAGAGGAACCTAAAGGTACCATGGAACCGAATCCAGACAATTTGTTTCCAGAAACATCAGCTTTATTCCTTTGGAGTGCAATGTTGAGTGTCGCTTGCTGTACTAGCAGAACACTGCAGTGTGTGATGTTGAGGCCAACCTTGCTTCAGCTTCAAATTAAAATGGATGACAGTGTAGAACATTGTGTATAAATGACAGAACCAGTCAAAACATGGGTGCTTTTAGAAACTCAACAAAATAAATCTTACTGTAAAATAATTATCATTTTATCACATCTACAACTGTTTACAAGCCCAGAGAACTGTGGCATCCATCTTCAGTGTAGGCCTTTGGATGGGCACTTTGTTCAGAAACGAAGTACACTCAACTCTTGATTATCTGGGATAATGGTGGGGATGGAAATCACGATCAATTGAAAACCCGGTTAAGACAAATTTTATTAAAAGTAGTACTGTAATACTGTGCCTTCATAATACTATAGGCCTACCTGTATTTAAATTTATTCAACCTCATTTTTATGTCATCTCATGGCCTATTTAATACTTTTTTTACATTACACTGAAGTATGAATTAGTTATTTCAATCACAGTGTTCATCAACATCCAACACTTTTTACGAATATTCACACTTAACACTTAAAAAAATTTAATATTGTTGTTTGGTTTTTGTGGCATTTTCCTTTTTACGGATATCTGTATGAAGCCTATGTAATATTAGCTTGTCACTTAATAAACTGTTCTCTTCACTCTCAAGGTAGTATAGTAAGGATTCCAAATGATTAATAGCAGCACCGTGTGATATTTTCTTACTAGCAGCACTGTCCACCTCTTCCTCATTCTCACTTTCTTCCCGCTCTTCTAGCTGCACCCCCACTGAACTTACGATTTCATCACTGCTTAACATTTTGAAGCCCGGCTCACACGAGTTGCAGTCAAACCACTCTCTTATATTTTCCTCATTGACTTCTTCACCACCATGAACTTGGTTAGCCAGTTTTGTCAATTCTATGGCTATCTCATTTTCACTGAATCCAGTGAATCCATGGATTTTGTCATTTTCATTAGTGATGAAAGGCATCAGTTTCTTCCATGAATTTTTTCAATTCAGATGGCTTCACTGTATCCCATGCTGTTGAAATCTCGTATATGGCATCTAACATTGAAAAAGACTTCCAGAAACACGTCAGATCATTGCCTTCATTGATGTACTTTTGTAGCAAATTTGATATGTAGATTCTCTTCATACTTGAGATAACTCCTTGATCCATTGGTTGGATAAGTGCGGTAACATTAGGAGGAGAATATTTCAGAAAAATATTTCCATCATCTGACCTCAGGAGACTTTCATTAGGATGTGAGGATGCATTGTCAATGAGGAGCACAGCTATCTCAGGTAGGCCTTGGGATTTTAGATGGTCACAAACTTGAGGCACAAATTTAAAATCAAACCATTCTTTAAATATCACTCTATTCATCCAAGTTCCTTTCTGATTAAAATAATGGATAGGCAGACTTGAAGCTACTGTTCCTTTAAAAGAGCGTGGTCTTTTCGCTTTGCCGATAACTACTCGTGTTAGTTTGTGTTCCTGTTGCATTAGAACAGCACAAGGCTGTCAATCTCTCCTTACTGGATTTGTGACCTGGAGCCTGTCTTTCATTTTGAAATGCCAAAGTTCTGGTTGGCAAGCATTTCCAACAAAGACCTGTTTCATCGTCATTATAGATTTGTTCTGACAGCAGATTTTTCACTTTTCACGAAACTATCAAAATTGGTGCAAAATTGAACTGAAGATGACAAGTCCCCTGACAAATTCTCACCTTGAATACTAATTTCTCGTATTCCATGACACTGCCTGAAATGTGTTAGCCAACCAGAAGAAGCATCAAAACTTCCTTGTAGTTCAAGTGCTTCGGAAAAAAATTTTTGCTTGTTTAGCAAAAACTGCTCCTGTTATTGTTGTTCCCTGTGCCCTTAGTTGATTGAACCAGATCAGCATTGCTTTGTCGAGATCATCATATGTTGATTTTTTCATGGTTTTTCTCTTTTTCATTCTGCTTGAATTAGAAGACGAAGCAAAGGAAATTAATTGATTCTTTTGTTTTTTCAAATCACAAACAGTTTGTTCTCCAATACCATATCGCATTGCTAATTGTTTAACTACACCTCTTTTCCCCAGCTGATTGATAATTTCAAGTTTCTGTTGAATACTTAACACAACACACTTCCTTTTACACTCTGACATTTTGCTAACGCACTTGGTGTGGTGTATCTGTCCTTGAAACTTTCCACAAATCCTTGCATTTTTTTTTTTGCTAGTGGGGTGGGACTAAGTCCCTTGTACTGCAGCCACTTCTGGCCTATTGTACCAGCCCCAGATGATAGGTGAGGGTGATTGTGGAGCAGTTGGTGGAATGAAGATTGGCAAGGGAAACCAAAGTACTCGGAGAAAACCTGCCCCAGTGCCACTTTGTCCACCACAAAGCCCACTTGCCCAATACCGGGATCGATCCCAGGCCACCACGGTGGGAAGCCAGCAACTAACTGCTTGAGCTATGGCATGGAGCAATCCTTGCATTCTTTCACCCCTACCCTAGTACATTGTGTTAGCATAACGGGACCAAAAAATGCAGAGCTTGGTTCACACTAGTGCGAAAATAGTGTTACAACTCACCATGTGAAACAAAAGTGAATGAATATTAAACAACATATAAGCCCCAAAAAAGCACTGGTAGCCCCGGTTAAGCAGCAAACCGGTTTATACGACCCCAGATAATCAAGAGTTGAGTATTCAAGGGATTAATTCTTACACTGCCAAGCCACCATTTTGGGTCGTCAAAGCTGCTGTCTTTCATCGGCAAATATTGTGTGAAAACCCCTGAAGAAGGCAAGCTGGAAGGAAAAGATTCGCTCCATATGTTTCTTTGTAGTTCAGATAAAAGGTCATCATATTTCATATACTGTCATATATATATACATATATACATATATATATATATATATATATGTATATACTAGTTTTATAAAGGTAAAAATTTTGTACACTTGCAGGGTTAACATACAGGCTTTATATTTGACACACGGGAAACTCTGTCCCATGTGACAGTGAGTGGTCAGTGCCAAAATCAGCTAGAAATTGTGAATGTCTTGAAATATACATACACAATACAAATTTCAGTGCAGCTTCCCAGGTTATTGGTTGAATCACCATTTGGTCCACGCTTTCATCTAAATTCAGTGACATGTTTCAGCCACAGAGGGCCATAGTCATATATATATGATGATTCATGTGAAGTGTTACACTGTATTATATTATTATATAGCCCAAGAGGGCTGTAAACCTAAGAAGTTTTTTGCTTACACCAATTTTTGTGCCTGTTAAAATTTAATATATAAGATGTTTCTAAAAAGCTTTTAAAATGATGTAAAATTGTTTTGCTTTCTGTTTTTTGTAGAGATGTGTATGTATTTCATGGATGCCTGCTTATATGGTTATATGTGTTCTGCTTGTTTCTGTGTATGTCCAAACTTGTATACAATTAATGTAACACATGTGAGAAGACCATTAAGTCTGATACTTGTAATTTTCAGGCACTCCCATGTCATGTGTCTGTATAGTTGACTCACATAATCTGAAAGTATATACCAGTGAGGGTGGAGATTATGTTTCATCTTTGCAGTTCCAGGTAATCAGGGTGTTTTAGTGCTTAATATAAGATAGGAATTTCAATGACAAGACTGAAGTACATACTAAATATATTTCTGTGCAGTGTGAATGATTTTGTTGAATGATCTTTTATATGTTATAAGGGATGGATGGAATGTTATCTATAATTTATAATTGTACAACCAAATAATTGTTCAAATGTTCTCATATTCAACGAAATACAGTACAACTTAAATACTGAGTATCACTATATAGCCTGTGACAATATGTCTAATATAGTAACAGCTTCAATGCTGACTCGTATTCTCAAAACGTGATGAATGGGGTGTTTTCTCAGACAAAATTTAGGCACAAGATGAGAGCATAATTTGTGTCAGCATTATAATATTCTAGGCATTGTGAAGTGATTTGTTAAACTTCCACACATGTATGTGGTATGTCCATCAGTCACCATCTTTTTTTTTATTAATTTATGTTTATTGAAATATTACTTTGTTAAATGTTTTGGACATTTAGACCATCATAAGGCATTTCATAAACAGTAATATGTGCCACTGTTCATTATTGAAATGCTTGCACCATGGATCCATTGCTGCTGGTCTTACCATGTAAAGTACAAAACAGTACATATAAATACATATACATACAAATTATATAGAGTAAAAAGGTCATGGAGGCCCATAGTGTTGTGAGATGTTGAGGGTCCCACATTATCGAGACAGTTGGCCCACAGATGGCGGTAAGGTTGTCAGCCTTATGCACTGGCCGACCTTTACCCCCCAGGAATATTCCTGGTATTCATTTCTGTTAGAGCCTGAGTCGACCCCAGGGTTACAGTGCGGCTGGAAGAATTAGCTCAATTGAAAAAATGCACTTCACCGGGACTTGAACCTGCGACCTTCCAGCTTGTAGCATAGTGCCTTAACCAACTATTCTACCACGTGCTCCCGATACATATAGAGTACAGCGTTTAAATGTATTAAAATTATTTATCAATAATTAGTAAAATTCTTAAAGTACTATTTTTTTTTGTTAAAATTGTTTTGTTTTATATAGAATTTGGGAGGGGGATGGAAAGTATACAATAAGTTTTAAATTTTCTTTTTATTATTGTTATTAACATAGGTGTACCTTGTTGTCATGGTCACTTGTATGTTTCTACTGGATAAGAAAGGCTATTTTGTAGATAGGGGTGTTTTTGCATTGTTATGGATATGTGCCTGTTATCTTGCTGGGCAGTATTATTTTGATATTGTGTGGCTGGTTCTTTGATTATGTTCTTGTTTTGTTGGTTTTTATCATAATGTTGGTTTTTCAGTGTTGTTTATTGATTTCCTTGTTTGGGTCTGATTTTCTCCTTCTCCTGTTGTGTAGTGTTGTTGAGGATGAGTTCATCCTCCAGGCATTTGCTAGGATACTGCCTTAAATTAGTCTGTAACAACTTCCATATCATACCCAATACATTATTCGCTATCATCCAATCATTTTTGACACTCTGTAGTCTGAATTACTGACAGCACTGTTAAATAAACTACAAATAAATGCCTCATAACCCAGGAAATCACAGCATGAAGCATAACATGGTTCATCTGAGGCTTTTAAATATATCTGTGCAGGTGGGCAATGTGTGGAGCACCAAGTTTGGCATCATGTTTGAGCGAGACATGGAAAGAATGCAAAAGGTTACCAGCAGCTCTGTGTCTGAAATGCACAGTACTGTCGGAAATTTCCCACAGCTGCCCACTGTTTTTGCATTACTTCATCCATTGGATGAAGTTTCCCCAGTGCTGGCCAAGCATGGTAAGTGTGGCGTGTGAAACTGATGTTTTCTTCTTATGTGCAGGCAGTTTTCATCATAAGGCATAGAGTTAATTTGTGCCTATAGAGCTGAGTAAGAAAGCCTGGTTTATACAGCTCACCTACGAGTACATCTCAATGATCTTGAAATCAAAGAAATCTGCAGTCCTCTGTTTACCCAGGGGTAAAGCAGCTGGGGCGTGAAGCTAACCACTCCCCTCCAGATAGTGCTGAGGTCAAGACAAAATGGATCTATACATCCACTTCCCCATATGCCTTCATGGCATAGTGCTTAAGTAGTTAAGCACAGAGACAACTTCACCTTTCTTTCCTTTATAATTTTGAGAGAAGCCCATGACATAAGTAAGACACTGATAGTATTCCTACATTCTCACAATGTATCTGTCACTAGGAGATTATAATAAGTCTTGGATGTAATTTATGGTTGTTTACCTTATCACATATTGTTTTTGTTTGAAAATTAAATTTCAGGAGGATTGTCCTACATGTCAGACCCATGCCAAAAGATTGTCTTCACCAGTGAGGAACCTTCTATATGTATGCTGTATGACACCAGAACAGGCCTTCACAGTGTCTGGAAGGTTCGCAAGGCACTACCTGAGGTATGTGCATATCAAGTAACCTAAGAATGAGATTTACTGTTTGTCTTGGCAAAATATTATGACATGAGAGAGAAATAATGTTTTATTAGGCTGCTATGCATCATTATCTTCAAGGAACTAAAAAAGTGTTAATTTTCATGGTTTTTGAGGGTGTTTGAGAACAGGGTGTTGAGGAGAATAGTTAGACTGAAGAGAGATGAAGTGATGGGAGGTTGGAGAAAACTGCATAATGAGGAGCTTCATAACTTGTACATTTCACCAAGTATAATTAGAATGATCAAGTCAAGCAGAATGAGATGGGCATGTAGCATGAATGGAGCAAAGAGGTATGAATCTAGGATATCGGTGGGAAAGCCAGAAGGAAAGAGACCATTAGGAAGACCAAGATATAGGTTGCTGAACAATATTAAAATGGATCTTAGAGAGAAATAGGATGGGATGGGATGGATTGGATTGATCTAGCTCAGGATAGGGACCAGTGGAGGGCTCTTGTAAACACAGTAATTAACCTTCAGGTTCCAGAAAATGCTGGGAAGTTCTTAAGTAGCTGCACAATTGGTGGCTTCTCAAGAAGGACTCATCTTTATGAGTAAGTGAGTGAGTGAGGTTTGTATTTCTACTTTTTTACTTTGTTTGAATCATTATTTTTATTTTTTCAGAATTTTCTATTTGCAGTTCTCTTTCAAATTAGGATTCCATTTCTTTCTTGAATGTTTCCTTGCAACAGCTATATGAAACACAGACTGTTGAAAGACTGTAGATATCAGCCAAGACAGAAAACAGAAGTTGTGGAAGAATTTGCAATATTTTGGACTTGTATATGGCAGAATTTATATGGGAAGTAACTTTAATGACCAGTGCCAGTTAGACCATTTTGGAAGATACTACTAAATGCGGGCTTGTTGAAATTTTATGTCTTGTTTTGATTCTTTCACGTAGAAAATATTCCTCGTTTCATTTCTTGTAAAGAATATTTTTAAGAACCAGAAAATCAGTGGTGACAAGATAAACTTTACTATACTAAATTTCATTATGTCACTTTTTTTAAACTAATGACATATTTTCTAGTAAAGAAACTGAGGTTGAACACAGCTAATATCAGAACCGAGCATTAGGCACAATGCTAAACCAATTCTGGCCTAACTTTCCCACAGCCAGTTTTTTTAAAATCCTAATAAATGTATATCCTCTCATCTCCTTGGTCTTCCAAGTGGTCATTTTCTAAGAGAATCCCCACCAATCTCCAACATTTCTGTAATGGTCAGTTCCTTCATACTTCATAAAATTCTCTACTCTGAATTTTTAATAATGTTCTAGTGAAATTAATACTCTCCTAATATTTAACATACAGAAATTGGGTATCTATAATGCATAGAATACAAATTTTGTTCATTTGTATGCATACTTCAGTGACTGTTACCCAGCTAAACATAAACTCTGGTTATCTCACCCTGGTGACATCAACCAAAGACAACCTGAACACTGGGCTACTGCTTGACCTATGAAGGGCTATTTCTAGAGGTGTCTTACCATTTTGATCAAGAAGGTTAGTGTAGTGGTAACACTGTAGACTTGTATTCAAGGAGGTGCTTGGTTCGAATCTTGACCAAATTTTTCATGGTTTTCTTCAGTCCACCCAGGCAAATGCCAGATTAGTGCCTCTATTAGCCCTCTGCTGCTTCATTCCAAACCCTTTCCAATTCATTAGTCATCTTACCATTCACTGTTATACAGTCTAGGTACTGACACCATTGTGAAATAAGTCATGCAAATTTATGATTTTCCTTTCAGTTGGTTATAACATACCATTCACTTTGTGATTATGTGAGGTATGTTTTTATGGTTTTGGTATGTAATACATGCTGTCGGTGGCACAGTGTCTAAGTGACTGCTGAAACATAAATATGTGGACTTTCTAAAATGTTTATGAAAAATATGTTTTCGTGAATTTAGAAACTAGCACATGTAAATTGGTATTAATATCTATTTTTTAAGACAAGTTTACTTGCCACAAGTACTCAGACAGTTACTGGATCTGTTGTGCAACCCTTGTTAGAGGCTTTTACAAAGAGCCCTGACTGTAACCCCAGAACCATTCTGATTGATGACTTCCTGGCACCCACTGTCTGTAACCACACAGACCTGAAGATCATTATTCTATGCCTAGCTGAAGCTGGGCATTCACGAATTACATCTTAGAAGGATTCCTCCTCCTGCCAACTTTTCCTGCATAGGCTATTTCATTTGGTAAACTAAAGACTGCCTTTCAGTATTACTGTCTTCAGGGGCATGATACCATGCAGTGTTGTGTCTTCAAGGTAGGTCTACTCTGAAGATCAGACTGCAAAGCATTGCATCCCAGAAGACAGTAAACTTCACAGTTGCTTCTGTGAGAATCTCAGATCTCTCCATGATTGGTTTGGATAAAAGTGATAGATTTGAGCCCAATGTAAGGTGTTGATTTGTTGCAGGAAGCTTAAAACTTGGGTCATTTTCAGTTACAAGTGTGCTGAACATATGTACGAATCAAGTGATATTTAATGTTTTTTGTTATGTTTGTCAGTCACGCTCTTTAAAATGCTTTCACCAATTTTGTTTGTAAGTAATTTGAAAATGGATTAATATGTTGACAGGAGTGTCAGGCCATATGTAGCTGTGTGGAGAGTTCATTGAACCATTCATCTGCTTCAATAGTAGCAATTGGCAGTAGCAGTAGCAGCATGAAGACACATTCTGTATTTGCCGGCACAACCACAGATGGCAACAGGAGCAGCTTTACTTCATCACCCCAAATGTCCCGTTCACACAGTCCCATGGCTGCCATCAGGTAGGTGTTTCATGCAGCATGACTGCTGAATAGACAGACATCTGCCTGTGCGTGAATTGTTAACTGGCATGGATTAATTGATAGAAGTCATAGTCTCATTCAATTGTAAATTATATAGTAGGATGAGGAGCTGGAATAGCTCAGTTATCATAGTGACTAGGCTATGGACTGGACAACTGATGAATTGGAATTTGATTCGCAGCAGAGACAAGAGATTTCTCACTTCTCCACAGTGTCCAGACTAGTTCTGGGGCTTTCCAATCTTATCCCTTGGGTGCAAGGGTTTTTTTTTCCTCAAGGTAAATGGCTAGGGAATGAAAGTGGCCACTCTAAACATGTGTCCATGGCAATGAATTAACACATAATAGTAGAGGAAGTGCCTGAAGCTGTCTCTTGTATGTGGTCCATGCTGCGATTTTATAACGAATACCAGTGAGATGAGTGAGTCAACAGCCAGTCTTGAGTCATGGTGTTAGCAGTTGGTCATGGGCACAGAAGCTGAAGACTCTGTTGTTAGATGCTGCTACCTAGCAATGACTAGTTAAGAGATAAACTTTAAAAAGACTGTGTGTTCTGTAGTGATTTGTAGATTGTGTAAATTTATGAAAGTGTTACAATCATTTGTAGTTACAAGTAGTTAGTGTTCAATAAACTGGGACTAACAGAAGACCGCACTTGTGAACGCTGCCTGGAGAAAGATGAATGAGCCACACACATCCTGTGTGATTGTGAGGCTATAGCTTAGTTAAGATTTTTTCACCTGGGCCAGTTTTTTATGGAGCCAAGTGACTATTATGATGTCCCCCATAAAGAAAGTGCTACATTTCATTTTAAGTGTAGGATTGATAAAGGGTTAACCAAAAAAGGGAAGCATAATAGATCATTGAAGGTTACAGTGCAAGGGCTGGATTATTATGGCCCACCCCTAACACATTCATTCATTCAAATGTTGAATAATTCACATTATCAGTACACACCCTATGTCTAGTGACTAACACGTGATAACATGTGTGTGCGAACGTAACTGGTGTAAAACATCCAGAGTTGAGATTGTTTTGGAGACATACATGTATGTGGTAAAAACATTATTAACCTTTATCATCTAGGAATAGGGTTTTAAATATTCTGGCTCTACAGGATTGAGGTCATGTTTTAAGTTAGGGATACCAGTCTGTCATCAAGGAAAAGTGGTTTTTGAATCTCCTGTTCTACATATCTGGTAGCCATATTTTAACTCTGGGTAACTGTGTTAATAGCCTAGGTCTGGTCATATGGGATTTGTGGTGGACAAAGTGGCACTAGGGCAGGTTTTCTTTGAGTACTTTGGTTTCTCCTACCAATCTTCATTCCACCAATTGCTCCAATCACCATCATCTAACATCTACGTCTGGTGCTAGTACAATAGGCCAATAGTGGCCGCAGAACCAAGCGGACTCAGTCTCACCCTACTAAGAATAATAATTTTAAAAAACCATATTAATATTAAAAAATGCAATGCTTAGTCAGCTGGGCTGTGTGATGCACAAGGGCAAATGAAGTTTAAAATACATCTTAGAGAACTGGTATGTTAAGATGTGTACCATCTTGAATTATCTCAGAGCAGAATGTCCTGCATCCTCTAAGAACAATTTCTTAGTGAGCTGCATGTAAGGAAATCCCAATTTAATGTTCCTCAGGTTAAGGTTTTTCCCTGTTTAAAGTTCAGTTTCAGAGATCCCAAGTCATTTTCAGTGTTAAAATTGTCTCCATTTATGAATATCTACAGTTGAGCGCTAAAAGCCATTTCTCACAAAAGAAACATTAAATGAGGGTTACTAGCTGGTTCAGTGACTGTGATTGACCCATTTTGTCGGACCCAACTGAGTACATACTTGAGGATGGAAGCAGATTCAGCTTCCAAAACATTTTCTGGTTTAGAATATTGAATGATGGACAAAGTCCTGAAAGGGAGTAATTCTGAGTGTTGTTGACCATTGTCAGAACCTTCTGAGTTCTCCCATTGGTTGAGGAGGAATGGAAACATACCCACATTCATGTAGTGGTTGGCCGTACTAAGTGATACCAACCCTTACAAAAATGAGGCAACTTTTTTATTTTATTGCATGAAGTTACAATTGTGATTGTTTTATGTTTCAGCCGATGCCAGTCCTCGAGTGCATCTGCTAGCAACTTGACACGCCTCACTCTCACGCCATCTCCTCGTGGCTGGCAGTCATCGCGCCACAATCACATATCCTCATGGTCTCCAGGTTCTGGGACTCCGCCTCCTGATTCAAGGATGATGACAAGTATGACCGTGGTTGATAACGTGGCGGATGCAAAGCCTGTTTTTCCTGAGTTGTGTCTAGAACACATTTGGACTGAGAACCTTGGTGTCCCTCGGTGAGATTGGTACACTTGTATGTTTAAGGCTCCTTTTTTATGTGTTAGTAGAGTTTCTCAACTAGTGAGCCATGATATGAATTAAATGTGCTGTTTCATATCCAAGTAACCTTGCCAAATTTTGAGAAATCTGAGAAGGTTGAGCTGTAAATTGTGCTTCTATGTGTTCATCTGGCACGGAAATATTCTGTGGATGTAAAATTCTTCCTTTTGTAGGGATGTGTCTTATGGACCCAGCAATAGAGTGTTCCTGAGTTCAGATCTAGTGGGACAAACGTACTTATGTTACCTGGTTCCTTCACTTAGCCAGCTGTTCTGCACAAGACTTGAGAAAGTTAACAGTGAGCAGAAACTTGTCTTTGGAGTAGTAAACAACATCACTGCCAAGGATGCAGCCCCCCTTCCAGTTAGTGGTTGTTTTATTTATGTAGCTGTTGATCTGTTTTGACTAACATCATTACTTTCATTAACATGTACAAGTTTTATTTGAAATATTTTTCAGTATGGTGTACATCTAATGAAATACAAGGAAAAAATAATTTATGTGTCTGTGCAGTTTAATATCTGTACTGTTCATTAGCTTTGTTAGAAGTAGAATGTGTGTGCGTGGAATGTGTTATCTGTGCTGTTGATTCATTTTCAGACAGTAGACCTGTACTGTGATTAATGAACATCAATATCAGTAAGGTATGGAAAATTTCAAAGATTTCATGTGTACAATACAGTGGAGCCCATATTTAATATTCCTTGATTTAGGGTTTTCCATCATTTGATGTTCATTTTCAGTGCTCAGTCCACAGTCAACAGTCTCAGTGATAAATTACCTTAATTTAAGATTATCCTCAGTTTAATGCCCAAATCCACTGCTCTTCAAAGGAACCTTAAATATTTTGTTGTATTCTGAAGCAACTAACATTTTTCCTCCGAATTTCACACTCACCAGTAGTTAACAGTTTACAGAATTGTGAGTTTGGAACATTAATGACTCTTGAAGATGACAGACTGCAGAATAATTTTCAGCACTTTCAGAATGATTTTTTTTTAATAATAGATGTCTTTCTTTCATCTCAAAATTGATTTATCTACTCGCAACTTTTTCTCTGTGTTTACACGTTGCAGCAACTGAACATGATCGTGGCAGTGGATTTGACTGGAGGCATTGTGCTGTACTCGGGGATGAATCTGGTTGGCAAAGTTCATGTAGCTGGGATACCATCTGCTCTCACAACATCTTCATATCTGTCGCTCAACCTTGGCTCACAATTTGCTACACCATTTCCCAGGTATGTGAACATGATGACATTGCAGTTATTTTTGGCATTATCCAGTGTTTAAGGCATATTGAATACATGTGGCTTTTCAGGAGTTATCCCTGTTCTTATCATCTGATAAAAAAGGGTAAAGTTGTCCCGGTGAATACTAATTAAGCACTATGACATGATGATGTATGGGGAAGTGGATGTACAAATCCAAATTTTCTTGATCTCGGCACTAGCTGGAGGTGAGTGGTCAGCTTCACGCCCCGGCCGCTTTACCCCCGGGAAAAGAGGGTCTGGACACTCGCAGCTAAGAAGGGAACACACATCACAAGACATGGTTTACACAGAAAATAAGAAAACGACCCCATAGTGAATGAACCACATGCAAGTTTTAATTAAGACACATAAGATGAATAATCTTAACAAGTTTTAGTGAGTGTAAATTTATTATAGTTGACAAATATGCACTTTTTAAATACTTTTTAAATGGTGTTATGAAGACATATGAGGGCAAGCAGTGCAATAGATTAACGTAATTAGGGCACCTGATGATGGCACTATGTTGCCGAAACATGTTGTGAAGTAACAGGTGAAATTGAGTGCACTACAAGACGGCCACTGTGTACATATCATGGATATTTATGGGTATTTTCAAAGTTAAATCAAAATGTAAATCATGATGTGTAGTGTCATATCTCTAAAAAGATGGTGCTAGTCACACGAATGCTACAGCAACCTTGCCAAATGGCAGGACAGTCAAAATGGTGGTGAAATGGCGTGTTTACATTTTTTGGACCCTAACACTTTAGCTGTAAACAGAAATGCATATGAAGGTCTTTATGTTAAACTTACATTATTGTTCTTTGATTTTAACCAAAGTTGATGGTGCTAACAAATGGTAATAGAAGTCCACAATACAAAATTTAATGAAAATTTATTCAGTAGTTCTCGAGTGTTTACATATGGACAGACACAGTGGACAAAAGGGTAGACAAACATGGTGATGTTGATATGATCACATGTGAACATACCAAATGCTAATATCAGTTGACACAACTTTAAATAACTTGTCAGTCACATTCATGGTGGTACCCCCATTTAATATTTTCTTGACTTAAGGTTTTCTTTCATATAATTTTAATTTCAGTAAATGAGATCTAGAAGTTGGTTTGGAAATGGGGACTAGCTCTATCAATACCACCTGAAGACTGAATCCAGTCTCAACCATTATGTGTTTTAAGTAAAAACATGGGAATTGATAATGTCCAGAAACACAAAAATTGTTTAATTTCACTGATCACAAGTCAGTAATCTCAGTGTTAAAATTAGATTTTACCCCCTTTTAAGATTTTTCCCATTTAGTGTTAAATAAATGTGCTCCCCAGAAGAACCTTTGGCACTTTCACTGTACTCTGTTTAGGAGGAGCAGCCTGTTACCCACGAGTCGATCCACTTCAGCCATGGATCCCCGATTTGATGATGAAGTGTGTCTGTTGTCACCTGTTCATGCTGCCCATGGGGCTGTTAACACTATGCTGTCTGTGGATGAAGCAGAAGGTTTTCCACTGTCCATGCCTCGCCAGGGGCAGCTGTCAGGACTCAGAGATGCAGTTGGCAGCCGGGTCACTCTGGTAAGTTCTTATGTCTCCCAACGGTGACACTGAACAACTTTATGTGAGGCAAGGGTGCAGATGTTAGTCATACAGATATACCTCAACTTATGGGATAGTTGCTTTACCAAGACTGGTCGCATAACTTGCGTCACACTGCTTTCAGGTTGCTTCTATAGCAATAATTAAAAATTCGCTTAGGGGGGGGGTGGAGTCCAGCTGGGTCCACTTGCCATGGCAGCCACTGATTTGCCTATTGTACCTGCCCCGGGTGATTATGATGATGGAGAATTTGGTGGAATGAAGATTGGCAGGGGAAACCGAAGTGCCTGGAGAAAACCTGCCCCAGTGCCACTTTGTCCACCACAAATCCCACTTGACCAGACCTGGGATTGAATCTGGGCTGCTGCGGTGGGTAGCCGGTGACTAACCGCTTGAGCTATGGCGCAGCCTTGCTTCTATAGCTTACTTTTTGACCATGAAGGCGGGAGCAGTATGTTTCTCAGAAACGTTTGTGAACTTCTGCCAGACTAAAAGCGTCTCATGTCAGATGATCCCACTTGTTTTTACAGCCTTATTTCCCTGTGAATATAATGCATAAGTTTGCAGTGAATTAAATTGTGTTGTTTAATCATCATTGGTGTAGTGTTTCAAATTTGAGATTGGAAATTTAAGCCGTTACCTAAATGTTCGAGACTTGCGAAAGTGTTTTACAGTCATTACATTAGTATGACAACACCTGGACAGGCAACTAGGTTAAGAATGTTGATGATCAGCATTTATGCGTAATCACATAAGTAAGAAGCTCGCTAATGGGGCCACTGGAGTATCGTAATATTACCGCATAAGCAGCAGAGAGGACCACGGGCCCCACCCCCCAGCCACAGGGAATAGCCAATGAGAATATAACTTTGGGAATTGGGAACAAAAGGGAGGAGTTAACTACCCTCTGTCGTCAACAGCTGAATTAGCAAATCGAAACTATAAATTACGGAATTTAGGAGACATAGGGATCTGATCTTAAACAGAATATTGAGTTGTCAGCCGGAGGCTCTAGGCAATATGGGCCTTACGAGTGGAGGAGGTGGCCCTACGTCTTTTATCTCAAGTAAGTCACGTTTACGCATATCAGCCATGTTGTTTAATAGTATTGTTGATAAAAGTGTTGTTGAGTGATTTCAATATGCAACTCCAGTGTGCCCGGCGAGCCCTTAGGGGAGGATACTAGAATCATGTAACATGTAATTGCCTAGGATGTTAGTCAGGCAATAAGGGTTTTATAGTGTATGTGTCCAGGTTATGGTTAGCGTGTAGTGATAAATATAGTATGTGTGTTTCAATATGTATAACTAAGGGTAGATTATGTTAAGAGTGAAACTTTACGAAGGATAGTGTAATCGTATCTAATGAATAGTAGGGAAACAGGATCACATGGAACGATTAATATTTGCTTATAGTCAGGAGTCGAAGAGAGAGAGAGACTCCAGTTTTACACCCCCGAAGGGGAGGTTCCTAGCGTAGCTGCAAGTCAATTCACTATGTACTCCCGACTGAAAGTCGGCCTTGTAATAATGTAAATATTGTAAATACGGTAAATATCAATGTAAATAGACCAGGGTAGTTAGAGTAGGATGTACCGGGATTGTGATTTACACCTCTATAATCAACTTTCCCACGACCGATCCCGAGCAATCCTGACCAAAGCGAGGGCTGAACTGACACAGGCAGCAGTAGCAGCCGAAGGCAAAGAAAGAAACGGGGACAGAGAAGTCAGCGGTATCACCTGATAGGAGGCTACCTGCAGACTATATGGGGAGTAGTTAAGAGGGAGCTATGACAATATGTCAGGGGGTAGTTCCCACAATAGAGAGGACAAATGGTGGCAGCTTTAAGTAAGGAAGGAAGCCCCGAACAGGAGAATCCTAGCTGAGGGTAAGCTAGGATTATGGTGTTAACTCCTTACGGCATAAGCTGTGGTAGCAAGGAGGGGTACCTGCACGCCCCCCAGCACCACGGCGTTACAAGTGGCGACAGCGGTGAGACAACCAATCCACCCCCGTCGCAGGGACGTTACAAGATGGCGGCAGTGGAGGATACCTCCACGCCCCCCTGCCGCCACGGCGTTACAATTGGTAGTAATCATAGTGCTGAACTTTGACAGCAGTAGTGTGAATCTACAGGAACAGTTAGCATTACAGTGGTCTGTATAGATCAGACTTTTGTTTAATGAAGAACAGGTGTAGAGAGAAGGCTAAGTTGGTATTTCTGTCATTCTGACTGTATTTCTTTCAGTTTGTGAAGCCAGCTTTGTGGCCTTTTGTTTTCTTCCCAATATTTTGGCATGTGGTAGCATTGTTGGTTGAGGCACTATGCTACAATTCTGTATTTCAGCATCCTCTTGCAGATCTTTAATTAAATGTCTATGTATCCACAGTCCATCAGTAATGCAACGATTGACCTAATCCTTCCAGCCACACTATGGTCCCGGGAATGACTCAGCCCCTAACAGAAATGAGTACCAGGTATCTTCCTGGAGAGTAAAGGGCAGCTGGTGCTTAAGGCTGACAACCTTATTGCCAACTGTGTGCTGATTGTAGAGGGAAAATGTGGGAGCCTCGATGTCCCACAACCCTATGGGCCTTCATGGCCTGATAGCTTTTTTACCTTTTTATATCATTTTGGCTCTTTTTACTAGAAAATGTTAAGTTATAGTATTTCTTTATTAGATTTTAATAATGTATTTTTTCCATTTTTAATAGAAACATTATTTCATTTGTGGCTCATGGATTTGATTATCTTGCAGGAGTACAGTGATGGCTCTCTGTTCCGAATGTCACTCCCACAGCTCTGCTCCAGTCCGCTTGGTAAGTTCTAATATTTTTTTGTGTAATAATGTAAATTCGCCCATCACAGTGGCCACATGGTCTAAGGCATGAACTGTCTTCGCTTGTTTGAACCCTGGAATTGTGGGTTCAAATCCTACTCAAGGCATGGATGTCTATTATATGTGTTTGTGTTATTCTGTGTGGAGGTAGAGACCTTGTGACTGGCTGATCTCCCATTCAAGGAGTCCTGCTGACTGTGTATAAGATCAAGAAACTGAAGAAGTGGCCAAAGCCCAACAAAGGGCTGTAGAACAACAACAACAACAACAACAATAATTTAAATTATTTTCTGTGTGGGTTAATTGATGATGCTATCAGTACCCAGACTGTATAGCACTGAATGGAAGGCTGAAAATGAATGATGAATTGGAAAGGATTTTGAAGGAAACAGTTAGGCCCAAGAAAAATTTTGCTTGGCCATGTTGCTTTTTTTTATATTGCACAAAGAAGTTAATATACTCTTTGAAATATCTATTACCATACATAATGCAGGACCTGCATATTAAGTGACACATTCAACTCACAAATTTGCACTTTTACCATGTGGTTGTTATTGATTGCAGAAAATGAAAATGAATTACACTGTGGAAGCCTTCAGTGGCATAATGTTCAGACCAAGTTCCATGAAACCCACTCAACTGGTTGGAGGGAGACACAGACAGCATGATGTTTTAAACCTGCCACATTTTGTAAAAAAGGAAAATAAGCTGAAAACACTGTGATAGAAAGTACTATTCTCTGGTATGTGGTGCCATATAGTGTGGTGGAATTTCACCAGTGTTTTGGAGTAATGTTGTACTGCCTCCGTCTTTAGGGTCAAGTAAGCAGAATGGTTGTGCTTGTTGCTTGCATACATTTTAGCCCTGAAGGTGGAAGCACGTTAGTGAACTGCTTGATGATGTAGCATCATATTCCAGAAGGTAGTATGTAGGGAAGTCAAAAATTATCCGCACTCTTGTTTTTCCGATCCATATATACAAAAGTAGGGGTTGAACAAGTACTTCATTTTTCTACATAGTCTCCTCCCTTTTCGATGCACTGGGTCCAGCGGTGCAAAAGCTTGAGTATTCCCTCCACGAAGAAGGTTTTCAGTTTGTCGCGCAACCATTTATGCACCTCTTCCCCCACTTTTTTGTCCGTAGAAAATCAAAAACCTTGTAAAACATCTTCAAGTGGTCCAAAGAGATGGTAGTCAGAAAGGGCAAGATCTGGGCTGTAGGCAGGGTGTTCCAGCACCTCAAAACACAAATGTTTAATGGTTTCAACGGTCTGGCCATCCTTGTGTGAGTGTTTATTGACATGCAACAACAACACTTTCTTCGACAATAGGCCTCGGCGTTTGGTGCGAATTGCTGGCTTCAAATTGTTGGCCAGCAAATCACTTTATCTTGCACTGTTATCGTACACCCTTTTTCCAGGTAGTCTTCCAGTATAGGCCTTTTTGAGTCCCAAAAAAACCGTTAGCATCACCATTCCCACGAAAGATTGAGTCTTGAATTTCATCTTCGTTTGCGATCCCGGGAGTTTCCACGCCATACTCTGGCTTTTGGATTCTGGCTCATAGTGATGAACCCACATATGAATTTCAGCCCCTGACACACCTTCCAACCAGAGAAATTGGATCACTTTTCTTTATTAATCATTGGTGCACACTGCTAGCAGAGTGGCCATGTTTACACTGTCACAGCATCAAGGAAAATGATGCGATCAAGGTAAAACTTCGATCACGTGACCACAGTAGTACAAACTCTAACAATGCATGTGTAGGAGGCAGTGTGATAAACCTAAAGATGTGTTATGGAGAAAGTGCGGATAATTTCTGACTTACCCTCATACTTTCAACAGTCATCATGATGTGAACCTCAGATGCAGCAGAAAAATGTTATCCCTGTAACAGGCCGTGGAGGCCCATAGGGTTGTGAGAGGCTGAGGCTTCCACATTTTTCTAGACAGTAGGCCCACAGATGGTGGTGAGGTTTTCAGCCTTACGCACCAGCTGCCTTTTACCCCCTGGAAGATTCCTGGTGCTCATTTCTGTTAGAGGCTGAGTCGATCCCAGTGCCATAGTGTGGCTCAAAGGATGAGGTCAATTGAAAAATCCAGTGATGTCATCAGGAGTCGAACGCCCGACCTTCCAGCTTTTAGCATAGTTCTTCAACCAACTACACTACGGCGTACCCCCCNCCCCCCCCAAGATGCAACATGGTATTGAAAGTTTTATGTGGGATATGTTAGACTGGGATGTTGTGTTGCTGAAGCACAGGGAGCTGGATGGTTGCCATTTATTGTATTAGACGTTGGTCATGAAGTTCAGTGTTATGTTGCAGTGTCAGAATGTCTGAGCACTATGAAGCAAGTGCTGCAGCGAGACCTTGCTATGCATGTTCTGATCAAGTGGTATGGTGTGCGCAATGCACCAGGTACCCAGGACATCTCTCCAGCTCAAGAATGGCAGCTCTTCATTGGAGTGCTGCTTGGTAAGATATCCATTAGAAAATACAGTACACAAAAAAAAAAGAAGCTAATTTTAGGTTTCTTTGGAATCACTGAATTTGCACTATAAACTGAGGCCAACATTAAATGGAATAAATATAACAGTTTATTGAATTGGGACCATTGAAATTGAATGTTAAAATAGGGGAAATTTTAAATCGCAGAACGTTAAATGGGGGCTCTACTCTATTTTTTATGGCTGTTAAATTGATTTAATAGCACATGATTTTGGCATGATTCAGTAGAAATGAAAATTGTATTAATATCTGCAAGAGTGTACCAAGTGTGCTCACAAATACTGACACTGTTCTCATGTTTGGTTTCTCTGTAAAATCTAAATTGTGCGTGTATAAATCACCTAAGGATCTTCCCATTTCCCTTACTGTGCAATCCATCATTCCTTCTATAGTTCTCTCACTGAATACGATCATAACTTGAGTATGAGTATGAGGAGTGAGCCATAAAAACCGGCCCTCGCACTGGAACCTTCGATGATCTATTGTGCTTCCCCTTTGGATTAACCCTTTATTAATCCTACACTTTGAATGAAGTGTAGGACTTTATTATCAGAACTTGATACAGTATTATCTATCGATGCCTAGAACTTCTGGGATATGATGTGGACAAGCTGCCTGTGATCCACCAGCAGGAGTCAGATGTCACTGGAATATCAGGTGTTCTAACTAAGAAGAAGCGAGTGTCGGACAGTGGATCTGAGTCAGACTGGGATTACTTGCTGCTGTCAGCCCATCACCGTGCACTGGGCCATGGGCTTGCCTGCTTACTGGGACTGCAACCTGTTGAGGCAGTTGGCCCATCCTTTAGCCCGCCACCTGTCCCACAGATCAATACCAGTGCAATACTGTTTAACAGTATTACCCTTATTCTGTTCTCTCTGCACCTGCTGTATGAGGTATGCACTGTCATCTGACTGAGCCACTAGCAGGTCTAGTGTTGCATTGTTTTCAATGTAAATACCATTATCACCAAGTTAATCGCTTCACTGGGTATTTATTTTCTCTTCATTTTCCTTAAATAATACAAATGTAGAGTAAAAATATGAAGGGGGGAAAAAAAACAAAAATTCATTTTAGTGGACAGTGAATGAAGTCAAATGATGCCGTGATTTCTGCCAGAGGCAAGAGATTCTTCTGTTTATCATCTCATCTGGACTGTTCTGGATCCCCCCCCCCTCAATTCTCCTGTCTAGTGTGTAGTGGGAGCTCTTTCTCTAGAGGGTAAAGCAGCCAGAGTATGAAGCTGATCACTTCTGTCTAGTGCCAGAGTTCCAGGGTTAAGAATATTTTGAGCTGTACATCCACTCCTCCATGTATCTTCATGATGAGGTGCTTAATTAAGCACAGGGCAACTTTACCTTTGCTTGCCCTGACATCTCTCATCTGTCATCAGCTTTTCTTGCTGTCTATGATTCAATACCATGAAATAATGTTTGGTCTTGTAGTGTCTTATAAGTTCACATTTTTATGTGCGTAGGAACTGATGATGGCTTGAATGTCTGATTTTATTTCTTAATATTTTGGCAAAATTTATAATATTTGCATTCAAATCATTTTCTCCTATGTAAGCTGCATTATATCACAGATGAATAAAATTATTGATCTGTTTCATTATCTTATGATCAATGCAAATCTTGTTTCTAATTAGTTCCATTCTTCTAAAAGTTATGATGTTAATGTTTTCAGTATTTATCTCCATAGAAAATCCCACAGCTGTCTGCTGTGCATTATCTCTAATGTAATTAATTCAACAGAATTGAAAACTAGTCATTGGTAAAATGTTGAATGCTGCATTCTCATAAAGGCTACATTCTAATTTGCAGGAACTCAAGCTGAACATGCTGCTAGCAGAGAGCTTGCCACTCCTAGCCCAGCTCCTGCATCAGCTGGCCTCTGATCTTAAAATGCAGGAGTACATTCTTCACTACTGGAAGGACTTCCCGTTCCACTGTCCCCTGGTGAATTCCTCATTGGTGAGACATGTAGCACCATATTGACGCTTTTCTTTGATGTTTGTCATCCAGTTTCCTGCTCTTGCTTACCAATATGTTGTCTTCTGTATCATATCAGTATGAATACGCTTATAATTAAAGCATGTTTTGAATATTCTGATGGTGTGATTATGTTGTTTCATAACTTTTGATGAATGTTTAAACATTTAAATTGAAACTGAAAACAATTATGGGACTTTCTAATTTAGGTGCAATTTCTGAACAATTACATCTCCAAATTGAGTAGAAATATAAATGTGAAACAAAGTGTATTGTATAGGTAAAGAACATTTTTAGATTTGGGGTTACAGAGGTGAATATGAATGCGAAGAGTACCATCCTTTGGGATGTGGTGCCATGTTTGTCTGGTAAAAGATCAGTAGTTGTGTTGAGGAATATATTGCTTCCAATTTACGGGGTTGAAGAATATTCCATGCAAACAATTAGCAATGAGCAGGCAGTTTACTTGTTTGGCTTAGTTTTCAACCCTGAAGATGAAGACATTACATACCCCTGAAATGTCTGTGAACTTCTACCAGATGAACACGGTATTACATCGTGTAAGATAGTGCTCTTCAGCAAATATTTTTCCCAGTGCATTTTCTAGTTTCACAAATGTCCCATCATGTAACACAATATCCCATATGTCTCACCTTGACTGTAGCAACAGTTGCAACGGTTTATTTATAATTCATCATGTGTTTGAGGAAGGGGGAGCCAATACACTAAACCATAGTTGATGTACTCCATGAGAAATATCTGCTGCAGTCAAACTGGTTACCGTGGAAGCCAGACAGCTTGACCATTCCAAGGCCTATGTTGAAGTAGGCCTATGAAAATGTGGGGTGCAATCTAGCTGATAGATTACACCTTCTCGAAACAAATTAGTATCTTAGTGTGCCTGAGGCACTTCGTTACATTAAACCCTAACACACATTCAGTATGCCTGCTTCCTATGAAATCTACCATTTTTATGAATGTTGTCAGTGCTATACACAGCCAAGAGAACTAACCTTGTGAATGGGAAACTTCCATTATCTGCTAATTCAGTGCACTGTGTTTCATAGTGATAGCTGTACTAATATCAGAGGTATGACTGTTTAAAAGTATGATATAATTCAGAAAGACCATGCACTGTTTGCTTCTGTAATATGCATGCTCATCTTTTCTCATTTTCCAGTAACATTAAATTCTATTTCATATTTTAACACACATATATTTTGTAATTTGGACAGCAAGAGAGCCAGATCTCTGATCTCGACATCAAGAAGTTGTCATTGCGAAGCTTCATACCAATGGATCCCCCAAGTATCTTCCAACATGTTTACCAGTTGATACGGGGGCAAGATACAGAGCCTTTTCCTTATATTAGCAATGTCAATAAGAAGACAAAAGACATAGTGCAGGTAAGCCGTCAAGTAACCGCTGTTATAAGAGCCCATTTTTTTTATTGCTAGTGGGGTGGGACTAAGTACCTTGTACTGCGGCCACTTCTGGCCTATTGTACCAGCCCCAGATGATAGGTGAGGGTGATTGTGGAGCAATAAGAGCCTAGCTTATTCTGTTCCATAATATCTGTAACATGTTTCAGTAGAGAGTGCTGTAAAGGATGATGATGCATAAAACCAGATGACCAGGTTTCCAGGATATGCTCACTCACTTGCCATGGATGACTGATCTTTTCAAAGAAAATTAAATTATCCTTGGATATTTGTTTAATTTTGCAGTTACAAAGAGAGTCATCATGATGTTATTTACTGAATGTCCTGCTTTGTGCTTGGGAGGCCTTGCATTCAAATTTTGGCTCAGAGACCTTTTTCGTGATGTTCCTCAGCCCCACCAGAAATGCTGGATTAGTATATCAGGTTATGCCATGACCACTCTTACATATCCTTTCCAATCCATTATTCACTGATCACCTTACCACTGGATACTGTATATTTTAAGCTGTTGAAAATGTCCTTAACTGTTCACATGTCATGAGCCAATAGACCAGTTCAGGGTGCTTGCATTAAAACTGCCACGGCTGTAGAAACTGCTTCATTGTTAATCATTTAGTACAGCATTTCTTTCAGTAAATGACATACCGCTGTTTAGGTAAAGCACATGCTTTCATATGATCAATACCTATGGTCATTTGAAGGTCATTTGAGGAGTTATTGTAGGTTTTGTGCAATTTCATTTACTTTCAAGCAGTCTTGACATTTCTGGCAGGTAGTTCTGGGTCAGGGATTGGCAGTGAAAGAGTTAAATAATTCATAAATATATGAATATAAACAAACAAACAACTACATATTTTTTTTTGTACTCATATTTGAAGCTCAGATCTTCTCATTTTCTGAATTTTTATTTTGATGAAATTTGTTGTGTTTCAGTTGGTAGTGCTGCTGACGCTTGGCTACCAGTTTCCACATTTGCAGTTAGATAACTTTGTGAAACCGGTTGTTCCTGCTGGAAGCAGGGCAGAGCCCCAAGAAGTGCTGTCATCCAGCGGTACTGGAAATAGTTCGAAGTACCCAATGCCATACCGAGCTGTGCTACTCATGGCGGAAATGGGTATGTCACTTATTCTCCTTTCCTCAATAATACTGCATTATAATGAACATTTTTAGTTCCTGCATGTATGACAGTATATGTCACTTTAATGAACAACATCTTGAAGACAGTGTTAATTTTACAAAGGTTTTCAACCATGAAAATGTTGGTGAAGGTTTTAGTATTTTTTGAAATGAACACATCCACTGCCAATCCTGCCACCTTACATTTTAAGTTCATTGTGTCGCTGTTGACATTGTACAATTAAATGTTTATTTTCTCTTACAAATGTCACCCAGATACAAAGAAATTTTAAGTGTAACTGGATTAAGCTTGAAGGAGTTTATGCATTCAGCAGTTGTCAGTCATTATGAAGTTCTGTTCCATTTTGTTCTGAATGTAGTGAGTCAGATATTCAGTTTTCCTGAAAAAATGACTGGACCAGTAGGTAAAATACCACTGTTGGGGAATGAAAATGTATGTGTTAAAGTGGTTAAACCAGTATTTAGCTGCAGTGACTGTCTAGTTTGCACATAACTGAAATAAAACTCTAGATTGAAGAAAATAATAGTAATATCATTATACTCCAAGAGTAACAGCACTTCCCATTATTTGATATTTTGAATAGTGGATGATTGCTTTGTGTGGTTTGTTTGCTATTATGTTTGCAGGCATGACACGGCGAGAGTTGCAGACTTTGCCGGCAGGCATAGCTCTATTGCTGAATGACGCCATCTACAGCTGTCGTAAAGACCCACCTTCTGATTGGCCAGAGTCAGCATACAGACTGATAGTACGACAAGACCTGGCTGCACATTGCTGCCAGTCTAAGACACCTGGGCCTACCAGTGGTAGCAGCAGCAGCAGCAGTGGTAACACTCTGTATTCCCACCTCCCTCAGTCCGGCTCTCCATCTTCGAACGGTAATGATGCCAGCAGGAAAACAGCTGCGGCAGCTGTCACTCGCGTGACAGAATGTGAGCAGGATGATGGCATGGAGACCATGGACCAGGAAGTAAGCATCACTTTGTATTGTATGATTGGCGCTTCTTTACCTTGAGACTGACTGATCATCAGAAAGGATGACTTGGGAAGTTAAGATGAAATCAACAGAGTAGATTGGCAAGTGGTAATGGTTGAGGTACCTAATTTGAATCTTGGTTGAGAACCAGCATCTTAACTGAAGTTTATCATAATTTCAGTCTCTCCAGCAGAATGCTGGGATAGTACCATAAAATAGCTTCCCAATAGAGTAATTCGATCATAGCTGATTGAATGCTCAACAGCTGATAAAGTATCCCAAAATAATGAAATGACAATTCATGTACAGGAGATGGGAAACAGATGATTGTTAATTCTAGGTAGGTCCTTAGTTTGAAGTTTAGTCAGTGACTAGGCTATGAACTGGACAGTCAGAGAATTGGGCTGTGATTCCTGGTGGGGGCAGATATTTTTCTCTTTGTTATTTTGTTGCACACCAGCGTCCTATCAAGTGGGTACGATAGGCTTTTTCTCTGGGAGCAGAGTGGCTGGGGTGTGATGAAGTTAAGGAATACAGGAGCTGTACCTCCACTAGAAAGCCAAGGTTTATAAGGGGATGTAATGCCCATTCTTAACCTTCTTGATGCAGATAAACATATACAGCCATTAATGATTATTCAATATATATGAGAAACTAGTGCACATAGTTTCCTTAATAGTCCTGCTCCAGTAAACAAGATCAGTGATTTATAGATGCTGGAGTCCAAACTGCCATAGCATTGTTTGGTTGCTTGAAACTACACTTTGACAAGGTCTCCCCCCTGGCATTATTTTTGTTTTATATGGGTCAGTGGATGAAAAGTATCCAGTCACTTCTGTCTTCAGGTATTTTTATTTTTTTCACTTTCCAGCTAATTTCTTCTTGAAGTTAATATGGGTTTAGCCAGGATCATGTAGATGAGAGTGAGAACACTGCTGCTTATTATGTGACATTGAATGCTGGTTTAAAATAGGCACGTGTGTGCAAACATCAGGCAACTTACACTGCTCATACCATCTGTTATGAGGTATTATATTTGCCCAAATGTAACATACATTCAGTTTTATCTCTAAATATTCAATAAAAAATGACTTCATTACATTTTTATGAGGTGTATCGGAAAGTTCCTGGACTAGGTCAGGAGAGAAATGCTGGCTTAACTTACATAATTTTGGCTGACATCTCCAAAAAATAGTCTCCTTGGGAACATATACAGTGATCTCATTGTTTTTTTCCAAGGTTCAAAAGCACTGTGGAAGTCATTTTCCTTAATGCTGTTGTGTACTGCTTGCGATGCCCTTTGGATTTCAGACACTGTTTCAAAACATCGTCCTTTCAGTTTTGATTTTCAGTTTGGGAAACAAAGCAAAATCAAAGGTGAGTAGGGAATGATAACCGTGTTGTTGTTAGTCACAAACTCTGTGGTTTTCAGGGATGTGTAGGCGGGCACGCTGTCATGATGAAGGAGTAGTACGGTGCATGTTCAGATTTTCTGTTAAAATCTGGCAAACTCCATAACTGATCCCAATGGTGTCTGTGAGCTCATGGATTGTTCAGCTACAGTCTTTGTGGACAAGTTCTCAAATTTTTTCAACATTTTCTGTTGTTTTGCTGTGCTTGGTTTCCCTGAACATTCGTCATCTTGAACTGACAGTCCCCTGGCCTTGAAACGTGAATGCCATTCGAAAACCGCTGCCTGGCTTAAAGAATGTTCTCCAAAAGCCTCATGAAGCATTTCGAGGGTTTCGGTAGTGGATTTACTGAGCTTCACGCAGAGCTTGTTGCCATCCATCACAGACAAAACGAAACGCAAAGTCAAAAAAACACTCATCTAAAAACAGTGCGTGTTCACACAGTGCTGTGTCACAGCAGACTGATGGAATAGGCTTTCAGAAGTGTGACCGTGGCCTCCCCTCTCGCCTTCTTTCACTGAGGCAGTTGCAATGATAACAATTTGAGAACTTTCCGATACCACCTTGTACACGTTTTTGGTGGTGGTTTCTTCTAAAGTACATAACACAAACATTCATGAATATGAGGTGCAGTAAGTGTTCCAGAAGAAACTAATATCCGCTCCATGTTTGATTGGTCTTGTTATTATCGTTTGTAGTTAGATATAAATATGTTACATCAGATTCTCAAGCTACGGTTCAGCAAAGATCATCGAGTGGCTGAGGTGCGTCGCCTGCTGCAGTCCTCCCACCCCGTGCAGATTTCTATTACGCAGCGGCCTGAGGTATCAGATCACGAGTTCATAGAGGAGCAGGAGAAGCACCTGTATGCCATTTGCACCCGTACAATGGCACTGCCTGTTGGCAGGTATGGCATCAGTATATCGCTAAATGTAACTGGCTTGTGGTGATCCAGGCAGTAAACATAAATGTTCCACTTCTGAACAGTTAAAATCAAAGAACTGAAAAGAAACCCAGCAGCAGTTTTTATATAAGTTCTCTCTTTGGGTGATAGTGCTATGTTAAGTTATCCAGACAGTGCCACTGTGTATATTATGCTGATATTCATATACTTTTGTGCCAGGGGAATGTTCACCCTTCGCACTGCTGCTCCTGTGGTGACTGAGACATTACCAATTCCCCGCCTGTGTCTCACTGGCCGAGCCCCTCCAAGAGGCACCACTGTGGACTTATCACACATTGAAGTAGTTCCTAACATGAACCTATGGCCGCTGTTTCACAATGGAGTTGCTGCTGGCCTCCGGATTGCTCCTAATGCAACTAACATTGATTCAAACTGGATTGTTTTCAATAAACCTAAGGTATAGGAAACATGAGGCCTGTGATATTGTCTGAGATCCTTCTGTCCTCTAATGAGTAGGCAGAGCAGTTACCATGGCCTCCCCACATGTATTGTACAGTCTGTAAACATTGGAATGATTTTAGACAGCTCTTACCATTTTACATTGAAACTGAGCATGTCACTAAATGGACAGCAGAATAACCAGGATCAACCAGATCTGCCCAGTCCTTATGCCTTTTGTTCTCTTCATTATAGAATTTTACAGTTAAATGCTAACATTGCTTTCCTGGTTTTTTTTGTTAGTTTAGAAGAGGCAATAAACAGTGTCTTTGTCTCCAGCATCCGTAGATTGTAGGTAAACTTTTGGATACTGTACTACAGAATGAGAAGTGCAGTGTTTCTTCAGCCTCTTGTCTGAAATAGTGCAACAAAAATTGATTGTATTCAGGTTGATAATGTAAATCAGTTTGTTACTGTGGTTATGGAAATACAGTGAAATCCTAATATAGCTTTCTTGAATTTAATGAAATCCCATATTCACAGAATACTTTTTCTTGCTTATCTGAATCCTAAGATAAGCAATATATTACTTTCCTTTATTTAGAAAAAATTTGATTTTGTAAATAAGCCACATTTTGTGTAAGAATCATGAAACTTCCAGGACTAATAGCTTAACAGCCAAAAGAACAGTTCATATTCATGTGTTTCCTTTGTTTGAAATCATTGCCAGTTAACTTATTATTATGTACAGTGGAACCCCCGTTAATTATCTCTTTGATTTAAGGTTTTATCCCATTTAATACTCAGTTTCATTCATCCAAAGTCAGTAATCTCAGTGTTAAATTTCTTCCATTTAAGGTTTTCCCCAGGTTAGTGTTTAAATCCACTGGTCCCCAAAGTAACCTTTAATCGGGTTTTTACTGAGCTCCACTCAGCTTGCTACCTTCCATTGGTTTCTTGCTTTGCTTAGTCTTCAACCTTGAAGATGGAGGGGCTATGTTTCTCCTAAATTTTGGGTTTTCTGTGAACTGCATGGTGTTTCAGCCCAGAAGACCATACTCTTCAGTTTCTTTTAACCAATTGTGTAAAGAAATCATTTTATCATAATTATTTACAGTAACTCTCGTAAGAAGATAAAAGATTAACAGTTTCTTATGTGATTTTGCATAACCCCCATTTTGTAAAAAACTTGATCTACCTCATCACTCATCATTGGGAGAACTGGGTTTGTATTGTGGAATTTAATCAGGGAGACATGTTTTTAATAATACATCTCATTCATGCAGGTTCATGCCATATTTTGTGGTTCTTCAGAAGAATTTCTAAACTAAAATATTATGCCTTCAGTAGTGATACATTAATATTATAAGTCAAAATGACATGTTAAACATGATGAACATAAATGAATGCATTATGTACCATTATTTGGCTGTATTGAAGGAATGTCAGATTTGTGAAACTGATTATTTGAAGTTTTTTGGAACTCTGTTACAGGGTACAAGTGAGGTACCAACGGAGCATGCTGGCTTACTCATGGCATTAGGTCTGAATGGTCATTTGAATAACTTGGCTGAGTTGTACACCTATGAATATCTAATAAAGTGTCATGAGATGACAAGTGTGGGGCTGTTGCTAGGTGTCGCAGCTACCAAGAGAGGTGAGCCACATGTAAATTGTCCAAAATAATTGGGTCATAATAGATCAGTAATCACACATCTTTGTGGAATCACATTTCTGAGCTTCACAGCATAAAACTGTATTTACCACACTGTCATGGTGACTAACAGATAAATGAAGAGTAAAACTGCAAATTTAAATAAAGATGACTGGTGTATTAACCCTCTCCCTGTATAACTGTCTGCTAGAAATGCCAAGGCTGCTTGGAAGTAAATGCAGTGCGTCCCCCTTGAATTTCTACTGTCCCCATACCCTAGCGGTACTGGTGCATGTTCTCAGCCCCGTTCAGCCAACGAGGTCGGCCGTCGGTACCTGATATTTCCCCCATCTACCAGAGGCATTGGAAACTACTTGGGCAGGAAATTGTTGCCTAATTTGCTCAGAGGTCTCCTAAAGACATGAGGATTTTTTACGTGCCGTAAATCTACGACACGGGACCCACGGCTTAAAGTCCCTCCCAGAGGACTTGTTCCCTGAATTTTTCTGCCTTTAAAAATTCCACGACCTCCGCCGGGTTTGAACCCGCGTACCTTGAGTCATGAGGTGGGAACTTTACCCCTAGACTACGGAGGCCGCTAACAGGTATATTTAATATGAAAGCTCATTTTCTTCTCTAAACATTGGTATGTCACACTTGGTGCCATCTATTGAAAGATTTACTATATAGACTGATTATCAAAGTGCCAATCTCTTTGGCTGTGGTGATTGCATTGGAAATACCCCTAGTAGATCTAGTCAGTGTGTGGTGTGCAAAGGGTTAGAAAGGGACAGCAGTTCGTCATCTATGTATATGCATCTATAATTAAGGTCCTGAAGCAATAATATGGATAAACTGATGATTACAAGGATTTCATGAAAATAACATAAAATACTATCAGTTAAATAGATTTGTCAGTCCACACAGCAGTGTCAGTAATGTTGCAGATTGGTATTAGTCTGCTGTTCTGTGGGATGGCAACATCTAGCATGTAAAGGTTCTGAAATTGTCAGGAAGTTCAGAACTTTAAAATAGAAAATCTCTATTTTGTATGTAAGAAGTGAGACATACTGTGTTTCTGCTTTGCAGGCACAATGGACGTCGCCACCACAAAACTGATGGGCGTCCATGTTGAGGCGCTTCTCCCACCTACATCCATTGAGCTTGATGTTCCACAGAATATTCAAGTTGCAGCTCTGCTTGGTGTAGGGCTCATCTTTGAAGGCACTGCCCACAGACATATTGCAGAGGTGCTTCTGTCAGAGATAGGTAACACATACATTTTGTAAACTTCTAGAAAACATCATGTAGGGTCAGTCACAAGTGTCATCCTCAGTAGGAAGTTTGTTAGGAATATGAAACATTATCATCATCATCATTGTAATCACTGTCATCATTATTATTGCTGTCATTGTCACTGCCACTACTGTTGTTGTTGGTGCTGCTTCTATTATTGGTATTGTTTTATTATTTTCTTTTTTGGAAGACTTATTACTTAAATACGGATTTTACTATATAGAGTTTATCAGATATAACCTCAAAGTTTTACATTGTTGGTATATTTGTAATTATTGTTGTATAAACACTGTTTCATGTATAATGTGTAAGTATGTTTTTGATCTGTCTCAATACCAAATATCACATGCCTGGTAGTAATAGTTAATTAATTATCAAGGTCAAACTGAAAAGCTATATATAGATTTCATTCCTCATTTTGTCTTTTTATTCTACAAAAAATTACCTCAAAAGTTGCATTTTAACAAAGATATTACCATACTTCCTTTCAGGACCATAGGTTGGATGAAATAGGTGGGTCATACTGTATCTTGCACTGTATCAGACTTTGAGCCATTTTGTACCCACTCTCAGAATTAATCCTTGAGCTGCCCATGCTTTGGATGAAGAACAATACTTTACATACTGGGAATTTAGCCACTGGGCTTCATGAGGTGGAGTAAAAAATGACAAAACCTGAAGTTAGCAAGAATCGAATATGCTCATGGGATTTGAGAAGGTGTATTGGGTGTACTATGGCACCTTTCACAAGCAGGGCTACTTAGTAATTATAGCTTGAAAAGGTGTCCTTTTAAGTGACAATTCCCTGTGGATAGTCCTTTCATATATCTTGGCTGTTTCCTGTTTAGTCGTGATAGTTCCATAATTTCTTTTTGCAGAGGATTCATGGACAAAGCCCTTCACATGTTGATGTCATTATGGATTCCCTCTATTTTTGATGGCCTTTGTATGTACAATCCATGATGGTTCTCTTTGAAGTGCCACTTGCTACTTCAGGTCCTAGAAATGGATGTTCAGAGGCCAAGCCATGGTTTGAAAGTACCTTTACTTATGGGCCTAAAAGAATAGGTTTCCTATCGTGTCTTGTTCCCTTGAAGACAGAAGTAGAACCAATTTCTGAAATGATTTTATTAAACCTAGATGATCGAAAAAGTCCAAATTAACATTTTTAACTGTAGTATTACATACACATAGAATAATGAGAAAGAAAGTATGAACTAGAGTTGTAAAACATGATATCTGTTGTAAGACTTGAGGTTCTCACAGTGGTATCCCTGCTTACCACCTGCTTTCATGCTGGTATCTTGCTCTGCATATTCTTCCACCCTGAAGATGGAGGCAGTGTGTTTCTCTGAAATGTCCGTTGACTTTGAATGGACTACATGGACTACACTACACTGTGTTATACAGTTGTGGTGTCACTCACTAAAATTTAATGTTATTCATTCATTCATCAGTAATCTGTCAGACGACAGGTCCACAGTCTCTTCCAAAGCAGTTCCTCCACTTAATGCAATCTCAAGCTTTCTCCTTCAAATAAAAATATCCTCTTCTGTCCCTAAGGTCATCCAGCATCTTCTTATGTCTTCTTACTCGTCTTCTGGTCACTTCTATCCGCCCCTCTGGTTTGTTTGTCTCCAGAGAAAACATCTCGCATACATGGTATCTCTGTTTTTGGAAAGTTAACATATAGCTATAGTTATAGTTAACAGTTAATTTTTATGAGGAACCTCTTGAGAGTGACCTTCTCCTCTAAGGTAGTAAGTTCTTGTATAAAAATGCGCTGCATGTTCACCCTTGTGTTTGTATGTTGTCACAGGGCGCCCACCGGGACCTGAGATGGAGAACAGCTTGGATAGGGAATCGTATTCACTAGCAGCTGGACTTGCACTTGGGCTGGTGGTTCTGGGCAAAGGGTCCAAGCTCTCTGGACTGGGAGACTTGGCTGTGCCTGATACACTGCATTACTACATGGTGGGGGGTCACCGACGTCCCCTTATAGGTGAACAGGACGCTTATATGTTTTAATACTTCTAGAGCAGGTTTTGTTCATTCATGGCCATGAGCTGCCACAGAAAATATTCACATTAGAGGGACAATGGTTCACATATAGATTGTTGCGATGTCTGATGAATAAACTTCAGCCACTTCCAGAAGGACAGGAAGAAGTTTTTCTTCAAAGACAATTTGATTATGTTCTCTTGAAGCAAATATTTCTCTCTGCATAATTCTAAAGTTCCAGATTTCCATTCCGCAAAGAAAACGTACAGTGGCTCTGAAAATGACCATCACAGTTTACCTTTTCCTCCTGAAAATAAATTGTGTCCCTGGAAAGGGCTGTCCTTTTTCACTGTTCCATTTCTCACCTGTGTATGAGTATGCCCCTTGAAACGGAATAGATAGATGGGTGTTACTTAGCCTACTAGGCTGTGGTCCTTCCCTTCCCTTCCAAAGCATCACACATATCACGAATACTAATCAACACCCAGCTAACACAGGGAAGAGGGGACTGTCTCCTTAAAGCGCTTTTGACTCAGACCACATTTTTTTCTAATTTTACTTCATTGTTATGGGATCTGTCATACCTTATCTACATTATAATGTAGCAATTTTATAATTTTATATTTTATGATTTATATCAATGAATCCATCACAGATAGTAGGCAGAAACGATTGTAAACATGGATCCATGTGTTAGTTAAAATGGTTGGAAGTCAAAACACTTCTAAGTATTGCATCACCTGATGATGACCAGTTGGATGGTTGAAATGGGTGTACATTCTTAGAGTTGTGTAGATGGAACATGGCAGCCAGATTGTTAATTTGAGTCTATTGGTCTGTGTGACAGGCTCCCAGAAGGAGAAGTACAAGTCCCCGAGCTACCAGATTCGGGAGGGCGACTCAGTTAACATAGATGTCACCAGTCCGGGTGCAACACTTGCTCTTGGTATGATGTACTTCAATACTGGCAACAGGTATGGTCTCGTTTATTTGCATAATGTGGGGCGTTCCTAGCATGAGAGTGAGGTTTTCATGGCAGTGAGATTCACACGATCTTCTGGGTCAGGCTCCCTATGGATATCCTGTACAGAAAAGCCAGCTGGGGAAAGGGGTTGGAAGGATAGAGAGGGAGGAAAAATCATTGTTTTTCTTTTCAAATCTTGAACAGTGTAATTCACAGCAGCTTCATTATATGGAAACCTATTGGTTCTTTGTGTTTTTTAACTTTTTGCAGGTTCTGTATTTGCCATTTGCACCTAAATAATGTTCAAACATAAAAATCGATTAGGTAGCCTGGAATACTTTTACCTAAAACCCTAAATTTGTCACACTATAAATATGCCTGGAGCTGGGATAGTGTAGTCTGTATAGTGATTGGCTATGGGCTGGAAGACCAAGGGGTCGGAGTTCAAGTTCCGGTAGGGTCAAGAATTTTCTCTTTTCTGCGTCGTCCAGATGGGCTCTGGGGCCCACCCAGCCTCCTGGCCAATGGGTATGGGGGGCTCTTTCCCCAGGGGTAAAGTGGGTGGGGTGTGACACTGACCACTCACCTCCAACTAGTGCCAAGGTCAAGGACTTGTGGATATACATCCACTCCCCCATACATCCTCATGGCATAGTGCTTAATTAGTTAAGCACTGGGACAACTTCTTCTATGGCACAACAGCCCGATGTCAGGCCTTGGCCTCCCTTATTAAGCCCCTCCATTCCTCTCTATCCTGCGCTGCTCTCTTCCAGTTCCTTACGCCCATTAACTTCTTTGCATCTTCTTCCACCACATCAATCCATCTAGTTTTTGGTTTCCCAGCACGTCTCCTACCACCTATCGTACTGTATAATATTTTCTTTGGGATACGCTCCTTATCCATTGTCTGTACGTGCCCAGCCCATTGCAGTCTTTTAAGCTTTATCGCCACTGAGATCTCTGGCTCCTTATATAATTTGTATAACTCTTTATTATATCTTATTCTCCATATCCCATTCTCTTTTATTGGTCCATAAATTCGTCTTAGGATTTTCCTCTCGAAAGAATTGATGACTGATTCCTCTTTCTTGTTTAGCATCCAATCCTCACGTACATAATAACGCACCAGTCTTATAATTGTTTTATATATTTTTATTTTAATCGCTCAGTATATATCCTTTGATCTAAAAACTGATAGTAACGAGAAATATGCATTATTTGCTAGTTTTATTCTTCTTGTTATTTCATGATTTTCCTCTCCATCTTTGTGGAATTTCGATCCTAAATATATGAAGTCTTCAACTATTTCTATCCCGTCCCCTTCCATGTTAATTTTTCCTGTTTGCCTTGGATTCCTTCTGGACTGTATCAACATTTTAGTTTTATTTACATTCACCTCTAAGCCAGTTGTTTTTGCTATGGTTTTTATTTCTTTATATGTCTCCTTTTTTGCTCTTAGGGATCTCGATACTATAATAATATCATCCGCATACATCATTATTTGCGTTTGTTTTTACGCTATTGTGCTCCTTGTGTCTACATTAAATTTCCTCACTATATATTCCAGTACCAAATTAAATAGTGATGGTGCCAAACTATCACCCTGTTTTAATCCTTGATTTGTCTTAAAGCATTCTGTTAACTGGTTCTGGATTTTAAGTTGATTGATTGGTTTTGTCATGGTTAAGTTAATTATTCTACTTAGTTTTGTTGGAATACCAAAAGTGGACATAATCATCCTTAATTTCTTCCTTATTATTGTATCATATGCTTGTTTAAAATCTATGAAGCATAGGTAAATATCTATATTAAATTCCCAGCATTTCTCCGTTATTTGTCTCAGGGTGAATAAATTGTCTATTGTTGACCTATTGGGTCGAAATCCTGATTGATATTCCCCTATTATTTTTTCTATATATGGATCCAGTCTCTTTTTTAGTATCCTTGTTAAAATTTTATATGCTGTCGGTAGTAATGATATACCTCTATAGTTACTACATGTTAATTTATCCCCTTTTTTAAATATGGGACATATAATGCTCTTTCCCCAATCTTCTGGTATCTTTTCTTCTTCCCACACTTTATTTATAATTCTGTGGAGTGCTATTATTCCTTCTTGTCCTCCTGCCTTCAATAATTCTGCTGGTATGTTATCTCCTCCTGGTGCTTTATTTAGTTTTTGTTCCTTTAATGCTTCTTCCACTTCTTCCTTTGTTGGAGGCTCTATTATCTCTTCCTCTTCCCCTTCTCCATCATCTGTATTTTCTTCTTCATTGTCCTCGTTATCTTCCATATTCTGATTTTGATTTAATAATTGTTCAAAATATTCTTTCCATGTATTCATAATCTCTGTTTTATTATTTATTAGAAGCCCTTTTTTGTCTCGGATAAATTCTGTTTTTGGTTTGAAACCTTCTTTCATATATTTGATTTGACCAAAGGCATTTTTTGTTCTGTTATTTTTGAAGTATTCTTTCAGTTGCAGTAATTGCTCATTTAGAAAGGCCTGTTTCTTTTTCCTGCAAATCTTGTCTGCTTTCCTTCTTGCTTCTTTATACACCTCATTCCTTGCTCTTGTTGGTCTTTCCATATATTCCATATATTTCTTATTCTTGAGGTTTATACTCTCCCTACATTCCTTGTCGAACCATTCTCTATTATCCTGTTTCTCTTGATATCCCAGAGTCTTCTCAGCTTCTGTAATTATTGCGGTTTTAAAATCTACCCATATCCCTTCTACCATTACTTCTTTATTTGCTCTATTGTCATTAATTTCTTTAATTTTATTTTGAAATGCTTCTCTCTTATCACTCTCCGTAATCTTGTCAATATTAAATTCCTTACATTTCTCATACTGCTTAGATCTTTGACAACTTATTTTACATCTATATTTAACCTGTACTAAGTAATGATCACTATCACAGTTGGTCCCTCTTAATGTTCTTACGTCCAGGATATTCGTCGCAAATCGCTTCTCTATGAGGACATGATCTATTTGATTGAAGGTTACCCCATCCGGTGCTGCCCATTTCCTTTTATGTATATTTTTGTGCAGGAAGTATGTAGAGCTGATAATCAAGTTCTTACTTTCTGCAAAATCTATTAATTTTATTCCATTATGGTTGGTTGTATCATGTAAACTTTCTGACCCAATTACTCCTCTGTGTTCCTTCTCTTTACCTATTTTGGCATTAAAATCCCCTAAAATAACCTTTATGTCATTACTTGGTATTGAATCATATGTCTCTTCTATTTGTTGATAGAAATAGTCTTTGACCTCCTCCTCTTTTTCTTCTGTAGGTGTGTGCACATTCATCAACGTCATATTGAAAAATTTTGTTCTAATTCTCAAAGTGCAAATTCTTTCACTTATTGGTTTAAAGTCTATTATTGCGCTTTTAAATTCTCGTTCTATTACAAAGGCTACACCAAATTCCTTATTGCCTTCTGCTTTACCACTGTAACATATAGTATGTTTCTTTAAGTCCACGATTCCTTTACCCAGCCATCTAATTTCCTGTATGGCTGTGATTTTCATATTGTATTTATCTATCTGTTCTAGTACCGATTTCATGGCACCCGGTTTATTGAGGGTTTTCACATTCCATGTACCTAGAGAGTAGACCATATTCTTTGCCAAATGTCGTCTTCCATTCTGTTGAGGTTTCCGAGGCTTGATTCCAGGTTTTGAGACATTTATATTTTTTTACGGTGAGAGGTCGTCAGCCTCTCGCCCAACCCCCAACCTGGAGGGCCAGGGTATCACTTTTAGTCTGGGTCATCACCTTCGACCTGTTCGGCATGGGTGGCCCTACCAGTAGCTATGCTACCGCCGGCATAGCTCTCAGGGTCATTTGACCATGCAAGCTCCTCCACTATGTCAAAGTAGAGACACCATCAGGGGGACTGGGACAACTAACCTTAATAAATATGACTAACGGGACACTGGTGAAAGAAGTATAATATTTAATGGAGAGCAGCAGTGATAAACTGGGACAGAAGTCTGTGCAGGCTGCATGTGAAAATGTAATTGGAGTTCTAAAACAACAATATGAATAAAATGAGGTATGATTATGAGTATATAAAATAATGCCAGTTAACCCCTTGCATTGAGGTTTCTCTCCATAGTGTACAGACCGGCTCTAGGGCTCACTCGGCCTCCTACCAATTCAATACCAGGGGCCTATATTGACGAGGGATAAAAGTGGCAGTGGTATGAACTGTTCACTAACCTCCAAATAGTGCCAAATAGATGGAGCTGTACCTCCACTCCCCTATATGATTTCATAGTGTATTGTTTAATTACATTACCCCTTGCATGTCATGCAGTGACTAGTTCAGCTCATGGCATGCAGCAACGAACTGGTCTTTGTAATGTAAATGCATTGTGTTTCTTGTGAGCTAGGAACTGAATTTTTAAATCTTATTTAGGAGAAATTTGTGGTTCAAAGGGTTAATGCAGTTACCTGATAATGATGTATGTGAGTTGATCGGCAGGGCTGTAGCTGACTGGATGAAAGCCCCTGATACCCAGTATTTACTGGATTTTGTGCGACCAGACTTCCTATTGCTCCGCATAATTGCACGCTCTCTCATCCTTTGGGATGATATCCTGCCGACATCAGAATGGGTGGAGTCCAACCTCCCAGCCACCATCCGACCCTACTGCCTGGTGAAGCCTCGACCAGGCATGCCTGACAATGTGGATTATGAAACAATGAAGTGAGTCTTTTCTTTATATTTCTGCAGCTGGAGTTAATGGACGACTTCAACTTTCAGGAATAAGCAGCATCAGATGCAGAAGGTTTTTCAATGTTTCAGCAAACATTATGGTTAATGTCTTTGGTACTCCTCCTCTTCAAGACATTAATCCTGAAGATGGTAAATGCAGTGTTTGCAAAGTGGAAAAATGTTAACATTTGATGTAGCATGGCAGCTGCAGTGTTTTCTGAAATGTTGGAGATCCTTCAACATTCTACATGGCTTATTCCTTCTAAATGAAGCCCCTTTTCTCTAGATACATTAAGCTTGAACATGTTAACTGTAGTTTTCCCTCAAGATACTACCCCTGAAGACTGCACTTGCAGTTTTTTCTGAAACACTGGGAAACCTTCAACATTCATTGCAGCTTATTCCTGTAAGCTGAAATTATACAGTGAAGTGAATATTCCAGTTTTATTGGTGTTCTCACTTGAGGCTGATATACAGCCACCTCTGTTAACTCACAACACTGTAAAGATTTTCACTGCATCTGTTTTGAAAGGCATTCTAATATATCAAGTGGAACCTCTATCTAATGTTTAATGTAATTAATATTTTACTTCACTTAGCACCCAGTTTCATTGTTCTAGGGTCACTAATCTTGATGTTAAATTTCCTCAGTTTAATGTTCAAATTTATTGGTCTCCGAAGAAACCTTAAGTGGAGGTTTCACTGTATTGACATTCTTTATATGGTCTAGTGCAGCCTTTGATGGTTCTTAAGTACTTAATCTCTACTGATTGTATTCTGTTTATTTAAAACTGAACGTTGTAGAAAATGTTAATTGAGGCTGCTTTGCTGTTTTAAATGTTGAAATATGTTTCTTACTTTATAGTCAAGCATACTGCAATATATTGGCTGGAGCTTGCATGGCACTGGGTCTGCGGTTTGCCGGTTCTGCCAACAACGAGGCATTTGAGACGCTGTTGAAATATGCAAAGACATTTACGTTCCTTACCGGGAAATCCATTGCAGAACTTGCTGGCAAGTCGACCATAGAGACCTGTCTCAATGTGATTCTGCTGTCCCTTGCTATGGTAAATTGCCCTTGATAAGTTAATGGCCCAACTAGTTAAGAAATCTTCTGCCTTTTATGGAATTTGTAGGTTCATTGTTGTGTTCACAAGAGATTTCCAAATCTGGGGCTATTCATAACATTTGTAATGTGGTGGTTTTTATGGCGAAGAGCCGTTGATTCTTCGCCCAACTTGCAATTTAGGGACCATTCCTTATCTATTCTCTGCTACTGTATGTTCAATGTAGTTGTGCCTACCCTCTGTGTATGGAGGCTACCTCATCTATCCACACCTCATCTGCATGCCATGGTGATAAGGGAAACAGTTCTTACACATAATGTACTGACTAGATCAGCTCAGAGTACTTGCATTAAAATCACCACAGTTGAAGAGACTTGCTCATTGGTAATCAGTTAGTATAGTATTTGCCAATAGATGGTTTCAGATGTGACATAGCGATGCTTAGAGGAAAGAACACTCTCACTTGAAATTTCTGTGCAACTGCATTTATGCCCAAGTAGCCTTGGCATTTCTAACAAGTAGTTAAATGGAGGGGCTTGACTATGAAAGGCTTACTTTGGAAGTTTCGCCTGTGAAAGTCATAAATAAAGGTTTCTGTATAGTCCATGTAGTGCTATATGTGGTGTCCACACTGTGTTAACTTGAGTACATACATGTCACTTATTATGTGTGAGGATTGCATTGCAAAAATTCCTGCATATACTTGAGTAACACCTTGGCTTCCAGTATAAAATCTGTGTTACAGTATGTGTGTACATGTCAGTCAGTCTCAAAATGTTGAATATGAACTCTGTCTTCACATAGCTGATCATCTGGGGAGACTTCATTGAAAGCAGTTTCTGTGAAAGCTGCTAATTTTATGTGAATAACTAATCACTATGAACTGTTATTTGAACTAGTGTTACTTTGTTAGGTGATGGCTGGTACAGGGGAACTTGAGGTGCTACGTAAGTGTCGCTACCTGCGATCCCGAGTAGGACCAACCAATAGTGTAATAACTTATGGCTCACACCTTGCCACACATATGGCTCTGGGACTGTTGTTCCTGGGCAGTGGACACTACACCCTTGGCACTTCACCCTCTGCTGTTGCTGCTATGATCTGTGCCTTCTTTCCAAAGTTCCCTACGCACAGCAATGACAACAGGTGAATGTTTTCTGCTATTTTGGGTATAGAATTGTATGAATTGATTGTGCTTCATAGTTACAGGCTAATTCTGTTGATCTCTCCGTTTCCATAAGCTCACAGCATAGACACAATGTAATAAATTTATGCTGCAGGTATCATCTTCAGGCATTCAGGCACTTGTATGTTCTGGCTGTGGAGCCCCGACTTCTGGTACCCCGGGACATTGACACTGGTCACCTGTGTTATGTTCATCTGACAGTTGTGTACCTGGATACAGTACATTACACTGAACAGCAGGTCCGACTGCGAGCTCCGTGTATACTTCCTGAACTAAGAAAATTGCAGGAGGTACATACATTTCTGGTTAGATAGTGGATGACCAATAGCATATCTAGAATTTAAAATGGAGTGAAATGGACAAAACCTCTCATTTATACTTTCATTATGTATGTGCTTCATTGAATGCACTTTATTAACATTCATTCTGGTCCCAGATCTTTAACTGTATTTAAATTAAAGCTATATAACTATATATATTTACAAATTCATTTATATTAATGCTTAGAAATTTGTTCCTTTAAAATATTTCAAATACATTACTGTTCTTGACGCTGTAGTGTGGTAAATGCTTGCAAGTGTTTCAGAGGAATATACGTTGTGTGTTCAAGTTCTAAGGTCTCCGATTTTTTTTCTCACACAATAATCATAACAAGAAATTTGAAACTTCTGTCACTTTTCAACGTAATCTCCCTGCAGCCGTACACATTTTTCACAATGTCGACGCTATGATTCCATGGCTGCTGCGAACGCTTCTGTAGGAGTCTGTTTTGACCACTGGAAAATTGCTGATGCAATAGCGGATTGAAAAACGGCATCCATGTCTCATCCATTGTCACAGTTGATGAAACGATAGTCCCATTCATGCCTTCATCACGTGTCAACATCGCCTGGCAAATTGCCATGCGTGCAGCCTTGTGGTCATCCGCCAGAATTTGTGGCACCCACCTGGAGGACACTTTCCACATTTGCAGGTCTTCATGCAGGATTTTGTGCACAGATCCCACGGAAATGCCAACTTTGGAGGCGATGTTTTCCACACTCAATCGGCGATCCACCAAAACAACTTTCTCAACTCGCTCGACCATGTTGTCAGATCAGCTGGTGCGAGGCCGAGATTGTTTTGGTTCGTTGTCACATGACGTTCGGCCTTCTTTGAACTGTCACGCCCACGAACACACATTTTTCACATTCATGACACGATCGCCACACGTCTCACTCAACTGGCGATGAATTTCAATGGGTGTCGCACCACGCAAGTGGAGAAAACGAATGATTACTAGTTGTTCTTGTAACGAAAACGTCGCCATTTTAAGTATCAAAAGCACTCCTCACTCTCGCCGCTACCACTAGAGTTCTGTGTGCCGTAGAGTGCTGCCATCTCTGTCACGCATTCACAAACAGTGCACACGTATTTTAAACTAAACCGCATGTGTCTATCTGCTCCCAGTCCTGAGAAAAAAATCGGTGACCTTAGAACTTGAACGCCCCTCATAATTAACAGTCTGTTAGACTATACAGTGTTGCATCCTAGAAGGGAGCAACTTCATAGTCAGTGTGCTAAGAACCTCAAATATTGTGTGCCATACCATATTTTTACAGATTTCATAAGTCTGATTGCAAAACATATTTTTGCCATCATCAGGAAAATGAGTAGTCATATATTTCCAGCATTGCTTCTGTTTAGTCATAGTTTCAGTCTGTGGAAATCATGGAAGTCTAGATACAGATGTACATTTTTTATATTTTTTGTTATTGAACAGCATTTAGTTTTACCCTGTTACAGATGATTATGGTTTTATCCTTTGATCCTGTACAGTCAAGTTAGATTATTGTTGATGCACAAATGACCCTGGAAGTCAGTGCGTCAATAAATCCACATGCACGCACTCAGTCATTCACTCACTTAATGACTCAGTCACTTACTTGCTCCCTTACACATTGTTGTCGACAACAAAGCAGCCCTTTTTGAGTTATAGCCTTCCTTACAAGATTCTACCAGATTGCTCTTGAATCAGTTCTTCAGATTTTGCAGCAGTAATTTTTTTACAGAGTAAGATTGTCAGCCTTACATGCAACCCCAAACCTGGAGGACCAAGTCCCTGTATTTATGTCTTCCAGTGACAGGGTGGTCCAGTTATATGCCAAGGCACTGGGTACCCTTCATTCTATGACTCTCAGGGCTGCGATGGAGGTATTCTGACCTGCCTCTGTATTGGGAGCACTCACTACAGATGATTTGTTTCAGGTGAAGGTGGAGGATGACCGATACTGGGGCATAGTGTTCCACCGTGACCACAACTGGAACCAGTTGCAGTAAGCGCTGTATCCTAATGGAGAAATCTGCATGGTGCCATATCCCAGGAGATAGTAATCTTCATAGTCACAGCCATCAGAACCTCAAGTCTCACATAATGTCCATATGAGTTTTCTAAATGTTGGCACATTTTAAATTACTTAAAGCACTTTGGTGAAAGAAAATTAAAGTTCTTTCTGTACCTCGTCAGTAGGAAATTTGCCATATGTAGTGGAACATTCCTTGGTTTAATGTTTTCCTTCATTCAATATTCAGTTTAGTGATCCCAAGTCAATAATCCTAGTCCTAAATTACTCCCATCAAAATTTTTCTCAGTTTGATTTTCAAACCCATTGCTCCCCAGAGAAACCTTAACTGGGGGTTTCAGTCTAAAACTGGAATGAAAGTGAAGCTCTGATTTAAAGTTCAGAGATTACTGGATTTGGACTGTAAACTAAGGAAAATCTTAAGCTGAGGAAACTTAATACCAAGATTATCACTCTGGGTTCACTGAATGGCAAAACCATAAATCAAGGAGCGCTAAATGGAGGTTTCACTGTGCTGGAATGAACCAAAGTAAAGGTGTTTGAAATGTATATGAGAGGGGTCAACTGTCCCTAATGGCCGACGGGACCTAGTCCCACCAGCATTATAATGCCTTGATTTGGAGAATGTAGTTCAGGAATTTCTAATTTGTTTACATTTTATATTGCATATATGTAGTTTGATAGATTTATGATTTGTTGTCATTTTGTATGGCACAAAATGATACAGTGAAACCTTGATCTATCGTTCCTGGATATATCGTTTTCCCGGATCCATCGTTCAATTTCTGTGGTCCCTGAACAAATCCTATTTAAACTATGGAAATAAAACCTGCATCATTTGTTCTTTGATTTATCGTTTTCCCGCATCTGTCGGTCGGAATTCTTGGTCCCCATGAATGTTAATCCCGCATTGATCGTTTTTAATAAAGTGCAACACCACACAAAGGTTAGTAAGCACTGGTAGTAGTAAAAGCGGTTGATGTTTTTGAAACGTGGTGCAGCAAGTTGCAGTACCGTCAAAATGTGGTATGTGACCTTGAGCACATCTTACCTGCAAAACAATGAGCGTGGGCGATAAGGGGATGCCGAGAGCCTTCCAGCTAGGAAAACTTTCCTGTATGTTAGTGTGAATCAACTCAGTTCGCGATTTCACCTGGTTGAATATACAGTCCATCACTTGTTTGATCCTTGACGTGCTTCGTATTATTGTTAGCATCACTATTATTCAGCTTGAAAAGGAAAGGTGCTACTAAAAAAATGAAAATTAATGACTTTTTTAAATAGTAGTAACACAAATTGGACTTGACAGTGGAAATATTATCACTGGTTTCTGTTTTTTTTATTTAGTTAATAATGNTGGCAAATGTGACCATTTTCATTCATTTTATATAGGCCCCACATCTATCATTTTCCCGCAACCATCGTTTTTTTTCAGGACCCCTGACGAAAATGATGAATCAAGGTTTCACTGTATTTCAGAATCAGTTGAGAAGTTGTTTAGGTTGAAAGACATTCATGGAGGATCTTGCATCAGGCCCTAGATTTAGCTCACTTTTCCTTCCACTTATTTATGGCACTCATTAAGTGTCACACTTTCCACTTGCAACGTTCCTTTGTTGCTTGGGCAGATGGATTATGGCCCTTGAGGTTTTGAGATAGAATTTTGTATGCATGTGTAGAATTTTGTATGTATGTGTCTCCCCTACTTCTCCCCACTGCCATAGATACTTAACAGTCCCTGGTGTCGACTCAGCCTCCAACAGATATTAGTACCAGGAATTAATTAAATAATTTTCCTGGGGAGTAAAGCGCAGCCGGTGCGTAAGGCTGACAGTCTTACCACCATCTCTGAGACGATTGTCTAGATNAGTCATGATGAAGTGTCAGACTGAGTCTAGAGACAATTTCAGAATGATTCATTGGCACATGAATCTCTGTTACCATCATGATCATTAAAGTGCGCAAGAGATGAATGTGAGAAATGTAATCAGTTTCACCTGGCAAGTGTTGGAAACAGTGCATCTTCAGGCTTATACAAATCTCTGCATAGGCAGCTACAATATCAAATAATCTGTAATTGACACATGGGTGTTAGAAGCCACATATATGCCTAGAAAGTTCTGAACCTCTCTCTCCAACCCAAATATAGTAACAGTCAAATTGCTACAACTGCTGATATTAAGTTCCTTGGTCTGATGACTGATAATACCCTATCATGGAAAGGACACATTGACTGGCTCATGTTCAAACTGGGTTCAGCTTTCTATGCAGTTAGGGCTATTAGACCATATATGTCATTAGAATCAATGAGATTGGTATATTTTTCATATTTTCATTCTAGTATGACATATGGCCTGATTTTCTGGAGTAATTCGCCCCTCTATATCTGTATCTTTAGACTACAGAAGAGGGTAATAAGAGTCATCGCCAATTCTAGAAGTAGAGATTCTTGTAGGGAGATGTTTAAGAGATAAAAATTCTGCCCCTTTACTCACAGTACATTTATTCCGTTTTGTTATTTGTGGTCAAAAACAAAGATCTATTTTCATCTAATTCTGAGATTCATACAATCAACACAAGACACAGTAATAACCTCCATTATCCCTCGTGTAACTTAACTGTCTTTCAAAAGGGAACATATTATTTTGGAATTAAAATTTTTAATAAACTTCTACGTAATATAAAAGACCAAGCTTATGAGATTAAAAAATTTAGGTCTGCTGTTAAAAGATTCATATTTTTAAATTCATTTTATTCATTGGACGAATATTACAACAGTGACAACAATTAAAGTTTCGGATTTGTTATGGGTGGTAGTTGATAGCGCTTTATTGTTATAGATGATGGTTTTTCTTCATATTGTATATTGTTAATATTTTTAACTGGCATGACATTACACAATTGTGATGCAGTATGTGATGTTTACTCATGTTGACTATTTCTGTATCCATTGGTGTTTAACCATATAGGGATTTATGGAATGCTGAATAAATGAATGAATGAATGAAAAGGGGACCTTGTATTTGTACCAAGAGGAGTAAGAAGTGGTTCAGTTGCAGGTTGCTTGGGGTTGCACCATCTTGCCAATGGAAAATAAGCCTAGAGTTTCTAAGAAATAGGGTAATGGGGTGCTTTATAATGTAAAAATTAAAACATTAATATTCAAACATTTAAATGACAACAGTTTTCTTCTCTTTCTTATAGGTATTAAGGGGGGGGGTTATATTTTGTGTGGCTGTGCTTGTTCAGATGGATGTGAGCCACCGTTGTATAGTTATATCAGGTGGTACTCAGTGCTGTAGAGCTGTAAGGAATTGTAGAATTGAGACACTTGGGATCAAGAATGACAGAGCAGGATTTATTTACATTGGTTGACTAGTTAGTAACAGTATCTGCATTACCTCTGCAACCATGAGTAGCTCTGTATTGTAGTGTGTTTGGTGTGTCACGCTACAAATAAATTCACGCCGTCTTCTGATATAGCGAGTTTATTACGTTCGCTCGCCTTACACACACTTTACAAACATTTGCACCTGCAGTGTTACAATCACCGCTTACAATGTTCCGGCTGACACTGGACTCTCTTCTCTGGCGGTTATTCTAGGACTCTCTTCTAAGATGGCTCGATCACGACTGACTTCTTAGCTGGCTATTCCGAGACTGANGTTGATATTTGAACATTTAAATGACAACAGTTTTCTTCTCTTTCTTATAGATATTAAGGGGGGTTACATTTTGTATGGCTGTGCTTGTTCAGATGGATGTGAGCCACCATTGTATAGTTATATCAGGTGGTACTCAGTGCTGTAGAGCTGTAAGGAATTGTAGAATTGAGACACTTGGGATCAAGAATGACAGAGCAGGATTTATTTACATTGGTTGACTAGTTAGTAACAGTATCTGCATTACCTCTGCAACCATGACTAGCTCTGTATATTATAACTCCAGTTTTTATCAGTGTGAAATCTTTAACCCTTTAAAGACCAGTGGTTATTATATATACCACCTGCTTTAACATACCAGAACTCTGCATTGTGCCCACAGTGTGTTATATGTGTGTTTCATATGGTTCATACAATAAATAGCGATTGTTTCCCTAAGCAGCATTAACCAGTGTGTCTCTGTAGCAGAGACGTGATGTGTTGCCTGTAAGGCACGAACTGAACTTGTATATATTATTTAGAAGAAATTCTGTCTCTAAAGGGTTAATTATAACTCATAAGAAAATGTGTTACTTTAACAGGAACTTGCTGGATAACTCTGGCTGTTTGGATGTGAAGCAGCGAGCCGGCTGTCTCTCATACCTGGAAGACCCGCAGGGCTTCCGCAGTCTGCTTGCACAAACACTCACCAGTGAGACTGTCATCTCCTGGTCTGTCCCGGTATGAATTCTTCACCAACTACAATCAAATACCCAATAGGCTGGCATAGTGATGATGCTCTAGGCTTGTATTCAGGAGGTGCCTGCTTAAAATATTGTCTGGGACACTGTCTTGACTGAGGTGCTTTTCCTCAATATCTCCATGCACATGCCAGGATAATGCCTTGATTAGGCTACTTGCTTCCTTCAAAATCCTTTGTAATTTGTTGTTCATTAATCATCCTGCCATTCACTGCTATATAGTCCAGATGCTGATGTATTCATGAAATAATTCACATAATTAGTTATACACTTTAATATTTTGCATGTGTGCTGTGTTTTATTTTAGTATTTGAGATTATTTGGCATTGAATTATAGCATGATTAAAGAATGGAGAACTGGAAAAGATACGGATGGAAAGAGGTGTGACTTAATTTGAGGTATTACCCTGACATTTACCAGGAGGAACTGAAGAATAACATGGTGTCAAAATAGTTTAGGTTTGAATCCAGGAGTCACTGAATACAAAGTCGGAGTGCTACCCATTTGACCAAGGTGTTCAGTTTTGCTGTATTAATTGAAGCCATTAAATGTTTAAACAGTATGGTGCATGTAAATTAGTGACTATTTAAATTTGTTACATTCCATGAAAGCATGTTTCAGACCATCTGGAGATCGTATGTAGGCTTTTTGCATTACACTAAGATGTCTAAACATTGTATATCTATTATTACAGCTTCTCGACTAGATGTCTTTGACCCTGATGAAGCGGCAGATAAAAACAGCAAAATGAAGTGATAAAACAAGGATTAAGGAAACAGTATACAGGAGCATTTTAAAGATGTAAACGTTACAGTATATAAGAAAATGTGTGTTGTTTTAATCAGAGAGCATGGTAGTGAATGCTGTTGTTGAGAGGTTAACATTCCTGCTTCATATTTAGGAGGACCCAGATTCAGATATTAGTTTGGAGGTTGGTTCGCCATGGTTTGTCCATGGTTTTCCTCAATCCTTCCAGGCAAATACCAGGACAGCACATCAAGTCAGGCCACATCTATCCTCTTTCACATCTTTGTAATTCATTATTCACTATCAACTTGTCATGCAGCGCTGTATAACTGGAGCTGCTTACAGTGTTGTTAAATAAACCACACACAGATAAACTGACAGTAAGAATAGAACTTTCTGGGATGTATTATTATATAGTCTGGTAGACTGATATCAGTGTTTCAGAGAAATCTGGTACTTCAGTCTTCAGAGTAGAATTTTTTTACCCAGAATAGAAAATGGAAGCATTCTTCTACCAAGAAAGTCGAGACATTTGTGTCCAGCAAAACGTTCATACCTATGTATCAGACTAACAGTATCACATCACAGAAGACAGTAATTTTAGTATTTACTTGTGTGAGAACTTCAAATCACAAGTGTCAGCACTTGTTCTCACTATCATCCCATTGTCATGTTAGTGAGATGTACAAAATCTTATGTTTGTTTTGTAGGCAGAGTCTATCTGTGCGTTCTCATCAGACCCGACAATGGTGAATTTTGCCCATCACTTCCTTGAAACAGAAGGCTGTAATGGCAGCAGTGATGAACTGGAGGTGATGCAGATGCTAACAAGACTAGTGTATGAGTGTGTCACTCAGGATAAGCTGGGCATCGTCCCTATTTGGATTACTCTGCTTAAGGTAAAATAATGACATATTGTCATATGTTACTGACTAGGCACAGGGTTTGGACTGGTAATTCAATTCATTGAACTCTTGTAACTTGTAACTACAAGTAATTATAATGCTTTCACTAATTCACACATTCTACTTCTGACTACAGCACATGTTAAGTCTTCTCTGTTTGTTATGTCTTAACTAGTTGTTGCTTGGCAGCGTATCTCAACAGTGGGCGTTCTTTTGTTTCCATGCTCGCATTCTCACTCGATGACTGCTGGCTTGTGATTAACTGATTATTCCAAACTGTCTGCTCTCCACTGCAATTAATTAGTCAAAGTCAAAGTTATGTTATGACTGATAGTCAGTCAGTCAGGCCCCCATCTGGGCTCCAAGACCAGGTTTGTATTACTACCAGACATTTGTGAGTTTGTTGATATGGGATGCCCTCTCTAAAGAGAGGATGGGTCCATCATTAACAGTTGCTGCTGGTCCTTGCCAGCACAGTCATTCTTATGTCTGAGTCCTCTGGCACTCAGATTTGAGACTCCCCCAACCTGGAGGACCAAGTCCCTTATTTATATCCCCCAGGAACAGGGTGGCCCAGTTATACCCCCAGGCACTGGGTCATAATCAACTGTCTTAAGTTCTTATGTAACTTCCACATGGAGCACATAGAAAACACTGTTTCAGAGGTTCTTATATTGTTGTGTGCATATCTGTTGTTTAGCAATGGACCAGGTATTGTAAATGTGTCTGTTGGCTGTTTCCTAACGATGTCATGTGAAAATACTTCTCATGTGCTCTAAGACCATGGTGCATAAATGAATGTAAAGTGGGGAGATTCTATATGTCTTTGTTTCTGCATTCCTCATTCATATAACCCTGGATTTTGATTAAATTTGTTGCTGCTGCTGCTGCTGTTGATGATGATGCTAATGATGATGTTTTTGTTGCAGGGGCATCTTCTGGTAAACATTGTCTAGGAAACTTAATTTTGGTTATCACTTTAGTGTAATTTCTACTTGTTACGTGGTATAAATAAGTTCACCTCATTTACAGCTAATGTTTAAAACATTCAACCTTACTGGCCATGCACTGTGTTATCGCAACATTACATGCATATGGTTCAGCTGAATGAGTGTTGCATATTTCATACCATTATGCACTGAATTAATAGCTGGTTCCTAGCCCAGTGCTACCAAGGGATTTGAAATCCCCTCTTCCCAAACAATAATTTGTTACCTCTAGTTGCCTTCCCCGTAGTGCCAGGAGATTTGAGTGTCTTATACCCAGATAAGGTAAAAGGTGAAGCTGTCCCTGTGCTTCATTGATTAAGCAGTATGCCATGAAGACACATGGGAGAATGGAGGTATAGCTCCACAACTCTTGACCTCAGCACTAGATATAGGTGAGTGGCCAGATTCATGCCTCAGTCACTTTACCACCTGGGAAAATCGCACCCTGTACCCATTGAATAGGAGGCTGAGTGGGTCGCAGAGCCAATCTGGATGTTGTGAAGAAGAGAAGAATCTTCTCCATACCAGGAACTGAACCCTGGCTGTCCAGCCCTAAGCCTATTGCTACACCAACTGAGCTATTCCTACTTCTCCTTATACCCAGATGATGACGGTTAATGAAGTACAAGAAATATTAATATCTGACACAGTGTGGTGTGTATAGTTCTTTTAGCTTTTCAACAATGTGTTTGTATCTTAAATAATGAGCTTCAAAGCCAGAGAGCCATATGGCCTGAGGTTCAAGCTTCTCACTGATGTGACAATGGGGGTTACTGTGTTTTGGAATGTGATGTCTCATAGTCTAATGGAACAGAATCAGCATTTCAAAGGAACATGCTGCCATCTCTCTTCAGGCTAGAAGAGTGGATGTGATGACTAATTGTGTATAAAATCAGTAATGTTTCAGAAGAATCTGGTTACCTTCCTGTTCAGAGTAGAAGGGACTTCTACCAGCTTCCTCTGAAATGTTGGTAATATTCTACAGACTGATGGCCATCACATTATAGAAAACAGTAATCATTGATCTTGGTTCTGTATGAAGTGTAACAGTGTAGTAGTTTATGAGTATTTGGTTAGTATAATATTTACTGTGTGCAGGCTTTGATGAATCTGCGCCCAAGGCAGGCACATGTGTTCCTCACCTGGCAACTGAAGTTGCTAGCTGCACAAGTGCTGACACACAGGACACCTATTAGCTCACAGCACTTGGTGGCCCCCAGTTTGGCACTTTCAGTACAGCAGTACGTCAACAAAGTTCTGGATTCATGGCAGACAGGTAACACACACTTTGTAAACAAATCAAGTAGGTGATTTCTTTCACGGTGAGATTGGAGGTTCTGGTGGGGATTACTAAAGGATTGTAAGATTTGAGGCTTTCACGGCGGTGACTATGAAGAAAGCAGTCNAAGGATTGTTTTGCTTGGAAAACAGCTCTTTTAAAAGCCTTACATTATTTCACATTTCTCTTTATTCCTATTGGTTTGCTCAGAGCTCAGTTCTCATACACATCCTCCCTGTACCTGTACCACCTTCTCCATGTTTGTTTCACTCCAGTCCAGAACATGGAAGCAGCTTTTTCCTCTAAAACATTGGTAAATATCTACCACACCACATTCCAGAAGACAGTGAGCTTCACTTATTCTCTTGTTCCTCATTTTCTATAGGAACAGTTTAACATTTTACAATAGCTAACTCTGTAGTAATATTATTCAAAGTTTCAACCCTACCGTCTTAAAAGCTCCACATTCAAATGCAGTCTTGAACCAAGTTGATCTCATTCACATCCTTACAGAATTTTTCAGAGAACTTACTAACTCCATGGAGCTTAGTCTTCTTGAGAAGCCGCCAGTTGCTCAGCTACTTAAGAATTTCCCAACATTCTGTGGAACACAAAGATTTATTACTGTGTTCACAAGAGCCCCTGGTCCCTGTCCTATGGCAGCACTATCCAAAAAATCGGTCCAAGTCCGAACCCATTTATAACATTTTGTAGCAAACTTAATGTTTGTGGTGAGGAATTGTTAACCCCATGCTCAACCCCAAGCTGAAAGACCACTACTTGCTGGCTTTCTGTGACTGCTTATTCAGTATATTTGCAGTTGCCTTACATATCTGGAGGACATCTCCATCTGCAATCTGAGGGCGCTCCGTGCCTGCCGTGGTGACATGAAGCTGACCACTCATCTCCATCTAAAGTGAAGGATAAGAATGATGGGGTTATACCTCTATTTCCCCATATATCTTAATGGTGTGGTGCTTAATGAAAGCCCAGGGGCAATTTTACCTCTACCTTGCCTTGCATCTCCTTCCACTTTACTCAGAATTGTGAAAACTGAAGATGTTGAAAGTGGCCCTAATGCTCTTCTCTTCATGTCATATTTGGATGAAGCAGGTACAACAGTGTAGAAATGTTTAAAGAATAATCACACCTTCTTTCATAGATGTATGTAAAGGATGAATTTGGAAAGTGAAGAAAAGAACCTTATTTACGTGTGCATTGTTTTAGCTAAGTCCTTTGAATTGAAGCTCTCACAGTGGCAACTATGAAGAGTATAGTCTTCTGGGATGTGATGCTTTGTACAGATGTATCAGAGAAATGTAGTACCTACATCTTCAGGGTTAAAGAGTAAGACAAAGCAAGCAACCAGCAAGAGGCAGGCAGAGCGAAGAACCCTGATCAGGAGTTGATCATGAGAATGGTGGTTGACACAGAGGACCTGCACCTTGACATGGCCTCCAAAATATTGTGTTAGGGCCGATATTCTTCAAATTCTCAGTTTTATCTTTGATATAAATAAGTATTTCAATCTGTAAGCAGAAAAAATTTGACCGGAGATTGAACTCATAAATGTCTGAAATAATGTCGATTGTTATGTCTGTTGGGAACTTCCCACAGTCCAACAGACTACTCCTTTGGTCACAAACAGACAGCTCCTTTCCTTTCAGTCAACCAGACAATCCTTTCTCCCAGGTCATATCAAGTCACATTGCGACCAACAGTTAGTCAGTCTCATATTTATGCAGCACTTGCTGTCCTGCCTCCTGAAGATCAACACGAGCACTGACCAATCAGCGCTCACAATCGCTAGCTCTGCCCAGCAAGCATGGTATAAAAGGCGGAGCTAAAAACTGGTTGTCATCAGTCTTCTCCAGTCCACTGATCGACCGCCATTGTAGCTATGCTGACGCCATGAAACAGCAGCTGCTGTAACTCTCCAGCAACTGCGCCGAGACAATGGACTGTGCCAGCAGACGCAACATAGGCCACTGATACTAGTGGTGCATGCATCACCGGCCAGCCAGACCATCTGAATGGCCATAAACAAGACCTGGGCTGCTACAAAGCAGCAAACTACTAGTGCACGCACAGTTGAACAAATGGCCCCTTTCAGGGCCAGCAAATCTTGTGAATAACGCACGGTGGAACAAACGGCCCTTTTCAGGACCAGAAAACTTGTGAACAACATACAGTTGAACAAACGCCCTTTTTCAGGGCCAGCAAATTTGTGAACAACATATATATATATATCTAAACGGCTTCCCAGCCATCCTGTACATTTGCAAATAATTTATACACCTGTTATAGATTTACGTGGTTGTCTGTTGGAACATCGACTCCCACATGTCTAAAGGTCCCGTACATCCGTGTACTATTAGATATTTGTAGACATTATAAATTTTACAGATCTTTGCTATTGCTAATCCTTTTGTAGCTTTATAGTTGCAATCTCTGTTTCAGAACTTGCGCCATTGCTGCGCCAATATATGACTGGTAACCTGCATCAGAAAAGTGAACATTTGCGCCAGCTGGTGACATATCTCACATATTGTGACATTCCTTCACCTAGCAAGATTGCTCCACTGTTAGAAGGTGTGTGCTTTACATGCAGTGAAATGTCTCACCCGTCAAAATGAACAAATTTTTTATGGCCAGAGAATGTATTTTCATTCTTAGCTTCCTGTGGAGACCACATCTTGCAGTAATGTTTTTTCAGCCATGTTGATAGATTGATTTTTGAGTTATTTTATGGTATCTTTCACTGAGGAAGTTACCATCTATCTTAACATGACTATTATTTGGGAATTGTCTGTTGTGAATCTTGGTGAGGACAGTGGCTGTACGTATGGGGTGTCTATAGTTTTCCTCACTCCCTCCAGGTGAATGCTGGGATAGTGCCTTGAAATATGTCATAACTGATCCCTTCTACATGCTTTCCGATTAATCATTCACTAATCACCCTGCTATTTGGTACTATAAAGTCAGAGCTACTAAGATAAATAAATAAATAAATAAATAAAAAAAAAACTATATTTTTTAACTTCATAGATTATGTAGTGTTAAATTGTAAGATGACTGTGTGAATGATGAACTGGAAAGGATGTGGAAGGATGTGGTCACAATCTACTTTAACCCATTCAGTGCCAACTTATAAAGGCTCAATGTATGCAGCCATTGCTATCAACTTTTCATAAATTTTTATTTAATTTGAATTAACTGTTTGCCTGTAACACTGGGGAGCAGTTATGTGTAATGATACAAAATAGTATGTAGTAGTGTGTAGATGCATTACTAGATAGCGATTACAAATGAATAGGTTCTCAAGGCAACAAATCAACACACAACAGAGGAACTGTTGTAGGCGGTGTTTTCTGTGGCCTGTGTTAATTTCTTAATTTCTTTTATTTACATCCATAACTGTAAAATATACAATCGGATAAAGTCAAGGAGAATATATAGATTTAATAACAATCACGCCTAACATAATCAAAGAATACATAAATACTTAAATAAATTATATAAAAAAACCACCAGCACATGCATTAACAGACAATTACAGTCATTTAGTTCAACATCTTACATATAAAAAAACTCCTGAAGAGAGTAGAAGGCACTATGCAACAAATAACACTTCAATTTCCTCCTAAACACTTTAAAATCAGATACATTCTCTAACTCCATAGGAAGATTATTGTATAGTTTTATGCCCATGTTTATCACACTTCTCTTACAACGATTTGTATTACAATGTTGAGCATACAGATTATGTTTATGCTTTGTATTGTAATTATGCACATCAGAGTTCAGAGTTGTATAGATTCTATTTTTTATGATAAAACACAAAATCTCCAGTATATACAAAGAAGTAACAGTTAAAATTTCTAACTCACCAAACAGCCTTCTGCAGTGTTGTGACTGTTGCTGTGCAATGGTGTGGTAAACAGATCTCTGCAGCAACAATTGAACTACAACAACAGAAGAGCTGTGTTTTCTACATGGCCTGTGCTGAGGGATTATAAGCAGGATGAAGTTTAGAGCCAGATTAACAGTACAGGGCAAAGCAAAGCCAGACATATAAAATATAAGAGGCTTAAACTTGGTGGTGCTTAAGCTTACGACTGTTCAAGTGAATAAGCTGCCATTGTAGCATGAGATACATAAAAGAGGCATGTAGTTATATGTGCGATATTTATACTTGACAAAAGGCCAAGCATATTTGTAAAAGACAAATCCATCTTCTTGTTGGAGAGAGTGTTACTCAATAACTGTGACTGCAAGGGTTCAGTTGAAAAAAAATCTCTTATACTGAGCCTTGAGCACCTTAGCACGAAGATGAACTGATTGGTGATAAACCACCAGTCAGAAAGTGACTTTGACTTTGACTTTGAGCTAAGTTAGTTGGAAGTCTCTGAAGATAAGACTAGGAGGTTGTGTGAAATGGCCACTAGCCTTGGAGTTAGTCAGTTGAAGCACTGAGAGAATTGTAAGGGAAATATAAGACTTAGTTGGTGCAGTATGGCCATTCCATAGCTCAAATGGTTAGTCGCTGGCTTCCCATCGCGGCGGCCCGGGTTCGATTTCGGGTCTGGTCAAGTGGGATTTGTGGTGGACAAAGTGGTGCTAGGGCAGGTTTTCTCCGAGTACTTTGGTTTCCCCTGCCAATCTTCATTCCACCAATTGCTCCACAATCACCCTCACCTATTATCTGGGGCAGGTACAATAGGTCAGAAGTGGCCGTAGTACAAGGGACCTAGTCCCACCCCACTAGCAATAAAAAAATAGTTGGTGCAGTTACTTCTGTTGTGGGATATGTGCCAGATGGTAAGGATGTAAGCAGACAGTGTTAAAATTCATTAATAGGAAATGACTAGTGAAGACAGAAGTCTTTATGTGTGCTGTAGTTACAGTGATATTTGGAGTGTGTAATTCAGTGATACTGGTGTAGTTACTTGTAGTTATGTTCTGTAAGAGGTCAATAAATCCAAAACCCCATCGAGAGTCACACATACATGTGACAATATATTGAATACAGGGGATTAATCTAATTGGCTGTGGTATTTTGTACATTTTTTAAACTGTTAATGTGACCAGTGTTGGCACATAGGGATTTAAGCCACTATCTCAGCATTCTTCAGGAGAAACTGAAGAAAGCACTGAGAAACCTCAGTCAGGATAACTGGTTTTTCCAAATGAGATTGAAACCCAGGACCTCTTGAACACAAAGCAAGCAAGCCACTAAACGCAGTATTTAGTAATTTTGCTGCAGTTTGAATACAAGCTGAACTTCAACAGAATGATAAATGAAACATCATTGAAAAATGCAGCCTGATCCAGGAGTGAAAAATCAAAGATTGCTGTCATCTGAGATATGATGCCTTGTAGTCTGATAGAACTGCTGTAGAAACAGTGGGTGGAGTCAGGTGGTCAGCAGTGTCTGGTCTGGGTTTGTGCAGCCAAAAGAATGTTTTGTGGTTATAAATACAATGTGTGTTTGTGTCATTCATTATATCAGCCGTTATTTGTGAAGACAGTCTCCGAAACGTTAGGTGGTAACTCCATCTGCATATGGGCGATCACCCAAGAAGACTTCATTGTGTTCATATATGTCTTGATTTTTGCAGGGAACATGGATCTGGTGTCTCTGTATGCTCGACTGCAACCACTAGGTCTTCCAATGGACACATTTTGCAGAATACAGGATGTCATGTCCAGTACTTCACAGATCACATGATTGAACATAAAACTAGTGTAAAGCTTGTGTGGATGGGTGCAAATTGATGAATATATTCAATGTGAACACATAGGGGTCAACTTTTGTTATGTTTGCTGTAAGCATTAAAATCAGTTACACGAACCCACAGACTTGACTCACGAGCATGATGGTATAGTGACTTTTCTGAAATGTGCATTATGCACATATAAACATACCATAATACATACCTGAAAAACTTTTTTCTGTATTCATAGCTTCACATGCTATAATTTAAGTTACTTTTTCATCTTATATAAACCATTAATTACATTTGTCAAAGTTGTGTTAATATAAAAGAAAATTAACTGTTTAATGTATCTATGATATGCTGAATTCGAATCTGGACACAAAAATGTTTGCATTAAAACTGTATAGATATGCTATATGTTGCAGGTTTACAACATGTTTCAGCCTTTGAGCCATCATCAGGTATTATACATTCACCTTTGACTTACCAGCTTGTAATATATAATATAATATCTTTATTGCTTCAAGAAAAACGTACAGGCGACACAATCACCACAGTTGTAAAAGCAGTCCCAAATAGTAACATATACTGTAATAAAACAGTTGCAATAATACAACTTAGTCAATGCTTAGTATAATAGATCAATAATAACTAAAACATGGACATTATAAGCAATTGATAATAAAAGTATACATACATTTATACAAAGTCTACAAAAACTACTACACACAAGTGTATCTAAATAAAAAAAAATATTCACCTGTATTCTATTTCCTTTCTTTTGACCACTCCAAGTATTCATTTAGCGAATAAAATGATTGATTTAAGAGAAAATTATTTATAGCTAACTTAAATTTTTTAAAATCACTTGATAATTTTCTTAAATTAGGTGGCAGATTATTAAATATTATAATACCCATACAACACACACTATTCTTATATTTGGCCAAATTTATCAATGGCACGTTTAAGCTGGTACTTTGTCATGTATTTATGACATGTATTTCAGCATTTAGTGCAAAGAAATGCATATTTTTCACCACCAGAAGCAAAAGCGAAAGTATATATTGAGAATAAAAAGGCAATATGTTTAAATATTTAAAAAATCCCCGGCAAGAGGCTCTAGAATTTACATTCATAATACTCCTTATAATTCTTTTTTGCACTATGAAGACATCCTTGCTATTAGTGGCATTTCCCCAAAAGGCAATTCCATATACAATTATAGAGTGAGCATAGGCAAAATATATCATTTTTAGATCATTAATAGATAGTAACGATTTCAGAGACCTAATGGCAAAGCAAGCAGAATTTAATTTCTTTATTGTTTTAGATATATGTCCTTGCCAAGATAAGGATGGATCCAAAGACACCCCCAGAAAGTCCATAACTTGTGTACTATTAATGTGAGAATGTAAATACTTTATAGGGGAGTTTACAATATGTTTCCTTATCGTAAAATACATACAATATGTTTTATTAAAATTTAATGTCAAGGAATTTGCCTGAAACCATCTCATCAATTTCTCAACAACTAAATTAAAACATTCTTTAAGCTGATTAGGATCTGAAGTAGATACTATTAAACTAATGTCATCTGCAAATAGGATGGGTTTTGACATATTATTTATTGCTGCTGGCAAATCATTTATATATAATAAAAAAAGTAATGGCCTAAGAATTGATCCTTGTGATACTCCCAATCTGATCTGTTTCCACTCAGATCCCTATATTGGCTAATGTTTATGTATGAGTGTACTTTTGTGTCAGCCATTTACATATTAATGCAATGCCCTTGTACTGATGACCCAAATGTTTACAGGGGAATATCATGAAAAATGCACTCTCTTCAGAGTGTTATGAAGGGCTGTTCTTAACTATAAAGCTGGCAGAATACGCAGTGCAATGATGGGCGAACAGTGTAATTTTATACAAGGAAAATCAGCCCTCCAATTTGTAAGATTAGTTGTAGCCAAAATACATGACAGTCACAGCCAACTGAAGAGCTGCATGTTTGGGTTGTTCATCAAGTATCCAGAAGTTTTTGATAGCATTAACAAAAGGAACTGATGTAGAAATTGGAATCACCGATGGGTAAATACAATCCCATAATAGCCCTCATTGTGGGGATTTTGGACTATAACTACTTGAGAGAAGGCAATGGCCAGGTAAAGCAATGATGTAACAAAAAAATGGGGCCCTAGAAGGGGACCCATCAAGTTCCCAACATTTCAACCCAATGACCGTGCACATGGATTAGATTTTGTTAGTTCCTGTGATAACTAACTTCATCGAGCTGAGTCCTTCTTGAGAAGCTGCCAATTCTGCAGCTACTCAAGAACTTCTCAGCATTTTATGGAACCAAAAGGTTCATTACCATGTCCACAAGAACTATCCATGGGTCCCTGTCCTGAGTCAGATCGATCCAGTCCATACCACCCCATCCTATTTCTTTAAGATCCATTTTAATATTGTCCACCCACCTATGTCTTGGTATTCCTAGTGGTCTCTTTCCTTCTGGCTTTCCCACCAATATCCCATATGCATTCCTCTTCTCCCCCATTCATGCCACATGCCTTGTCCATCTCATCCTCCTCTGCTTGATCATTCTAATTATATTTGGTGAAGAGTACAAGTTATGAAGTTCCTCATTATGCAGTTTTCTCCAGTCTACCATAATTTAATTTCTCAAACACCCTCAGTCTGTTTTCCTCCCTTAATGTCAATGACCAAGTTTCACACCCATAGGCAAAATTATAGTTTGTATATTTTAATTTTTAGGTTTTTAGACCGCAGATGAGAAGATGGTTCTGGACTGAATGGTAGTAAGCATTACCTGAATTCAGTCTCCTCTTAATTTCCTCCTGGACCAAGTTTTTATTTCTGTCATTCCCAAATACCTGAACTGTGCCCCATTTTCAGAGCATGTTAGCTATCCTTATATCATGATTCTTCAATTCGTAATATACACTCTGGCTAAAATTGTGATATTCCAATAATTTGCCAAGCACAATTAATATACACAGTGTCTTTTTCCAAAGCTGCGAACTTATTTGAGATTTCAACATAATACTGCTTGTTACCCTCAATCTCGTTTAATTTCTTGAGATCATACCTGTCCATACGAACTCAGTGCGTTGAGTTCTTCTGATAATTTCATTAATTTAAAATGTTTAACATATAGTTTTATTAATAAAAGTAGTTGTGCACAATGTGTATATAGGACATCTGCAACATATGCAGTCAATGACTGATTACTTTGAAAGGAGAGAAGGATGTGTACTTTTCGTATATCATATGCTGTACAAATACAGGGGAAGTTTTCTTTTGGTGCGAAAGCACACTGTAGTGGAATCCAAGTACTGTAATATTCGTTACGTGTCCACGTTTCCGGCCATGGCATATACATATATATATATATTCGGACAGGGCCGGCGCGAAAGCACAACAGTATGCTGAAGCTTTGGGAGGTACATTTTTCGAGAAAGTCATACATTGACGTTGACTCTGCGAGATAAGAAGAGTTAAAAAACTTTTGCGGTAGGTTATCGTGCAGCGGTCACATATGTGGAGTAAAATCTGCTCCGTATGTCCTCTATTTGTTGCATCTTTGTTTAATAATTTTTCTTGCTAATGCAGTACAATATGTAAAGCTTCATCTCAGATTCCATGTGAGGAATGCTTCTTTTCCCAGGCGTGAAGGTGTGGATGTTTATATTTTCACTCATTTCATTAAATATAGAGACTTTATGCTTTATATTGTATATAGTTGATTATTCCCATGAGGATCCCATAAAATTGTGCCAGATGTTATGTTAGCCACTGTTTTAAGAACGAAAATTTCATTACCATGTCAAATTTCTGTGTTGCGGATATTGCTTTCTCGTGTATGTGGATGGTGAAATCTTTACTGGGTCTTTGTAGGATGATTGCAAGATATTTGTGTCAACTGATAAATCGAGCCCTGTTCTGTCTGTAGTGAATATTGTTTCTCTCGTCCAGGGGCGGCCCGTGTATAGGCACTGCGGAACTGCAGCACCCCCAATTTCCACTTGATATTATCGATAACATTTATATAATGAGTCCTTTTTTCTTTAATTCTTTCTTTATACTTGTACAATACAATATATAATCCTTAAGCTTAATGTCAGTAACCAAATCTTTGTATGGAACTGTGAGTTTCACAGTTCCAGCGGCAAGGTGTTCGTTGACTGTGCGCATGCGCACATAGGAAGCTACACGCGAGGCTGCAAGGGAGAGTGAGCACTGCAGGAACGACAGTGCCGACCGGTGCCGACCCTGGCGTGCTGGTGGAAGGTAGTTTTTTTTTTACTCCGCGTGTGTTGTGCTTAAGAACTATGAGTTAATTGTAGAATTAGATTATTATCCTGCTTCCAGCTATTCTATTTGATTAATTTTTTTTCGGTTCTTTTATTTAACAGAAAACTTTAACCATGGCCTTGCATCCCCGAGAAATAAGTTCTGTGACTGTAAGTGAACTTCAACAGCTTAAGTTTTCACAACTGTCTCTCCATGAGAAAGTTGCAGTTAAGAAAAGAGGTCGTTTAACACCTGATATTCTAATATCTCAGCCAGGCATAAGCAAGAACAAGAAATATATTCGTAGCTTTAATTCTGAATGGTACAAACAGAAAAGTTGGCTTTGCGGCTGTGAAGTAAAAAATGCACTGTTTTGCTTCCCGTGTTTGCTGTTTGGGGGTGATGTAACGTGGACAAAAGATTTTTTTAGAAATATAAACAAAATGAAAGAAAAAACTGAAAAGCATGAGAAGTCAAAGAAGCACGTTGATAATGTAGTTTCACTCTCACTTTTAGGAACCGTAAGTATTAAGGAGAAACTTAGTGAGGCATGCAGACTTTCAATCAATGAGCATAATATAAAGGTTAAAATGAATGGATTTCATTTTTATATGAATAGATTAAGCTTGGAACTGTAACAATTGAGGTTAAAGTAAGTAAAAAATGTTTGATTTTATCAAGTTTCTGAATAAAATTTCTTTTTATACATGTTTGTTTCCTTTTATACAATTTTAAAACAAAGGCTACAAATTTTCTGGAGCAGCACCGCCACTAATTTTAGCTACGAGCCGCCACTGGTCTCGTTCTTTCCAAGAAAGTTACACCATTAGTGGCCATTTCCCATTACTCTCGGCTCTAGGCCCTCTAGCTCTAGGCTGTTGACACGCATTCTCGTGGCAGAAATATAGAACTTGCCAATTGAGAGCGCGAAGAAGAGTTTGATGAGTTTGATGTTGGTAGTAATGGTCTTGCCAACTATAGTATGAATTGGTACGACTAATCAGAGAATGCGTTTGAAATCATTCGAAAACTTGTGAAATAGACGTATAAGAGTGAAAGATTATTGTATACACGTTGTGATTTGTGAAAGGTGAGTTATTGGATGTTTTACAGTTTATTTATGATTATAACACGTGACACCAAACGCTTTTTCTCAGAATATACGTAGTCTTTTACGATTAATCGTGTGCTGAAAGCGTAAGAAAGTAAGCAAGAGACTCTTTAAGATTTGAGGCTATTAGGTCGGTGACCATGAAGATCACTCATTGTCGTTTGGAGTTACATGTTTAATCGTGTGTTGAAAGCGTGTAAAGGCAAAGAAGCAGCAGAATGTAAGAATGGAGGTTCCATGGCCGTGATTTTGGTTCCTGCTTTTGGGGTGAAATTTTTACCATAAGGTGGACGTGGCAGGTTGCCCGAAACGGTGGTGATGATCTACCAAGCTACACAACATTATATCTGAGAAAGCAGTAGTCTCCAAGCAGACTACTGTTGAGAGAGTTGTATAAGTAAAACTACTAACCCTATAGTCCCTAATACCAAAGAGAAAAGATACATATAAATGGAAGGGTTGGGTGTATAATAGGCGATACGTATATGTATGATATAATAGCAAGCTATGTCTACTGTTAATAAATGCTTAAGAATGATTTTTGTAATATGCCGATTACCACTGGTCTTAACAGAATCCAGTCTCCGAAACATTGTGTGTTTTAAATAAAAACAGGAGGATGGATAATGGCCAGAAGCACAATTAATGTATTGATTGATTGATTGATTGATTGATTGATTTATTATTAATGGTATTAATATACCATTGCCAAGGACTTTGAAATAATTTTATGATTAGCTTCTCCTTCAATTCATAATTCTTAATACAGTATTCATAATATTAATATCATTTTATTTAACTTAGATATGTAATGTTATTTCTGTAATATGTCATTCTTCACATGGATGTCTATCTAGAGGATGAATAAAGAATGACTGTAGGATGCTTCAAAATATGATAAATTAGAAGCTACCTGCGTGCCTTATACTACATTCTGACTTCCTTCTGCGGTATAAAGACACTCATAACTTGTTACTTGTACTTTTGTCAGACCTTTGTCTTCTAATGGTATACACAGCACTCCCATTTTTTTGAATTTTGTATTGAAAGTATTACTATAATCCTTTCTGAGATTTCACTGCTGCTTTTATCTCTCTTCTCTGTGGTGTCAAATTTTTTCTGCAGGAACAATGTAGCTTTCTCAGTAGATTTAAAAATAGAGGGAGAGGGATAGTGTAAAGGGAGTTGCTAATTTGTTGCATGATTTGTGGAAATGATGGCTATTATTATACTTATGAATTCTTGAAAATTGTGTACAATATTATATTTAAGCATCCTGTTGCACTCTACACGATAAATGATACAAACTCCGTCCCAAGTGCAAACAATATATATTATATGTCTTTGATCTTGCTCTTTTCTACACTACATGTTTCGGCCTCTAACGGCCATCATCAGGTGTATACTCTTACGTTGCTGCCACACTGAACCCAGTCTAAAATTTATAGTTATAGTTTAGTTATAGAGACACACGTAGTAAAGACAAGCAGCGGCACGCACACAGGAAGACTACACAGAATAACACCTGTACAGTGTGGAAACAAGAACTAGCCGCTGCAGCACTTTAGACATAGGGAGAGTAACCCTAACAATTTTAAATTTTAAATTTTAAGAAAATTTTGAAGGATTTTAAAATTATAACTAAAGATTTTATAGTGCTACTACAGGANAATACTAATGTAATAAATAATATAATGGTATAATAATAATACTAAGATAATAAAATGATGATTCTAATAATAGAACTGATATAATCGTTTAACACACGACACTGATGTACACCTCAAGACCCAATCCTTCTATCCCGGCACAAAATACCCTGGTATCCTCGATCTCGTTCCTGTAAGAAAAAATACAGAAAAGGGCAGTAGACATTCCTATAACATGTACTAATATTAAAATCTACAAGTTAATTATTCTTGAAATATATGTTTACAAGTGATTAGAACTAGGATTTGTCCCCAAACAAGAGAAACTTGGCTATACTATAGAAACAATGATCAAGTAGGAATGATTTCAAAGTCTTTTTAAACTTGTATAGTACTGGTACCTCTTTAATATATTGTGCCAACTGATTTAACATACGAAGTCCGATATTATTGAAATTGTTTTTGTATAGACTCGTATTACATGGCACTATGAACAAGTCTTCTTTTCTCCTTGTATTGTACGCGTGTATTCCTGAATTGGTTATGAAAACATTCGAATTGGTTTTTATGTAAACTAGAATTTCATATATATACAGACATGGTAAATGTAATATATGTAACAATTTAAAATATTGTTTACAACTAATAGTTTTCAGGATTTGTATCATAGCTCTAATAGCTCTCTTTTGCAACCTAAAGATCAATTTTGCATTTCCTGAATTGCCCCAAAATATCAGTCCATATAATAACAAGGATTGGAAATAAGTATAATATAAAGTGCGAACAGTCTCTAACCCTGATACTCTTTTGACTACTCGTAAGGCAAAACATATTTTACATAATTTATTTGCTAGTTGTTGAGTATGTGCAGACCACCTTAGATTCTTATCCAGCCAAACTGCCAAAAATTTTGTATGTTCTGTATAATTGATGACTGTATCATAGAGCATTATTGATGGGCATTCGACTTGCACTTTTTGAGGTTGATGAAAGGATATTGCTATTTGTTTTTTCTTTATTAGTAATTAATGTATTCCTTTCAAACCACTCTGCAAGTGCATTTATTGTTTTATTTAGTTTCCTTTGTACATCATTAACACTATTTCCTGCTATAAGGATACTAGTATTGTCGGTAAAAAATGTCTTCCATGTTCAATGCCAGCTTCTAGATCATTGATATATAGCAAAAACAACACTGGTCCGAGAACAGAACCTTGTGGGACTCCATGTCTTATGGGTCTCTTTCGCGATAGACAACTAGTGATTTCATTAGTTTCTTTAGATCTATATGTAATTTCCACTTTTTGTTCCCTGTTTTCTAGATATGATTGAAACCACTTTAGTGCAACCCCTCTTATTTCCATTCTTGTCATCTTCCTTAGCAGTATATCATAATCAACTAAGTCAAATGCCTTTGACAGATCCAGAAATATCCCTATACTTATTTCCCTCTCATCCAATGATTTGTAGACAGACATGTAACATGGAAAAGGAATAACAAGCATTTCTGTGGCACTGTATGTGGGGTTTACCAGCCTTCAGTATAAATCCATAGACCTCAGAAGTGTTATGTATTGTGTGAACTTGCATAGTGATATTGTGAAATAGACTCTGTTTTTAATTTTATTTTGTAGATTTTCAGGAGTGATGCTACAGAGTAAGAAAAAGAAGCAGCCAAAGAATGCATTTTATTTTTTCATGGTGCACTTCAGAAATCTAGAGGAGGCAAAAGGTGTCAAGTTTCATGATGGTTGGAAAGATGTTTCTGAGAAGGCAGGTCCAATATGGAAGGTAAGACAGGATTGGAGAGAGTGTACTCTGTGATGTTGTGTACAAAATTCCTGGTGGGTCCTGTTTAGTAGTGGTCTCTATAATATTTGACTAAGAGTTTGTGATTAACTTGAAAAAGTTCATCTATGACCTTAAGTTAAATGGACTTTGTTGTGGTTCAGTATGGCTAAAAATTGAAGTTGCTTGATGCCTTTAAGTGAAAGTCATAGCAGGCATGACTTTCATATGAGATATTCTCTATTACAGTAAATCCTCATTATAATGGGCTAGAAAGGGGGCAGGGTGTCTGTTATCCCCAATGTCCACTACAACCGAGCAGTACAATGGAAGTACACCACAGGATACATAGCCAGTACACGTGATAAACACAGAAACATGTAATGTGATTACATAAAGGTTTTCGTATTGGGGTTCTTTTTTATTTTAAACAGTCTTCCAACTACAAAACCTTAATAGTTCTTTAACACCTCTAAAAATTCACAATTGAACAGAACCAGATTTTGTCCTTATATCTGAAATCTGTTATGTCTGGGTCCGTTATAACGAGGGTTTACTCTACTTCATAAAGTATGCCTGAAAATGGCAGACCTGTAAAGAAAGAGTGAAAAGATAGGAAAGGGGAAAACAGTGCTGAGTGCAGTACCCTCAGATGCCAAAGTTCCATTGTTGGGAGATGTATTTGGATTTATATTTGCACTGTGTCCACAGTTACTCTGTGCTCCAACATTGCATACACTGTATTAACACCACACGCTCACTCAGACTGTAGAATAATGATAATGATATGCAACTTGGCAGAGCAGGGATTTTTAATTTTAATTCTATTCCAATAAAGATTTGAAGATATTCGTATATACAAAGACTGGGGATTAAAGTGATGTAATTCCATTGCTTTAGTTCAGAACATTTCTGAGATTAAAGAATGCTATCTTCTGGCATGTAACACTGTGTAGGTCCATAGAAGGCTACTAACATATCATAAGAATGTATATCTTACATTTTAAGGGTTGAAGAGTAAGCCAGGTTTATCTCTTGCATGGCTGACTCTTTTACCCTGAAGATGGAAGCAGAATGTTCATTGCAGATATTAGTGGACTTGTACTAGACTACGCAGCATTAAATCCCAGAAGATAGTACTCTTCATTATTGTCACTGTGGGAACCTCAAATCTGAGATTGTTAAATTTCTATCAGGATTAACATGGAACAGTGAGATGGCTGTACAAGCAAATGAAGCATTATACAAATTTTTAAGTAAGTTTCCTTTTTCAGAATATGCATCCAGATGAGAAGTGGATTTATGAGGAAGAAGCTCGCAAGGCAAGAGGACGAGACAAAAATAATCTTGAATGCAAGTTTACATCACAAGGAAAGAGCTTTGCACAAGTTGAGCGTGAGAAGAATGAGGCTTATGAACAAAATATCAGGATGACTCAAGAAATAGAGGGCACAGTGCGCTCACTTGACATCTCGACATGTGAGTTCAGCTGATAACAGTTGTGGCATGCTAGAAGTTCTGGCATGAAATTTTTATTGTGGATCATATTCATATCTTTTATAAATAAGGCAGTGAAGAATTTTATTATCCATACCTCCACCCTTTCTTTGCGAGATCTGTTCATCAGGCCTTATAATTGTTCAGTCCAATTTGTCTTGAAGATAACAAATAGTGTATGCTGAGATGTTGGAGCAGTTTCAACATAGATGTGGCTAAACTCTGAAGGCCAAAATTGTGCATTATTCTCATATAGGTATGAGAGACTTTATTTTATGTTCATTATCTGGAATAAATGTATATATAATATGTCCAAGTATGGAATTGTCTTTGATTTCAAGTAGAAGGAAAGGAAACTTTCTCCTTAGGACCCAAAAAATAAATTGATAAGGAAGAGCTTCATCTAACAGGCCTCAGAGACTAGGGGGTCTTTTCATTCTACCTGAACTTAGGGACAGATCCAGCTTTCAAAACACTGAATACAATTTTTAACTATGCTGTGTATGACAACAAAGAAAACTCTCCAGTGTCTTTCTTTTTTGTGGTTTATTGATATACTGTCAGTAACCAAACTGTATGGCATTGAGTGGTAGCATGGTTGATGAAATGGAAAGGTTGGACCATACAAATCAATGTCAGATCGCAGATTCTGCCTGCCATTTAGAAACAAAATGAAAAACAACTGAAAATCAGTGTTTAGTTATTGCAATCTTATAAGCCCCTCAAATTATGTTTTCATAAGATATGAAACTAACTCATAGTAGGATTCGTCTTTCCTAACCTTGTGATTAATGTTATAAATACCTGGATTCAGATAAAAATGCAAAATGTAGTTTGTTACCTTCATTGTTTTCTTTATGTTTACAGCTTTGCCCACCTACCCATTTCACTTGATCCATGTGAACTATTACTGTCGCCAGGAGAATGGAATGTACACACCTTGTGAAGTTGCACTTTCAGAGTTCACTCTTATGGATGGTGTTAGGAAGGTCTACCACACATTGATCAACCCTGGTGAGTACACCACTAAGCTCTTTCTTCGATTCTGTGTATGGCTGGTTGATTTGAGCATGCAGAGCATTTATAAAACTTCTAGCAAGGTCTATATCAGTTTCACATTTTGATTTAATTTATATACTAATGTTCTGCAATTCAGTACTGGAATATATGTCTTGAAAATAAGCAGTTCTTAAACACAATTCTTCGCCTCCTAACTGAACACCTATAACAGCCTTTGTTTCAGATACATGTATGTGAATTCCCACTGACTGGTATCACTGAATGAAGTGGTGCCATCTGCTCTTTGATTCTTCTCCTGATAAATTTTTCTGTGAGGATGAAAATTCTCTCCCATTTAGTCTACATTCCATCCTTAAGGAAAATAAATTAGGCTAACAAACTCGCCATGTTGTCTGTGATACTCCTGTGGAACTTTTGCTTGAATTTTGTGTCATTGAAGGCCACCACAACCTCATTTTAATTTTCTTAACTCAGTAGAACTTAGACATATCACTTGATGCATGTTTGCTGCTATAATGACTACCTGAAGAGGGCTTTACATGAACAAGTTCTCTTTTCCTGCCATTATTTCTGTTTTATGCAAACCTTTTCTTCCCACAGCCCCTCCTTTTCAATTCCTTGCCAGTTCTTTCCGCCCTTCTTGCTGTCTTCCTGTGCATGTCAGAACTGTATTGTGGGTTTTACTTTCTTACTCCTTGGCTGCATGGTCCTCTAAGAACTTGACTTCCTTTGTGACAGATGCAAATTCTTATTTATTCTTTGACTTTTGTCTACATCTCTTCACTTTTGGCTGCCATTAAATCATGCTGTATGTCTTCCACTCATCTCACTTTGAGCCTTCCCACTTCCCTTCTCCCTTCTGACATCTCACAGGTCTCTTTCTTTTGAACTTTAACTTCTGTGACAGGTCCAGGAAACAGACTATGGATTCAATAATTCTTTCAAAGTGATGAAAAGCTGCAGAGAGAAGGATGGATCTATAGAAAGGCATGACCAAGTACTAAAATGAATTCTTATTCTTTCTTTATTTCTACCAGCCTTTCTGTTTGTAAGTCCATTTGTAGAAATGGATGGCAGCAAACTAAATATTGTGGCAGTCTGCAGTGTATATGACCAGCAGTTTGTTTCTGTACCAGGTAACATTCCTCTTGGGTATAAGTATGAAGCTGAAAGGCAGTCAGCCGAGACTCATCAGATTCCAGTTCCTCCTGAAGAATTTGGAGGTGAAACAGATTACGTGAAAATCCTGCTCACCATTAAGCAGTTCTTAACGGTGAGTGTAGAACGGAACATTATGGACTTTCTGTTGCAGAGTTTCAAGATTTGTAGTTAATTCCATTGGAGTGTAATATATAATGATGCATGAGAAATGTCTGTCGTTACACATTTGATGCTAACACATCCATATCCTTCGGTTTGAAAATCCACATATCTGCTTCACATGATAGCAGGCTGTAAATTGTGGGGTTTGAGCTTTAGTTAGACTAGAGGTGAGTAAGTGGTGGCTTGATTTCTGCATTGGAGTGCTTCAAGTATAAAGTTGTATGAACTCTTAGATGCTATCCAGTGTGCTGAGTATGGCAGGCCTGCATGTCATGTTACCATCCCAAGGGTGTTCTTTATATGATCAATTCCAAGAGCATTTCTTATGCTCTGAAAAGTATGGAACTGTCATGAGAAATTTAACATTTTTTTAAAATAAAGTTTTATTATCTTTCACTTTTTCTGTATTGTATAGTGAATTGTACAAGTGTTCCTCTCACCTCACATGTCAGCCTTGTTTAGATTTTCATAGTTAGGAATTTAGACAATGTAAGAGGAACCTCCAGTGTTCGGCCATGCCATAGCTCAGGCAAATTGATCACTGGTGTTTTACCATGGAGGCCTGGATAAAGCCCATGTTAGTCCCTTTGGAATTTATGGTGGACAGTGGCACAAGGGCGGATTTCTCTATGAGCACTTCAGTTTTCTCTTGACAGTTTTTATTTTACCAGGGCTCCATATTCATCTGCCATCAGGGGATTGTTCATTTGAGGTTGCAGTTCCAAGGAACTTAGTCTAACCCCACTCCTGCAACTAAGGACAATTTGATACTTACATGCTGTCAGGCAACCCGACTAACTTTAGAAGTTACCACCATGTTTTCTGTTGTAGTACTGCCAGTCTCAGGTTTATTTGTAAAAACAGACTCAAAGCCTTGCCTCCAACAGCAAGACCCACAGGGTTAAGCTTTGATTTTGTTTTTAAAAGGTTAGGCCTTTGGTTTCATTTTGAAAAGGTTCGGGTTTTAGTTAAGTTTTAGAAATAAATATCTAAAAGTATTCTACATTTCACAGTTCTGATTTGGCAGACAAACATGTCAGTAAAGTTATAAAGTTATTTGGGTCATCTGTTAAGTATCAAAAGACCTCCAGTGTCTTGTCCAGCCTCTCACTGTGTATGAAAATGGTCATTTCTTTTAAAGTAATTTATTTTATCTTGAACAGGGACCTGGTGGTAGTAAATACCCCATGCCACCATTGTACACACAGCCAAACTGTGAAGATGTTGTGAAGAATGTTCTGTATAGGCTTGAGGATTGCATTCGGACAGGTAATCTAACCTCTCTAACTTTCATGCAATATTGAGTGATTTAGGTGGGAATAATTGAGTGCAAGATTTTGTGAGGTAGGTTTCCGAATAGTGCTCTTGTTTCCTGTGCCATTTCTTTCCTAAAACTATACTTACAATTACTAATTCTGGACCAAGGCAGGTGGAAAGTACTGAACAGACTTGTCTGAAGGTACTGATACATAATGTTCCAAATTTACTTGTGATCACTGCCATATGATTCTTCACTGAGCAAGTTGGTGAAAGTGGTGGTGCTTCTGAGGTGCCCATTTTGAATCTTGGCCAGGATGCTAGCTATCCTGAGTTTTTTTTTTGTGATTTTTCCTCAATCCCTCCAGTGAAATGCCAAAATAGTACCTTCAATTAGACCATGATTGCTCCCTTCTGCAACAACAAAAAGTACATGGTTGTTTAATTATTGCTCTGGATCATTGATCAGTTAGATGAAGTGTATTGTATGTATGATTTGTCACTAGTTAATGGGGGTAAATACTTGGGAGTGTACAAACTCTTCTTGTCATATGTAATTTGACCAGCTGAATGACAAAATTGTAAGCATCTTGGTTGAACCTGTTATTACCATAGATCACTCTACATATTTACTTCAGTCTTTAATGCATCTCTCTTCACAGTCTCTCCTTAATTTGAAATATTAAAATCACAATCAACTGCTACATGTTTCAGCCTTACTTGACCATCCTCAGGAAACTGTTCACTTTTCAAAAACACCACATTTCACTAGTTCTTAAGTCAAAATATTTAAATGCTATTGCATTTTTGTCATTCATACTAAAATACATTTATGTGAGAACACAACTCTTTATCCTTTCCCTCGTTATTTTCCTCTTGCAGTGTCCGTGTTTTTGTGTTGTTATATTTATCCCTGTGAACGTTGGTATGGTGTTGATATGCCACATTAGTATGTATGTTTCCACTAGTCAAATGTATATCATTAAATAAAATGACACAAAAAAAAATGGATGCAGCAGGAAAGGATAGAGAGTTATGTTCTAAAACAAACGTAGTTTAGTATGAACAACGAAAATGCAGTAGCATTGAAATATTTTGGTTTAAGAACTAGGGTAGTGTGGCACTTTCAAAAAGTGAACAGTTGCTTGACGATCGCCAAGTAAAGCTGAAACATGTAGCAGTTGATTGTGATTTTAAATGTTATTTTAAATTAAGGAGAGATTGTGAACAGAGTTGCATAAAAGATGGAAGTGAATGGTAGAGTGATACATCAGTGCAGCAGGATGCTGAAATACAATATTATAAGCATAGAGGTCCAATATGTTCAAATAATGATACTGGCAGAAGAGTGTGTTCAAATGAAATATGCAAGTTAGAAACTTTTAACTTACATACCAGTTACATTTACTTATGGTAATGCCCTGTTCTGTTTTAGACTACTCAAGTGAATCTGACACATTTAGAGTGTATCCTCTTCCTAAGCTATTTTATGAACTGCGCAATGCATGTATCAGTGACAAGCCAGGAGCACCAGGTTTTCCAGTATACAGCCTAGCAGAACGGGAACTTGAGAGAGATGTATTCAGCTTCACCCAAGGAATCTCTTGCAAGGTGAGTGTGTTTATATATTGATGTTTAGTAACTGAATCCAATGACTGTGAGACATAAAACTGCTAAATCATATAATCACACAATTCAACACATGCCAGCATACCAGTATCACTACTTACTGCACAAAAATGCTAGTCTTTGGTGTAAGTCTATTATTTTTGTTACATTTCTCACATTGCAAGATTTGAGGTTGGCATAATGCTGATGAAAAGTACTATCTTCCAGGACAGGACACTGTATAGTGCAATAGGAATTACATTTGGAGGAATATACTGTCTCTGCCTTCAGGGCTAAAGAATGAGCTCAGCAAGCAGAATATATAGTCTAAATGCTGCTTGCTCCTGACTGTTTGGTCTACTCTTCAACCCTGATGATGTAGGTTGTGTATTCCCTCAAAACTTCAGTAAACTTTTACCAGACTACACAGTGTCACATCCCAGATGAGAGAGTTCTTCATGTTTATATTTATTCTTGATTCAGTTATGATGTTTATGTTGCCAGTTTCATGACGGGACTGACGCTGTGCAGCACTGTAGCCTCTCATATGTTCGTCGCTGGGGCTTTATCATCTTGGATCATTGTTGTAAAGATCTAGGTATTGAGCTAATTCCAGGAGAGCATTGCCCCAGGCATGCAGACACAGCACGCTACAAGAGAGTGACATCTCGACCTTCTAGTGTGGTGAGTACATCTAATGGGACTGTGCAGATGCATATGACATGTAAGAGGAGACACCCAGCACTACAAACGTACAACACATAGGTGCATAAAACGGTAAAATTTGGAATTGTATTCAGTGATGGAAGTGCAGCAGTTTCCAGCATCAACTTTGAATTGCTTGATGATGACCATATCAGTCAAAATGTGTAGTACACCAGTGATTTAAAATTCAGAGTGAGTTTTAAGATTTTAACACAAGTTGCATTTGGGATGGAAGAATAAAAAGTGTGAAAAATTAACGGTTTCTGCAGAGATTTGTCTGTAAAGAGTAGTTTATTCATGTGTGATGACAAGATTGAAACTTCTTTTTAAGATCTGGTAGCCAAACAAATATACTGGCCATCAGAAAAAGGTGGATCTTAATTTTCTGACAAATCACTGTGGCTGTTGCCTGCAGTCAGTGTGCAAGATTAATTTCTTCTTCCTGTGCTGTTTGTCAAACATTCACATGCCAGGCAAAATATAACAAAAAAAGAAAGAATGAGATTTAAAGAATGGATTAATTGTTACAAATCCTTAATTGTGTTGATCTTAACTTTATGGACAAGGTTTGCAATTTCTTCTGTGCCACATATGATTGATTAAGGTTGACAGGACTCCAGACTCCTGAATGCTGAGTGGGAAATTTTTCTGGTTGCTCCTGGCAACTAGACTGTATTTTTTGACCCCTGATGATGAAGCATGATCGTTATTCCTATGACCCCTAAGAGGTTCACGAGGCATCTACAAAGTTCTGCCATTCGACCCTATTCTCGGCCAGTTTTTAACCTCATTCCATGTTTCACCTTTCAGAGCTTCCATGTCAGTTTTTTTTTTTCCGAATTTCTTCTTGGTCTTCCTCCTCTGAGAATTCCAGTCCATTGTGTCTTGTTCTACCAATCCTTTTTCTTTGCTCTGACAGTGTCTGAAACATGTTCACTATAAATTCTTTCTGACCTGTTTTTTTCTCCCCAGTGGTCTTGGTTGGAAATCACTTTTGACTTTCTTATGTTTAGAATTCTTCTCAGGTGACAAATATCTGCAAATTATGGTTAGGAACTTGACTTATCTTCAGTGTTTCACAGTTTTATGAAAGGGCAGTCTGTGTTAACTCTTCACACTGGGTATAATTGGGCAAAGGTTGCAGTTGCTTTTGTTATGTGACTTCATTGTGATGAGAATAGAGCTCAATATGTCATGTACCCTGACTTCAGTTTGGTAAGTTTTGGACTGGGGATTGTGAGGTCTTACTGGTAACCAATTAGGATAACAGCAAAAAGAGTTCAGGGTCAGTGATATATGTACACAGACACTGCTTCACAGCAGAATGCAATGGCACTGTGGCAGTCCCTCCTGATGATTTTTTATTGTATTTAATTGCTGCATCCCTCTTGTGAGTTTGGATATGTTCTATTAACAGGCTACAGATGTTTCTTCACCTTCACCAAACCTAGTGAAGAAGCCAGACTTTGTGGACTGTGGCAGGCTTTCACATGATCCCTCCTCTGTTCAGGTATGAATGCACAAATCACATTATGAAATATAATCTGTGTGTAACCCAAGAAGTGGCACTTGTAGAAAAATTCATATAGCTGAATTTAGAGAATCCTCGGGCTTTTGTGTCTAGTTTATTCTGGGCCATTCTGTGGCATGCTGTCCTTAAGGAAACAATGTAGACTGACATAATGCTGTTTGTGGTCATGCTTATGTGTCTGCCTGTTTACCCATTTTGGCTTTTGAACTAGTTGACTGTCCCCCAGTTGCACATACTGTTATTTTCCTGAAGGTACTATCTATGCAGTTTTAGTTAGTGGTATGGTGTCTGTCAATTAATGATATTTAATAGAAATTGTTTGAGCCCTTTGAGAAAATCATGTTGTGTTTTTGGGGGCCCATCTGAAAGGCCCCTATGTTTTGAGCTGGATTGTTCATATTTCCATGATTTATTTAAACCGTCTTGCAGTGCATACACTCATTTATCTCCTTATCTCCCTCGCACTACATGTTTCGGCATAACAATGCCATCTTCAGGTGCTTACTTATCCACGCCAAACCAGTTCATTGCATGCCTTGTTCTCATATTAAAATAATCAAAATATGTATCTATCATATACTCACTATAACTCACTCAAAACGAAGACAGAACACACACACATACCCAGGAGGCCCAACAGTATAACACACGCAGTCACAGGAGCAAGACATAACAAAAGCACAACACACACAAGACAGTGAAGGAGTGCTCCAACAGAGGAGAATGAGCGTGACTGGCGTAGTGAGGGGCGACATAGCGATGTGGTATCCTGAACAATTTTAATATTTTTAACGTTTGACAATGTATATGATAGATACATATTTTGATTATTTTAATATGAGAACAAGGCATGCAATGAACTGGTTTGGCGTGGATAAGTAAGCACCTGAAGATGGCATTGTTATGCCGAAACATGTAGTGCGAGGGAGATAAGGAGATAAATGAGTGTATGCACTGCAAGACGGTTTAAATAAATCATGGACTTAAATCAGTGCAACAGGACGCTAAAATATAACATTATAACATGTTCATATTTGCCAGGCACTGACTGATGGTGGGTGAACTCTTGAATGCTGAATAAAATCTGTCCAACTCTTTAGGTACACGTCCATACATACATACAGACAGATGGAATTCTGAGAAGTACTTTTTCATAATCAGGGGCTGAAAACATGTAAATCCATCAAAATCTTCTGAGCAGTATTTTTCATGAACACATTATTTCTAATATATAATACATGTATGAGGAAGTAAGAACATTAGTATGAAAGGTACTACTGAATTGTAGTCTTCTTGGATATGACAATATATGGTCCGTCTTATATCATTATGATAGAGAAAGAAGATTCCTCTGAAACAATGATAATCACCTACCAGATTATATGGTGTCATAGCCCAGAAAATTATAATTTCATTTTAATGCTGTGTAAACCTCAAATCTGCTAGTCTACAGATGACTGAATTTTGTTAAGTCATTTGTGTAATATGTCATGCAAGTCTGAAACCATAAACAAAATTGGATTTCTTACAAAACATGCTCAAGATACAGATCTCTCCCATCTGGACCCCATTATCACAGCAGAAGTCAAGAAACTACAACTCTTGTCGATTGTAGTTTGAATGGGGAAATTTGTTTTTCTTTTGTTCATACCATAAGGAGTATTGCTTCTCTCGATGATATCAGTCTAGATACTTCTCTGGTGCAAGGCCTCATACGTGTGGAGTTTTAATAATTTAATATACATACATACATACATACATACATACATAGCATTCCATAGATCCATGAGTTAGTCAGATGACCTGCCGGATGTGGAATTTGTCAAAACTCATACAATACATATATACATCCACAATTAAATTTCACACAAATAGTAAGGATTTCACAAAAGTAGTAAAATATCCATCATAAATCCATACATTAACATATACTAGATTTTTTTTTTTTCCTGTGTTCCAAACAAGAGAAAACATTACATACACTTTATGTTGTTAGGAAGCATAAATTCCTCAACAGAGTAAAAGGAGTGTGTAATTAAGTATCTCTTTAGTGCTACTTTAAATTGTCCCTGTTTATCTATAAGAGTTGTGATATTTGGTGGTAGATTGTTGAAGATTTTAATGCCAGTATAATATGCACTCTTCTGGAAACAAGAGAGGCTGGCAACTGGTCTGTGAAGCTGATTTTTATTCCTTGTGTTGACATTGTGTATTGTAGAATTGGTTGGAAAAAATTCTTGGTTTTTTACAATGAAGATCATTAAGGAGAATATGTATTCACATGGGAGAGTTAAGATCTCTAGCCTCTTGAAGATATTTTTACATGATTCTCTTGGTTTAACACCAGCCATTATTCTAACAATTTTCTTTTGTAAGATGAATATCTTCTGGCTGTAAGATGAGTTACCCCCAAAAATTATTCTGTACTTCATTAATATTTTCTTAGCTCTTGCAGATAGTTTGTTATGTGTTTCATTTATGTGCCCTATCTTGGAGGTTGCACAGGTGTCCAGAGATAGGGACTAGATTTGTCAATTTGGTCCAGCTGAGTAGGTTTTACCTGAAGACAGACAGAATCCAGTCAAAGTAAAGGTTGTTTTTAGATAAAGACAGGACAGATAATGTCTAGAAACAAAATATTTGTACTAATGTACCATCGTCACACACTTTTAGATCTTATATACAGGCTCAAGATGCTCACCATTTATGTCAGTGAAAATGTGCAACCATTTTTATCAGTCAAAGAAAACAGAATAAATTGCTTGTGATATGATCTCACTACATGCATTAACAATTTGCTGCAGAAGATCCTTTACATTATATACTTCCACAGCATATACTGAGATTTTGAGATCCGCCCCCCCACACACACACACACACAGGTAAGAAATGAGAGGCATAAGGTCATGGGATCATGATAGCCATTTCACTGGTCCCCCATCTTCCAGTCTGATGTTGAGGGAACCAATCATCTAGCCATCGTCTGACTGCATGGCTCTAGTGTATATTGCCTTTGTTTCCAGACTTGTTGAACATTCTGTAGGTCTTAAGGTTTTAGTTTTGTATTTTTGTATCTCTGGTTATTAATGTTCTGATAATGACAAACTTCAGATTTAGATGAAAGTAAGCTTTATCTAGAATGTCTCTCAGGGCACTTCATACTTTGGGTAAATAATGTTATGGAAGAAAAGTCCTGTGTGTTCAGCGAGAGCTTGATTATGGTGAGTTTGCTTCTCATCATTTGTATGTTGAAAATACGTAGACTCATAATAACTTTCTAATGATATAATATCCTGTATCACTGTCTGATGATTGTACACCCTCAGAGATATTTTAGAGATAGTATACTGTAAGTTTAATTTTTGTGGAGGAGCATTTGCTTTGATTCTTTTGCTAATAGTAATGTGTCTTTGTAGGACTTCATGTTTGGAGACAGACCTGAAATTGTCAGTTCCAGCAAGCAACCTGACTTGAGGGAACAGGAATTAGTGCCACTCCGCCAGCCAAACACTGACTGTGAGTTGATGCTTGCAGTTAGAGGCCCAGCAAGACCCTTCAATTTTACCATTAATGATTGCTGCATGAATTAACATTTAATGTTCCTACTGTCACGTGACAGTATTTGAAATACTAGGCTGAATTGAATTTTGGAGTGCGTTGGAATCTCTTTTCAGTGTTTCGTGATTTAAGGTTTTCCCCTCATTTAATATCCAATCTCAGTTATCTGAAGTGAGGAGTCTCAGTATGAAATCTTCTCCGTTCAAGAGTTCTCTCAGTTTTGTGCTTAAATTTACTACATCCTAAAGAAACCTCAGATAAGTCTCAGTATATACAGGGAGTTAATAGAAATTAAGAATATTAGGCATGTTAAGAATTTTTTCAGTCTGAGACGATTAAGATGAGAATTCAGAAAAATTGGATTTATGATAGAATGAGAATTTTTTTCTGCACTTGTTTTCCCATGTAATCACAACTTATAACACCAGCTGCTCCTTCCCCACTGCATTGCCTTGTACTGTTTATTATTTCTGATGTGAGATCTATTTTCAGTGGCATATTTACATAGACCATTGTATTTGGAAGAAATCAGAGAGAGAGAGAGAGACAGATTTTATTAGCTGCAAACTGTTGTGATTGTAATGGATTGGATTGTTTATGTGTTTTAATGCAGAGCAAAAACAGTTATATATAATTCTTGAAGTCTGAGATTGAAAAATCAGTGTTTGAATTTAGATATTTTTCATTTCATTTGTTATACAGAAACGTTTGATTGAATTCATAATGCTGGACTTCATTATGAAAGATGGATAAAGTTTTGCTGCATAATTGTATTCCACTCTGCTTAATTGTTGTGACATTTTGTTCCAGCTATTGCTCTAAGTCTCTTGAGGACACAGAAAGACATCCCTTCACCAGGTTCCTCAAGACAGAATGGTAAGGGATGGAGAATATTCTACTCTATGTCACTTAAGTTAATGGCAAAGTTACCCACGTACATAATTAATTAAGCACTATGCAATGAAGACGGGAGTGGAAGCATAGCTCCACTATCCTTAATATTGGTACTAGATGGAGGTAAGTGGTCAGCTTCGTGCCCCTGTTGCTTTATCCCTGGGGAAATAGCCGACGGTACCTACTATGTAGGAGTATGGGTGGGTCCTAGAGCCAATGTAATGGACTCAGTGAAGAAGAGAGAATGATCTTTTCCCTACTGGGAATCAGACCCTGATTTCTCAATCATCCTGATCATAGCCTAATCATATGACTAACCTAGTAGTGTGATGCAATCTTGAATTTCATCTTCTGCTCCAAAAATTTCATTTATAATTCTGTTCCTTCTTGTTTTTCACTCAGAACTTCTCAAAAATGTCATGTTCATGTCATAGCTTGCCATAAGTACCTATATTATAAAGAAAGATGTCAGTAAAAATTTTAGGTTGTTGGGGTTTTATTATAAGTAGGTTTTATTCAAGATTTTAAGTTCTCATGTTGGAGACATTAAAGATTACTATATTCTGGGTGGGAGCACTATGCTACAAGCTGGAAGGTTGCAGGCTCGAGTCCCAATGCGGTAAATTTTTTCAGTTGGCCTAATCCTTCCAGCTGCACTATGGCCCTGGGGTCAGCTTTGCTTCTAATAGAAATTTGTACCAGGAATCTTCCTGGGAGCTAAAGGGTGGCCAGCGTGTAAGGCTGACAACCTTACTGCCATCTGTGAGCTGATTGTCTAGAAAATGTGAGACCTTCAATGTCTCAGCCCTGTGGGCTTCCATGGCCTGTTACAGGGATAGCTTTGTCTTTTTAGCTTACTATTTTCTGGGATGTGATACTATGTAGTTACTCTTCTACTCTGAAGATGGAGGCAGTTGGTTCCTTCAATACTTGGTAGCTTTTAACCACACTACCAGGAGTATCAATCATCCTGGAAGGCATTAATCTTCAAGTTCCCAATTTCACTTGCCATACAAAAATATGTGTATCTGAGATTCTGAATTAGAACAGACACAGTTGTAAATGAATGAATTATTACTGTAGGATCATTAATCCTAAAAAATTTTGTAATTCAGGGCTGGGCAAGTCTTGATCATGGTCTTCCAGTGGACTGCTGAAGCATGGGGAAAAACGTGTATTGTTTATGTTATTTATAATTTATATAAGTTTACAGTGGCAAATGTTAATAGTATAACATGATATTATTAATATATAAAACTTGTGTTTCTGTACATTCTTATTGCCTAATAAGAGAACCTGTATTAAATTAAACGAATGAATCTCGGAGCTATGAACAGTTTGGAAGTGACATTTTTCCATACGGGATTCTTACAAGCCATGCTGTGATGCAGACCATGAAATGTTGCATCCTTGAGAAAACGTAACAGTTATTAGCGTTTCATTTTATTGTGTTCTATGTTAATATTGCAGAAATGGCTGGAGTGAAGACTGAGGAGCCGGTTGCTGTAGTAGGCCGAGGAAAGTTACGTACTGAGTTTACAAGGCCCATCAGTCTTGGGCGAGGTAAGCAGCACTCTTGTTTGCTTACTGTCTTGTAGCTGTCAGGCTTAATTTTCTTTAATTCGCTTAGTTGGGGGTGGAGTCCAACTGGGTCCGCTCGGCACGGAAGCCACTGATTGGCCTATTGTAGCCTGCCCCATGTGATTGTGATGATGGAGAATTTGGTGGAATGAAGATTGGCAGGGGAAACCGAAGTACTCAGAGAAAACCTGCCCCAGCGCCACTTTGTCCACCACAAATCCCACTTAACCAGACCCGGAATCGAACCTGGGCTGCCGCGGTGGGAAGCCAGCGACTAACCGCTTCAGCTATGGTGCGGCCAGCTCTCAGGCTTAGAATAGCATTTCAAGGATTGCAGTATGTTCTGATTATCCTCCACTCAGAGGTAAAATGGCTAGGTATTACTGTAGATTATATCATAATCATATTAATGAATGAGTGGCAAGGTGCTATGCATTCAACTGAGTTGTTTGACTAAAGATGTAATGCATGTCAGAGGTGACCAGTATGATTCTTGGCAGGGACACTCTGATTTTTTTTTTTCAGTTTTACTCAGTCTCTCCAGGCATATGTTGAGGTAATACTTTGAAATAGGCTGTGGCCACTTCCTTTCACATATTAACTATTCATAAATCACTAATCCTGTCATTCAGCACTTTGTAATCTGAGATATTGATGTCCTTGTTTATTGCAGGTCAAGGGCTTCTTGCTAACTTGGAGATGAACTTCGAAAATATGAAGGTGGAATAGTAGTGTTACCACAATTTATTACAATGCAATCTTGTAGTAAGTGCTGTGAATTTACACAGAAATCCTTGAGGTAACATATTAGGCTCTGGAATTTATGTTTTTATGTGTACATTTTAGATTTGGACAGGAACACAGATAAATTGTAGGGATGTGCAAGTCTCAAATTTTCAAGGTCAAATTAAGATAGTAAATCTTTATTGCACTTCTGCTTTGCAGTTTCACTCCTGAACTTAAAGAATTTTTACGCAACTCTTTTTGCTTAGCTCAGTAGCACACAAAACACCTGATCCAACAGAATTATAATCCAGAATTACTGTGTTTTTGGGCTTTTTCCATCATCCGGAATTCTAGGTAATAGAGGACACGATGTTTCGGAAACTGGATCTGTTTCTGTCTTCAGGTGAAAAAGGAAGACACCTACTCAGTTGGGCCCCTTAGAAAGCTACTCTCAATCCTTTCTCACCTGAAGATGGAAACAGATCGAGTTTCTGAAATGTCGTGTCCTGTATTACCTAGAATTCCAGACGATGGAAAAAGTCCGAAAACCTAGTAATTCTGTGTGTCATCCACCATCATCAGAACTCTTTAGAATTGTAATAGTTGGCACAACTAGCTGGGATCAGTTGGTGAGCTAAGTCTGGCTGTATTTGATACCTAAATGATATGTAGTATACTCGTGTGCATAGTGAAAGGGTGGTTAGTGTTATCAGTTGTGGTTCCAGTGAAAAACTGATCTGGGAGAGGAAATTATTCTTCTCTTATCAGTTCTTGAAATGTTTCCAAATTCCTGATATGAAAAATTCGTTCTTGCACATGCCTAGTATATTACTGCTGTATTGTTTATGGTTATGGCACAAAAATAAACTATGTTTATGTTGTGTATACCTAAGCTACTCAGATGGTTGTATTGGTCTCCCTGCTTCATTGTTGAGTGCCCTGGAAAATTGTTAGTATGATCTTCATAAGTTACACTAAGGCTTATGCTCTTTTTCTGTTGTTCCTATATGTACAAAATTTACATTGTGAGCAGCATGTGTAAGATAGTACTTTAATTTGTTCTTTACGTGAAGTTTCACTCGATTTGAACTTTCCTTATCATTCCATAAGCTCAATTTGTTGCGGAACTTGTTCAGAATGTTTTACTTCTTTGAAAAATAATGATGGTTTAGTAAAATTATTGTGTTTATGGGGATTATCCATTGTCTTGCTTTTATTTAAAACACACAACGTTTCAGAGACTGGATTCAGTCTCCTTCGTCAGGTGGGACCTATACAGTTGGGCCTCATCAATAGAGCCGGATACCTACTAGCTCTGTCAATTGGGCCCACCTGAGTAGGTTCCACCTGAAGATGGAGACGTAATCCAGTGTCCGAAACGTGTGCTTTAAATAAAAGCAAGACAATGGATAATGTGCAGAAACACAGTTATTATACAGTAGAACTTGGTTATAACGTCATCAAAGGGACCTAAAAATAGTGTCGTTATAAACGAATGTCATTGTAACCGAAATGGGCACTTCCACAGTAGCCTTATGTTAGTCAAGTAAAAATCTACCAAAAACCGAGTTAAAATGTTGCATTTTTTAGTGAAATACGTAGTTAAGTACAGACTAACGTAACTTTAAGGTGGAATTGCCCAAATGTGTAATATCAAAGACATATTACAGCGCTTTTCACTGACAATACACACAATATTTCACGAATCACTTTAACTTTCTCTTCAATGCTTAAAACTTTCCTTTTCATTGCCATGTTTTCGCTACTGCACTTCTCTGGGTTTAGGCAGGAACACTATAGGGTAAGTAGACAATGTGAGGTCCTGTTAGACGAGATTCTAGGAAAGGAATGCAGTTAACAACCTGCCGCGTCCTCTTGCACTATTCACGCAGTCCCACCCCACACCCTTGTTTTCGCATAAAACCCACGCTCCTCTTGCAGCCCGCGGTCGTATTCTTCCAGGACAGTCACGTCAGCAAGTAGAGAAAGTGAGGGTGGGCAGACACATCGAACTTTCCCATGATATCAGAGAAATTCAGGAATGAAAATGACGTTACATACGAGGTTGATGCATTTGTGCATGTCGTACTAAGCAAGGTATAAAAACAGTTGCTTTATGAGGAATTAGTGCATACCATTGAATATTTGACGCAATAGACAAGGTGTCGCAGAAACCGATGTTGCTATAACCAAGTTTTACTGTATTAATATACCATCGTGACAAACTTTCAGATCTTATTAATGATGGTTTAGATTTGTAAATTTCTCTTTTTAACTAACTAAAACTAACTCCATGGAATGTAGTACTCCCTTTGAAAGATAATAGTTGTTCAGGTAATGAAGAAATTCCACACGTCTCTTACTCTTTATTTAGTTGATGTACACATGGATATTTTCAATTTTAAGAAAAAAATGTAGTCAACTTTTTAAGAAGTTGCTTCTACTTAGTAGCTGAGTAAAAGTAAACAGATGAAATGTTGTCAGAGTGTGAGCTTCACACTGCAGTGACTGTGAGGAGTATTATATTGTGGGATTCAATGCCATGTACCCTTCTTGGCTCATTCTTCAGCCTTGAAGATGGAGGCAGTATTCCTCCAAAATTTCTGTAACCTTCTACCATGCTACAAGGTGTCACATAATGGAAAGTAATACTCTTTACTATTGGAATTGTTTAATGTGTTCAGTAATTGTAAATTAATTTTTTCATAAGTGTTGACACTAAACTTCTTGTTTTAAGACTCTAGTGGCAAAGCTCTTAGAATCATTACTAGTCTGAACTGACTTGGATTTGTAATTGGTTTATGAATTCATCACCAGATGTCTGAGTGAGTGGGGAGGCAGCAGTTTCGACACTAAAGTAATCATGTTTCTTACATCTGTGCCCTTTTGTAATAAACTAGTTGAGTGTTTCACAATCGATATAATTGACCATTTTGTTTGTTTTCAGTAACTTGTTACTGCTTCCATTATAGATTATTTGGAATATAACACTAGTCAATATACAGCGTTTACACAGTACTGTTGTTTTGTCCTTAGAAAAAGACTGTAGAATGATATAGTTTTACACGCTGTTTACATTTATGCCACTTGTCATGTATATAATTATGTTTTTTTTTGTATTATCTAATAGTTCCTCTGTGTTCCTGCGCTTATGTCATGTATGCTTTGTAAGAGATTATTTCCTACTCACTTGATACTGACAAATAAAGGTTTGTTTTTTACTTCATTTGTATGTTTTGTACATTTTAGTGTATATTTGAGTAATGCACATATAACAACTGAATTATTCACTTGATAGCAAATAATGAATTGGAAAGGCTGTGGAAGTTACCATGGTTTGATTTAAGATACTGTCATAGCATTTGCCTGCAGGAACTGCGGAATACTGTGAGAAACATCAGGAGAGTCGAGTGTCTCTGCTGAGACTCCTTGTGAACACTTCCTGAATACAAGTCAGAATAGCTGCTGATTGAGTCAACAGACTGCCACAATAATGCTTGAGACATACTATGTTTTCTTTTTTCTCTCTAGATGGGATGTAATCCCAGAGATATGTGCAAGCTAAGTGGTGGGTAACATGTGTAGGAATGTTTTAGATTAGGTGAAAGATTGTTTAAGTTCAGAGAATGTCTGAATTTTAAATAAACCCAATGTGGGAACTGCCCATTGTTAGGCAGAGCCTACAACAATATGGACAGCGACATGTTCTCTATGTGGTCCGACACAATATTATATAAGAGGAAGATGTGGCTATATATAATGGTGCCACAAGGTTCAGTCCTTTCCCCTACTCTTTTCAACTTGTACATAAATGATGCCCCGCAAACACATGGTGTTCACCTGGCCCTCTTTGCAGACGACACCTGTCTGTATGCGACAGATCACAAGGAGGGTTTTACTGTTAGAAAACTCCAGCGTGGTCTCAGCTCAATGGAGATCTGGTGTGAGCGCTGGAATATTAAAATTAATGAAGATAAGACTCATGGGGTCTACTTCTCTCGTGGTCATCGACCGCCTGAGTCTTGTCTCACTCTAAATGGACAAAATATTCCATTTATAAATAGTACAAAAATATCTAGGTGTAATCATCGATAAGAGAGTTACATGGAGATTGCACGTAGAAATGATCGAAGCCAAGGCCTTCAGAACATTCATTAGAATATATTCCCTATTCAAAACTGAGCGATTGAGTGCTAACATTAAAATGACCCTCCACAAAGCTCTTATTAGATCCGTAATGACTTATGCTAGTCCCGCCTGAGAATTCGCGGCAGACACTCATCTCATGAAATTGCAGCGCCTGCAAAACAAGGTTCTCTGCACCACTGACTATTTTCCAAGGCACACACTGGTCCGCGATTTGCACATGGAATTCAATATCCCATATGTATATGACTATATAACAGAATTATGCAGGAAACAAGCAGAAGTCATACAAAATCACGAAAATGAGAATGTTCGCAACGTCGGACAAGGCGAAGCCCGACACAGAAAGTATAAGAGGCTTAAACTTGGCGGCGGTCAGGCATACGACCGCTCAATTGACTAGACTGCCGTGGTAGCAAATACTACTACAAATAGGGCATAAGCTGCTCTACTGAGCCTGGATTGACAGAGGTCTTGTATATATTGTACAAAGAAATAGGAATTAAGATTAAATTTGTAAATACGTGTATATGTAAATACTGACAATGTACTTACTAATACGGACTATGACTGACAAATGACAGACCCGACCTCTCGTTAGAGAGGGCGCCCCAAATGGACAGGACAGTAAGTTTCATATAAGGGGGGGGCAATCTGGTCATGAAACCCAGCTGTGGCTTGACACCAAGATAGACAGACTGACTGACCATCAGTCACAATGTCACTTGGACTTGGACTATAATGGTGTGACCCCAAAATATAAGAGGCTTAAACTTGGCGGTGGTGAAGCTTATGACTGTTCAAATGACTAAGTTTTCGTTATAGCATAAGACATGTAAGTTAGGCATGATCTGCTCTGTAAAGCCTGTACTGACAGAGGACTTGTGTGTAAAGCAAAAGGAAGAGTTTTCGATATATTATACAGGGTGTTTCACGACTTTAGGGCATAACTGCAGGAGGTGATTTCCTAGGTCTTTGTGATCAAAAGAGTTCATATAAATATGTGTCCGATTTTGGACGGTTACGGAGTTATGACCCTTTTCTCATTCCTGTACACGCCCTCGTATGAACCGCGTCTGTCAGCTGGCAGGTCGCTATTTTTAGCCAGCTACAGACAGAGCGTTCTCGTTATCTCGACACTTGAGAGCTACCTAAGGCGGGGGTGGTTTGGTATGTCCGGCACGGTTAACAACCGAGCGGCAGCCTGTGTTGCGGCCGGCGGTGACATTTTCGAAAATCAGCTTTAAGCACCAGTCAATTCAAATTAAAGGTAATTTCACCAAGTTAACTTTGCATTCATACTTTAAATGTATCATGTATTATGCTGGTTTATTATTTTGTTCCGTTTGTTGTCAGTAATCGTTACCTTCTATTCTGAGTTTAAAACGGTCATAACTCTGTAACCGTCCAAAATCGGATGCATGTTTATATGAACTTTTTTGATCACGACCTAGGAAATGACCTGCAGTTATGCCCTAAAGTCGTGAAACACCCTGTAACACTTGTTGAAAGGTCGATGGTATTCATAAGAAACATACCCATCTTCTCATCAGAGAGGATGCTACATAAGGACTATTATCACAAGAGTTCAGTTGAAAAAAAAATCTGGTTGTGGGCCTTAAGGGGCCTGACGCCAAGACGAACTGACTGGTGGTAAACCGCCAGTCATAAAGTAACTCTGACTCTCTTACTCTGACTATAATGGTGCGACTCCCGTGTGGAGGCAGGGTTGAATTACCTCCACCGTGACCCTGTGAGTCATAGGAGGCGACAAAAAGTGAAGTCTCAAATCTGAGACAGTAAAATATGGTTGCGAGTACCAAGTGACTCAGACCTGAAAAAGACTGCACTGGTAAGGGTCAGCAGCATATACAAAAGGCAGACCCGTCCTCTTGTCAGAGAGGGCACCCCACAAAAACAAGACCGTAAATGCCAAATAGTAATAAATATCCGGTCATGAGCCCCAATGACTTGCTGACTGACTGACTGACCATCGGTCGCAATGTGACTTGGACTTGGACTTTAATGGTGCCTCAGCTGGAATAAGGTGTAGAAAGTGAACACCATTTAAAAAAAAGACCAAACCCTCCTTTTTATCATTAAGGAGGACCAATGAAGAGGTGGGGGGGGGGGCGAAAGGTCTAGACACTAAACCAAAATATGGCCATGGGTTCCAGCGGGGCCAGATGCCAGGAGTGATTGTGCCAGCTGATTGCTGGCAGTAAGCTTCTGCTCTGCTCTGTATAATGGTGTGGTATGGGTGTTGCAAGCAGTAATATTGTTGGTACTATACTATTAGTCTTCAATTCTTCAAACCGAAGTGTATCTACGTACTGTGCAACTATAATAATATTTACAGAACAATTCAACAAGTGGTTGTCTCTTCATATCACTACATCCCATATTGGTGACCATGACAATACAACACGAGTAATAGCGGTTGACTAGAAGACCTCCTGCAGCAGCACATAACACAGATGCAGAATTTACAAGGCGAACCTCATACCAGACGCAAACAGCAAGGTAACAGGAGACAAACCAACATGACGCCGGTATTACAAACAGCCCAGTACCAACAGAGATATCAAGAATCGCTGTGCAGCTTCCGCCATTCTGGGCCGAGAGACCAGCAGTTTGGTTCGCTCAAGCCGGCATCAATAGCGAGCAGACCAAGTTCTGCTACGTGATCTTGAATTTGGACCAATGTTACGCCTCGGAAGGACAGGACATCATCACCTCTATGGCGAAACGCGACACATACACGACGCTGGAGACCGAACTGGTGACTCGTCTGGCCCCCTCAAGAGAGCAACCCATCCATTAGTTCCTTACACTCGAGATGGGAGACCGCAAACCATCCCAGTCTGTAAGACAACTCAGAAGCCTCATTCCAGTCGTGACAAACGACTTCCTCCGCAGCATGTGGTCCAGCCGACTATCTCCTAACATAAGGGTGACTTGGACGCCGCGGGCCGCTGTGCAGACCGCATCGTCGAGGCCCCAACCCAGCCAGTGTTCACAAGCTCACAAGCGTCACGCCACTCCCCGACAGCAATGCACTTATGCAGCGGATCGGGCCTCTCTCGCCAGGTGGCAGCACTCAGCACCGAGCTGACCCACTGTCTCTCCAACTACAGGGATCCCCGCCCCAGCTTCAGGAACCGCCGCTCGGGTAGCAGATCCCCTTTCTGAGATAACGTTACACCCACCCTCTGCTGGTACCATCGCCGCTACGGAGCCTGGGCACAAATGTGTACGCAGCCCTCCTCCTACCGCCAACAAGAAAAATTATCAAAGCGGAAATCAACGGCGGCACATATCCCGGTCTCTAGAGGAACACGAACGGTATCTACGGTCTTTCCTCGACCGACTTTGGAGGTACCAAATCCTCATCAATCCGGCGAAAGGAATCATCTGAGCACCCAAGATCACCTCTCTCGGTTACAAAACCTCCGCCGAGGGTTCCCAACCGCTGGGAGAACAAATACGCTGTCTACAGAACTGCCAGCCTCCCAAAACCTCCAGTCAACTCCGCCGTTTCGTGGGCAGCTGAACTATTACAGGCAATTTCTGCCCCACGCAGCACTACACCAGACACCACTTCACGACGTCCTCTCCGGACCCAAAGTCAAGAGCTCCCGCCCCACCATTTGGACACCGGAGCTACATAAGGCCTTCGAAAAGTGCAAGGCGAGTTTGTCACTCGCCACTCTACAGGCACACCTCGACACATTCAGGCCACTTACACTCGACCCAGACTCCTCCACGTTCGCCATAGGTGCCGTGCTGCAGCAACGCGTCAAGAACGGCTGGCAGTCCCTCACCTTCTACCCCAAGAAAATCAACCCCGAGGTGAAATCAGCAGCTGCACCGCCTCCACCTTCAACCGCGCAGCCGACGTAGAACCGGCCGCGGCACCACATGCCTCACCACCACCGCCCGTCGCACCAACTACACGCTCCGGACGTAATGTACGTTTCCCTGCTCGCTTCAACAGCCGAGCAACCATCTCCTAGAGGTGGGGGGTGATGTGGAAACTGCCCACATTCAAGCAAACGTTACAGTGACAACGCAAGTATCAGTGCTTAGCAACGGCGAGTAAACAGCCGTTGCTAGGCAAAGCCTACAACAATACGGACAGCGGCGTGTTTTCTATGCAGTCTGACGCAATATTATATAAGAGGAAGATATAGTGAGTAAAGTAACTCTGACTCTGACTGTTAAGAGGAGACAGTGGTATTGGTGTTGCAAGTTGTAATATTGTAGGTACTATAATTAGTCTTCAATTCTTGAAACCGAAGTGAATCTGTGTACTGCGCGGTGATTCATATAGAACAGGCCCGACGAAATGAGCTGTAATATAAAATATACCATACAGATATTATATTAAAGTAATTTACACATATCTTATCTTGGATTGTGCCATGATCAGAGGTGTTGAAAATGCCCACCGTTTTCAAGTAGGCGCGCCTCCACCCGCGTTTGCATATTTGCCGTGTCTCGCTGCAGTGTTTCTTCAGTGACGTTCCTGATTTCAGCCGAAATGTTGTCCTTTAAATCCTGTAACGTACGCGGTTTGTTTGCATACACCCTGTATTTCAGTAAACCCCAGAGAAAAAAATCCGGGCTGGTAAGGTGGGGGGATTTTGGGGGCCACATCTGTCACTTGCCGGATCATACGCACACCATTCGACTCAGCACGGCCCACGGATTATGTCGTAATTGTGATCGATTATATGCATCACCTGCGGAATTATTAGGAAATTCAACGGGCCGGTTCTATACGATTCACCCTGTATAATAATATTTACGGAACAAATCAACAAATGGTTCTCTCTTCATACGACGACATCTCATACCAATTACTTGCAATGAAATGAATTTAACTTGTTGAATATTAAAGTAATTTGCTTATTTTAAAAAGTTCTAAGTATAGTAGTTTGGCATACCAGACTTACGAGAAAATTTTTCAAGAATTTGTACCATTTTGTAAAATAAATTGCACGAATTTTGTGCAAATGTTGCAATCTCGGAGTACTGAAAAGCTCTGTAAATTAAACATTTTAAAAACGTTATGAAGTTTGAAACGTTTTAAAATCTTAACAAATTTTGAGAGTATCAATTAGTAGATATAAGATTGCTTATATCTGCAAAGGCCATTGATCTCTACGTGTATTATGCACCATAAAGAGGTTTTGATCTATTCATGAGCACAGTGTTGCATGGACAGTGTAGATACTTCAGCAGTGTAAATAGCTCTAAACTCCATAAAGGAAGCAACATATGTTTTGGGATGAGGAAAGAGATGGAGGGGTTGTGATNTAACTAGTTCTTATTGCAGTTTTTAATAGACAGTTACAGCCGAGCACAACAAATGAGCTCGATGCATGTAACTTTCAGGAATTATAAGATGCTTTTGCAATTGGTGAATACTCGTAAATGCTAAAATGTTGACTTTCCCGAGACATTAAGAAATCATGCGATCTGCGGTTATTGAAAAAGTGAAGCAGCAACTGCATTATAGTCTCAGGAAAAACGTCACGAAGCTTCCACAAGTTACTCTTAAGAAAGACAACTTGTAAAATAACAAAGAATGGAGTCATGCTGCAAACGGAAGTATACTGTAAGAAATATTACTTCTAAGCAAATCAACACTACTATTATTCCCAACAAAATACGTCATATTGATAAAACTAGATAATACTGTACGCACATAGCACATTTACGTATTTCAGTTCCGTGACTTAATTCCACCAATTGCTCCAAAATCACTCTCACCTATCGTCTGGGGCTGGTACAATAGGCCAGAAGTGGCCGCAGTACAGGGGACTTAGTCCCACCCCACTAGCAATAATACATCAGGCACATGTACTCAGTGGCATCTACTGGGAACAGTTGCATTTTACACCTAAGTATGGACACAAGAGGCAGGATGAAAATAAAGTGTAGGGTCATAATCGCGATAATGATGATGTAACGCTAAACGCGTGTGACTGGCCTGATGCTACTAGGTCCTTCCCCTGGTACGACTTTTCGATACGTTGCGCCTTTCCTACCATAGTTTAACTAATCCGGACGAAGCTCTGCCGGTTGCAAGGGAGTATACACAGGCACTCGGAGATTTAGGTGTTGAGCGATAAAATATTTTCACCTCCTTTCTTACTCAAATGTCCACGAAACATAATATTTTCATCACCTCTTCTAACCAAGTGCTTTCCAAAAACAATTTCAGGGCTTTTTTGCTCAGACACACGATGTCGTGGGAACGTTTCTTCACAAACACTTGTTCTCCAAAGATCATTTTTCATCACCTGAATTCACGGAGCAAGCGGTGCCATTTTTTGGGTAGCAACACGTTAGTCTTTCGTCCTGTCAAGCGTTCAAACTTCTTTGGCTCTTTGGTAACTAACAGTAAGAAGTTCCAACTGCCTCTCCCACGTGAACCACGTGAAAGATTTTAACCCGGGAGATGGCAAATGTATCGTCTGTCGATTCGTTGTGAAACTTAAAATAATCGAAGCTATTTCCGAAGGCCGTTAGGTACTTACATAATCGTTCGTCAGTCAGGTATGACGTATTTCCTACAACCAAAACTGCTTTAATAGTTTTAATTTTGTGTTTCCGTTTGCAATTGACAGGCTGGGAGCTGTTAAGGAAGCGAAGCAGTTGTCAGTATGTTGGATTTATTTACCATATTTAGTAAAGGTGGCATCGTTCTATGGTGCTTCCAGAGCACTAGCCAGATATTTACTCCATCAGTTAATGCGTTAATACGAAGTGTTATACTGCAAGTAAGTAACAATATGGTGAAGTGAGAGGTTATGGTTAGACTTCTATTTAGTACATTCATTCTTTTATTAATCCTGTAGATCATTTTCTTTCTATTTCTTTTATGTTGTTAGGCAATTTGTTGTAAAGGATACAGCCAGCTACTGAAGGATTACTATTATAAAGTTCTAAGTTGTGCCCATATATATGATAGTCTTTATTATTTCTTGTGTTATATGTATGTATTTGTTCATTCACTGCAGTTACAATTTTTCTTCACATATAGGATTGTTTCTTGTATATATAGCGAGTGTACTGTTAGTATCTTTAGATTTCTAAAGCTATCCCTGCATGATTCCAGATGTTTTAGCCCTGCAATGTATCTTACTGCCCTTTTTTGGAGTACAAAAATTCTTCTAGTGAGGGTCTTAACACTATGTCCCCATACTATTATTCCATAAGATAGATGAGGATAGATCAAACCGTAATACAACATTCTTCTTTCATTTAAATCGAGTATTTTAGATAGCCTCTTAATTATAAACAGGTTACGGCTAATTCTGCTGCAGGATTTTTCAGTATGTAATTCCCAGCTCAAGGTACTATCTATTACTACCCCCAGGAAATTTGTGCTTTTTACATTTGATATTTCCCTGTTCTTTATTAGGATTTTTAGATTACTTTCCTGCCTGTATTGTTTTGTCTGGAAGAGAATATAGTGAGTTTTAGATGGATTTATAAATAAATTATTTGTCTCAAAGTATTGCTCTACCACTCCTGTATTATTTGAAGTCGTGTTTTGGAGCTCATTCATATCTTGCCCTACATTCAGTACTGATGTATCATCTGCATACATTATTGATCTGCCTTGTGTTAGATGTGGGATATCATTTATATACAAGATGAAGAGTAATGGGCCAAGGACTGATCCGTGGGGGACTCTGTATCTCACTGGGAGGCTACTTGACAGATATTCTTTCATACAATTGCCTTCTGTGTGTGTTACTTTTACGTGCTGAGTTCTGTTTCTGAGATAGGATTTGATTAGCTTATGTGGTATACCACGGACTCTATATTTGTATAATTTATCCATGAGAATGTTATGTTGAATACAGTCAAAGGCTTTTGATGAGTCTAATAGTACACAGTTGCATTTTATTTTAACATTCAAACTTTCTGTTATGTTTTCAATAATTGTGGCAATTGCATCGTTAGTAGATTTATTTTTCCTAAATCCAAACTGAGATTTATTAAGTATATTGTGTTTTTCTAAAAATGCTATTAATTGGTTAGCTATTACTGTTTCCAGAACTTTTGAAAGGGCAGGTACAAGAGTAATTGGACGATAGTTATTTGCATCTTCTTTTATCCCGTTTTTTGTAGATTGGTTTGACTACTGATTTTTTTTTAGTTTAGAAGGGAAGGTGCCTTCTCTGATTGATGCATTGACCAATTTTAAGAGTGGCTTTATTATGTAAGGTGTACATTTTTTTAGCAGATATGGTGAGATGTCATCAAGACCTGCTGATTTTTTATTCTTCATGCCCTCAATTACTTTAATCAATTCAGTCTCTGTTATTTTAATAGGACAAGTGAATCTTTTATGCTTATATTTTTATTACAAGTCGTGGATGTAATAAATTTTTGTCAAGTATAAGTTTATTTACAGTTTCTATGAAGGTTTTATTAAATATGTTACATGTTCCACTCGGACTTGAGACTATTTCATTTCCATCTTGTAAGTGTATATTACTAATCAGAGTATTTTTTGGTGAACCTCTTTCTCTATTAAATTCCCACAATATTTTTGGAATGTTATTTGATCTGGTTATAATATTCTGAATGTAGTTTGCTTTTGCATTTTTTAATATTACACTATATTCCTTTTTATATGCTTTATAGATGTCTCTCTGTTCCTGAGTCTTACTTTGCATATAAAGGTTGTACAAATCCTTTAGTTTTGTTCTTGCTATTATAGTATCTTTTTTTATCCAGGGGCTTTTTGAAGTACTTATGGTATTTCTCTTCAGTTTGGGACAGGCTACATTAAAATAGTAGTTAAAAATGCTATAAAAAGAGTCCCATTTTTTCTACCTCATTTTCCTGGACACTTCAATCCAAGTTTCAGTTTGTATTGAAGAGCATAGATGTATTATATTGGCTTCTGATATATTCCTGACCTCTTTGTAACATCTTGTTTCTTGTGGTACAGACCTATTAATAGTTATACATTGTGCAAAATGATCTGAAAGTAGGCTGTTTATTACTTCAATATGATAGTATTTAGCCGGTATATTAGTTATGATTTGGTCTATAGTTGTAGCCATACTTTCAGTTACTCGTGTAGGTGTATTTATTGTCGCAGTCAGATTATAAGCTTTTGTAACATCTAATAATTTTTTGTGACTACTTCCACCTTACATGTTCTTGTCAAACACGTACTTACATATGGTTACTGTGTGTGAGTGATTATATATATACCCATTGTATCTGATAGCATATCACAAATTTAAATTTACATTGTTTCAGGAAAGAACTGGAAATAACAGTTTTGAGCACAATGCATTGACATTAAAATACAAGCTTGATAATGAATTCGAGCTTGTATTTGTTGTTGCCTATCAAAAAATTCTACAGTTGTCGTACGTTGACAAATTCCTGAATGATATCCATCTGGAATTCAGAGACAAGTACAAAACAGATTTGCATGAAGGACTCTATTTTCAGGTAAGTGGTGTTACAATTTATAGTGCAGTAATCTGGTTCGTATAAAGACCCATTTTTACCCAGTGCAAAGTGACCAGAGTATGACGCTGAAGGTGGAGGTAATACCTTCTCTCACCATTGTTGTCATAGTGTGATGCTTTATTAGGCCCTAAGACAAATTTATTTTGACTCAGTAAAGAAGTAGAACTAGAATTTATTTAAATTCTATAAATGCTGTATTGGAGAAAGCTAAGAGTGTAGTTTAATACAATTGCAGTAATTAATATTATTATATTTAATATTTATAAAATAATAANCAGGCAAGGATTCCCAAACAGATGAGAACCTTTGAGGAATCATCAAAATCAAAGAAAACTGTGGCATCTATGATTGAGAGAAAGAATGATGAGAAAGAAAATAAGAAAACAGGTGAGTCAAGATAATTGAATTTTATTTTGAGGTTTGCTTGAGATCAGTAGAATCCTACAAGTGTTTATCTGATTAGTAAACAAAAAATATGGTAAGGTTCGTACATTACAGGTTGTCAGGAGTAGGTGTATAGGGATTAATTAGGATTTGAGGTTGTTTTGGCAGTGGTTGTAACGAGTTTTGTCTTCTGGGGAGTGACATTGTTTAGTCTGTTGAAGAGTCATCTGAGCTCTGCTTGCTGCCTCTTTCATGCCGGTTTCTTGCTTGGATTACTCATCAACCATAAAGATGGAGGCAACATGATCCACTGAAATGCCACTTGCAAATCACGAGACTACACATTGTTATGTCCCAGAAAATTCAGCTTTTACTGTGGCACAACATACCTTTAGTTGTGGCAGCAATATTTTTATGGTATTTGAGAAATTCAGGCTTTGTCATAGTTAAGGCTGATCGATTCTCAGAGCTCACTTCTATCTTGAAAAGTTACATGTTTTCCAATTTTCTAATTTCAGTGGACAATTTATTGTTTAATTTAGTTACTCTGTTCACTTCACTTTTCTTATTAACATTGGTTTCTGAAAAACTAAACATGAAGAATCCTATCTTGGGTATGTACACACATTTTGATTACAAATATCTTTCTTTGTCTCAACTTGTTTATATTTATTTTTATATAACATACCATTCCACTTGAATAAATACAAGCCATTGGAACTGCATTAGATCCTTAAAAAGTTTCTTGTCTGAAGTACAAGTACGTCTCCCTTTGTCACTGATTATTTGAGGAACTTGAGAGTCTCATTCTTGCACATCACAGTGATCATTCTGGGCATACTAGACTTGTTGATTCGTGAGACTTATGTTTGGAGACATCCATAAATCCGTAAATCCTCATTTTGTTTACTAATTTAATAATTCTCATGGTTTACAGGGAAAAATAAGAAGAAGGGTGTTGGTTTTGTTAACGGTGATGGCATCACTACCAGTAAGTACTAACTAATTGGGAAGGGCTCTGATGATGTATTACAGTTAGTATACTAGTTTTCTGGACTCTGTCCTTCTGATACTCTAAATTAGAACAAAGTATTTCTGAAGCAGGATATTCAGTTGGAGGGCATGTACTGTCAAGTCCATTAGAAAGACCTACAAGAAGAGACTGTGATTAGCTCTGTGTAGTGGATCGAACTGAGCAGGGACTCTGCATTTGCGAATAGGAGCAGATGCAGCTTCAGAAGTGTTGTGCTCTATTGTATTTTAGAATATTAGACAATGATCAGACTCTAGAAAGCGAGTAACACTGAGTAATTACTAACTATACTGATATTGTTAACAGTTTTCAGGAGATCTGTTTCAATGGGAAAGTGGTAGAGGTGCTTACACATATCAGTGTGACTTCTCACATTCCCCTTCCTTTAATTTTCATCATTTCAGCATTCAGTACTGAACATCATGATTAAATGTGTAGCACTCCTGTTTCATATATGAGATGTACGTCAAGAGTAAACAACTGCCTTAAGCTAACTAAATGATACAGAAAGGCAGCCTCCCTTACTTGCTGGCTGTGTGTATTTCACATTGCCCTGGGAAGTACAGTACAGAACCAGTTATGCAACTAAGGCTAAAAAGTAAAATCTATCCCTGTAACAGGCAATGGAGGTCTGTACGGTTGTGAAATATTGAGGTCCCCACGTTTTCTAGCTAATTGGCTCACAGATGGTGATGAGTTTATCAGTCTTGCGCACCAGCTGTCCTTTACCCAAGGAAGATCCCTGGTACTCATTTCTGTTGGAGGTTGAGTCAACCCCAGGGCAATAGTGTGGCTTGAGGATTGATTCAGTTTAGATCAAAGACCTCATCAGGAATTGGACCCATGACCCTTGGGCTTGTGGCATAGTGCTTCAACCAACTACTCTATGGTGTGCCCCTAAGAGAAAAAAGTATTTCTTTGATAGTGTCATGGCTTTTACAGCTTACTGGAAAATAGGTGCCAAAAAGGTAACGGACTATTTTAAGAAATAATGTGACTTGCTTTACAGGTATTTTATGTCAAAACTTTTTTTTATTTGAATTGCCACATACTTTTACAGAGGAGTCTAGGATCAGCCAGGGGGTTAAACAAATTGTTAATATGTTCTCTTCTAACTCTGTTCTTTATGTGATTTTTTTGTAGTGAAGAATGCAGAACCTCCAAAGATTGAGACGCAACCATCCTCTAATGGAGAACTGGATGAGGAGACTTTACAACAGAATCGTCTCCGCCTTGCTCAGAGGATGGCAGCTGGTGGGAAAAGTCCCAAGTCCAGAGCAGAGAAGTAAGTCTAGTCATGGGAAGTACACACAGTTCTATGTGTCTTTATATTTTGAATTTTGTTTGATTTGAAGCTGATAATTGAATTACCCAAATTGTTGTCACTTTGTCAGAAGTCTTGCTTTGAGTAACTTAATATCTGGTTTCTTCAAACTAAAGTGTAGCTTCTGTGAAGATAATTTGGAATAAAATTTGTTATCCAATGTATTAACACCAGTAAACATGCCAACATATCTGGGCTGTAAACATGGGCTGTGGTAGTAGTGGTGTTTAGCTTTGTATTTATACTACTGGAGGGTTAGTGATTTTGTTTGTATTAATATAATAGTTTGTTTTACATGAAGTGTGTGAAGGGGTAGATGCCGTTAAATTAGCCCTATTTACTTTGGGGCACTCATGGCATTGGCACACCAGCAGATGGATCCATGCCACAGATAAGCCCCTGTCACTGCTTGTGGAACCATTGCAATGCCGCTGCCACCACCACCACCACCACCACCACCACCACCACCACCACTTTCATGGGGAGGCCAAAGGGTTTCATTTGAACAGCCCTCATAAAGACAGACAGTTTTATAGGCTACACTGAAAGCCATAGTTCAGTTGTGGGCCAGTTTTTCCCTGTCCTGAGGTCATGTTTTATAAGCTTCAGAGGGTCAGTGATTGTTGCCAGTGTGATGCTTGCATTGGCTATCACAGTGTTTCTGTTACAGAAAGAGCCCAAAGCCCTTGAAGGAAGGAAAGAAACCACGTGTATGGGATCTGGGTGGCAACACAAAGGATCTTGCCAATCTGGAGTACACCAAGGACAAGCCCACAGATGGAATTCCTGGGCGAGATGAGGTACAACCTGACACCAAGGTAAGTCACTGGCATGTGATCAGTATGATGCTTACTAGGTACACTTTCATGGTACTTAGTTAAAAAGCTCATCTTTGATCAGCCTTTCAGCTGTTTCCATATTATTATTTGTAGTGTTTCACTGCATAATTCACATTTTCTGACATTCTGGAATCAAAACTTTCTTGCATAATTCCGTGAGGATGTATGTAAATGACCTTTCATGGAAAATGTTACTATCTTCTTGATTGTTGCATAATTCACACATTTTCTAACATTTTGGTATCAAAAACTTCTTGAATAATTTGCATGAGAATGTATGTAAATGACCTTTCATGGAAAATGTATACAACCTTCTTGATATCTATGTAAAAGAAACACATTCTCTGAAAAAGTGATCCTACCTTAAGATGATAATTTCTGAATATGGTTTTGTTAATATGTTAAATAGGGATTTCACTGCGTCTAGGTACAGATTCTTCTGTGCACATATCAAAGCCCTTGTCTGTGCCAAAATTTAAGCATCAGAATATGTAAAACATCAGGCTGTAACTTCCATGTGATCATCGTCATATTTTCCAGTATTAGGCTCAAGCCTGGAAATGGGTGTCATGAAACAGAATCCTTCTGTCATTTCAGAGATCTCCTAAAACTACTTTTTCATTTTGCCTGATATTTTAAGACCTATTTCTGGAATCTGTCAGAACTCGTGTGTCAGCATGCTCTTTCCAGTATTCTGTATTCTCTGGATTATAGTTTTGCAATTTTGTAGTGCATACAGTTCATCAGTAGGTCCATTTTGCAGACTTTTGTTTGTTCTGTTGGTTGTAGATTATTGGCACAATGGCAGGTGGAATTCGCGACCTGGAGGTGGAGAGTGACACTGAAGATGAAATGGAATATGAGGAAGAAGTACTTGCAGAACCACGCAAGCAGGGCACAGTGACTGCTGGAAAGTCAAAGGGTGTATTCTCCTTGTTGAGGTAATATAATTATGTGGTGATAACTCTGCCCAGTTCTAGAGTAAAATGGTAAAGCTATCCCTGTAACAGGCTGTGGAAGCCCATGGGGTTGTGAGACATCAGGGCTGTCATATTTTCTAGACAACCAGCTCACAGATGCACGCCTAGAGTAGCAGTTCTTAAAAGAACATATGAAGTGGCCAGATATATAAACAGAAAATACTGCTGCGACATTCGTGAAACATTGTCATGTTAAAGTGCTACTCAAGAGAGGGCAAAGAAGGAAATGTTGAAGTCCAATCATTGCTTATAAAAGTCATTGCTTACACAATTCATTGTGTGTTTCAGATTCCACTGGAATATTTTGTATAATATGGTTTTTGCAGTGGCAACAACACATAGTGTTTAGTGACTTGGCATTCCTCTACAGATTTTGAAGACTGACTTAGTTAGTCAAAGCCTGTCCTATTTCTTCAGATTAAGGATGAAGCACATATGTTTTTATTTTCTTTGCAAATCAGAATCTAGTTACATGTCTTTTATGCAGTTATTTGCCATGGACAGACATTTGTCATTAAATTGGTATGTGTGTGTATGTGTGTGCAGGGGTCTGGTTGGCAGCAAGAATCTGACACATGAGGACATGCAACCTGTGCTTGAGAAGCTGAAAGACCATCTGATTGCCAAGAATGTGGCAGCAGACATTGCTCATAAGCTCTGTGACTCTGTGGCAACCAAATTGGAGGGAAAAGTGAGTACATTGCTGCAGAGGTATACTGCCAGTGTTTAAATTATAGAAGCTCTCCTTGTGATAGGCTGTGGAGGCCTAGTAAATAGGAGAATAGTAAAATGGAAAGGATGTTAAAGAAGTGATTGTTGCATATGCAGGGTGCAAAGACTGAGGTACACACAGGAAAACATCAGGATGGCTGGTGCCTCACCCGTGCCACTACCTTTTAATACTCTGACATGCTTTAGGGAATTATATTTCTTAAGTGGTACCTTTCCACAGGTGCTGGGAACATTCGACACTGTGGCAAAAACGGTCAAAACCACTTTGACAGAGGCTCTAGTGCAGATTCTTTCACCAAAGAGACGTGTAGATATCTTGCGAGATGCCATGGAAGCCAAGAAACAGGGCCGACCTTATGTCATGACTTTCTGTGGGGTAAATGGTGTGGGAAAATCTACCAATCTTGCAAAGGTAAGCCGGATATTTTATTTCATTTAATAATTTCTGTTGGATTGAGAATTTTTGGTTCTAAAATTGTACAGTGATCTAAATAAGTAAAGACTTGATTAAGATTGAAATATGTAGTAACTCAAGAAGAAATGATATCTGAAGATGTGTAATGTTTTAGTAAGAAAGGCAGTTGGACGCAAGAGGTAATATTCCTTAGAAGAGCTAGTGGACTCCAAAGCTGTTTTAGAGGGCATGGAGGAGAAACTCTCCTTAATGAAGGATGAATCCCAGCTGCTGTAATTGTTGCAATAGGAATTTCCTTTTTAGACAGGCAGATGTTGGTGTTTTGGCAAATAAATATCATGAGACTGGAATCCATATATCATTGGTTTTCAAACATCTTATACCACCACTCACTGCATCCTCAGAATATAGGTGTAATATGTTTTTCTTTATTACTAGTGGGGTGGGACTAAGTCCTTTGTACTGTGGCCACTTCTGGCCTATTGTACCAGCCCCAGATGGTAGGTGAAGGTGATTGTGGAGCAATTGGTGGAATGAAGATTGGCAGGGGAAACTGAAGTACTTGGAGAAAACCTGCCCCAGTGCCACTTTGTCCACCACTGTGGCGTGGCCCTAGGTATAATATGTTAGATTACGTTGTAATCATTAAGAAAAAATTGAAATGTTCAGCTAAATTGTTATTTACTTTTATATTGGGTTCTTCCTTTCTTTTTTATGGAATTTCCTACACCATTCCTATTTGACCCATTATAATTTTTTTGTGTATAGTCCTGAATAGGCCAAATGAATGGAGATTACTCTCTTCTGGGATGTGACACTGTATAGTCTGGTAGGTCATTGGCTGTGTTTCAAAGGAACATGTTTCTTCTGCGATGAAGATGGAAGTAGCGCATTCCTGTGAAATGTTAGTGATGATCTACGAGACTACATGGCATCACATCCCAGAAGACTGTGATCTTTATAATCAGTGCTATACTCATAAGATTGTGAAATCTGGCAAAAGAAAAATGTAGATCCCACATAACACTGGTGCTTGTGAGAAATGTGCATACTGTGATATCTCATTGCTGACATCAGCTTGCTGGTTATGTAATGATTGATGTAAAAGGAGTATGTGTTATGGAATCACACAAACTTTATTTTCTCAATCATAGTCTGTTCTGCTGTTAAATTACATCTTGAAATTTGCTATTTTCTGGTGCAAATAATGCACAAAGGTTAATCATTGTTAAACTGTAGATAAAATGTAGTATAGTGTTTGGTTTTCAAGTGGATCCACTTTCCAACTGAATTTATTAAAATTTATTATATGTGTGTGTGTGTGTGTGTGTGAGTCCTGATAGTGCAGTCAGTATAGCGACTGGCTACGGGCAGGACAACTGAGGAGTTGGAGTTCGAGTCCCAGTACAGTCAAGAATTTATTTTCTCCATGTTGTCCAGACTGACTGGGGTCCACCCAACCTCCTATCCAATGGGTACCAGTCACCCTTTCCCCGGGAAGGGTAAAGTGGCCGGGGCGTGAATGTGACCACTCATGTCCAGCTAGTGCCGAGATGAAGAAAAAGTGGATCTATACTTCCACTCCCACATATGCCTTAATGGTCTAGTGCTTAATTAGTTCCACCGGGACAACTTTACCTTTTACCTATATGTATAAATTAAATCATATGTTAAAATGAAATAATAATGAAGGCTGCACCATAGCTCAAGCGGTTAGTCTCTGGTTTCCCACCATGGCGGCCTGGGTTCGATCCTGGGTCTGGTCAAGTGGGATTTGTGGTTGTCAGAGTGGCGCTGGAGCGGGTTTTCTCCGAGTACTTCGGTTTCCCCTGCCAATCTTAATTCCACCAAATTCTCCATCATCATAATCATCTGAGGCAGGCTACAATAGGCCATTCAATGGCCGCCGTGCCGAGTGGACCCAGTTCTACTCCACCCCCCACTCAGCGAATTAAAAAGGAAAAATAATAATGATATGTTTCTCAGCACATTTCATTTTAAGCTCAGTAAATCCCATGTAAGTCTTGATTTAGTGTTGTTCTGTAATTATGTTGAGTGTAGATATACTTGATTTTTAGATGGGGAATTGAGATAGTAGAATTTAGTATTTTTGGTTATTACCTTTGTTATTTATTTTGTTGAACTTTAGACTTAGTTCTTTTGCAGTTATATACCTGTTGCTTACTTTCAGGCATTATAGAACATGACTCCACATGCCATGAGTCATGCCTTACTGGTATAATCATTGTTTCTGAAATCACATTGAATAATCCGAATAATGCATATTAATGTAATACATCATGCACTAAATTATAAATTGCAGATCTGTTTCTGGCTCATCGAAAACAACTTGCGTGTGCTCATCGCAGCGTGTGACACATTTCGAGCTGGGGCTGTGGAACAGCTGCGTACACACACACGTCATCTAAACGCCCTTCACCCTTCAGACAAACATGGTGGTCAGCAGATGGTACAGCTGTATGAGAAGGGATATGGTAAGTTAGAGAATTGCATGAGATTTGTGGTTGTCATGGCAGTGAATATGAAGATTACTGATGCAGGTAGAGGCACAGTTTTGCCATATATTTTACATAATCAAGAATTCAAAACTGTTTTTAGGTAAGGATGCAGCTGGGATTGCTATGGAAGCCATCAACTTTGCACGTGACCTCAAGATTAATGTGGTGCTGGTCGACACAGCTGGGCGCATGCAGGACAATGAGCCCCTCATGAGGGCCCTTGCAAAGGTGAAATATTTCTCTGAATAGTACTGTCAAACATCCCCCTATAATATTCCTTGACTTACTATGTTCTGTTATTTAATGTTTAACATAATAGAATATCTCTGTGTTATGATTTTGCTGTTTAAGAGTTTCCTCAGTTTAGTGTTGTAGCAGTAGTTGCAACAAACAACACTGTTTACTTGTTTTACAGCGCACAGTGGGCGCTTCAGCTGTGTATTCACAGGACATGGTTGCTTTTACATATTTTTTTGTTAAATGTTTATTTTTTTCAGGTTGTAATGAGCAAAAGAAAGTACATCCAACTCGCATAAATGCATATTAACAAAGTATTGTGTGATTGTGATGTTGCAGTTGATCATAGTGAATGAGCCTGATTTGGTGCTGTTTGTTGGGGAAGCACTTGTAGGCAATGAGGCTGTGGATCAGCTTGTTAAATTCAACCAGGCCATGGCTGATTATTCCTTGTCTGCCAACCCTCATCTCATTGATGGCATAGTTCTTACCAAGTTTGACACCATTGATGATAAGGTGTGTGAGAGTGCATTAATTTTGAGAGATATATCTTGCAAGGAGACCAGTAAATTTCATCTGTCAACGTTACTCCATGGCTGATAGTTATGAGGGAGATTCAGCAAATAGGACACAAATGGAATTAAAACAGCTGTAATGGATGTAACAAGTTTTCTGCTAGTATCAGCAGGTAGCAGCACGGTGTGGGTTCATGACAGTATGGGTAGCAGGCATGCATGCACATGCTCAGAGGCTGGTATCAATAGGAAACTGTGCTTGAGGGTGTACTACAGAAGAGCAGCGTTTTGTTGTGCATTTTTTTTGGTCGGAAGGACTTGATGCAATGGATATTCATAAAGAAATGTTCCTGTTTATAGTGGGCAGTGTTTATTGCATAAAGCGGTTCACAGCTGCTTTGAGAAATTCTCTTAAGGACATTCAAAAGTAACAGATGCTGCTCGACCAGGTGCAGAAGTGGCTGAGACAACAATCAAAAGACTTCTGTGCTGTGGGTTTCGACATACTGGTAAAGCAGCAGGACAAGTGTATCAATGTTGGAGGTTATGTTAAGATAAAAATGTTTTTTTTCCACGTTTGAATATCACGTTTTACATTTTATATCCATTTGTGACCTATTTACTGACTTCCTTGTAGGAAAGGCAGCAAGCCATGCAGAGTGCATTTGTAGAGGAAAGTCTGTGCCCTGGTACAGCTACCAAATATGCTCCCTGTATGCTGTAAATGTTCTAAGATAAAGCTGACAATGTAGTTAATCAGTTACTATACTATGAGGACATATGAGAGAGTGGAGTTATAGGTCCACACATTCTTCATCATTGTACTATATGGAGGAGGGTGGTCAGCTTCATCCTGCTCCCCCTCCCTCCCCTGAAAAGAGTCCTTTGTATTTGCTGGAGAGAAGGCTGGTATGAGGCAGGGTCAATCCAGACGTTGGTGAGAATAATCTCTGCTCCTGTTAGAATCAAACTTTTGATTCTTTGGTCATCCAGCTCGTGGCCTTATGCCCTATGCTGACTGTGTTATCCGTGTTCATGCCTTTACCATACAAGAATGGTAACTTAATTCATCAGTTTTCTCTTTTCATTTATAAGTTTCTGATTGTATGGATATCATCCAGTCATCTGTTTGGTTTTTGGTAGATCTTTGGTAATGGTGTTCTTTTGTGTTTGAGGTTCTCATGGTGGTGAGTATGGAGAGTACTGTCTTCTGTAATCTGGTAGATTGTTACCAAAGTTTTAGAGCAACCACTTCTAACTTGAAGCAGGTTCCTGTGTTAATGATCTACCAGAATACATGGTGTCACTCTCCAGATGACAATAATCTTCATAATGTTTAGACTTGAAAGCATGTTCAGGAGTATGAATACATGAAATCGTTATTGCATAAATGATGTTTGAAGTGGGATCAAATAGTGTGTTGACAAATACTAGCCTGAAGTGAAGATTACTAGCACAAAGAAGTTGTTTGTTATCTTATACCTCTCTAAGCTCTTTGCTTCCAAACACTTTTGAATTCACTGATGTTCCCAACAGGTTGGAGCTGCCATCTCTATGACATACATCACAGGCCAGCCTATTGTGTTCGTGGGTACAGGGCAGACCTACACAGATCTCAAGTCTCTAAATGCCAAGGCTGTGGTTCATGCACTGATGAAGTGAAGAGGCAGTTCAGTCATTCAAGCAGGATGATGGTACAAAATTCTAAATTTATTAGCTGGTCATTTTATTAGTATGGCATAAAATCACAATATTTTAATTCTTTCTTTGTGAATGTATTTTAACTGTGTATACAGAGTATTCCAGCATGTTACTGATTGTGACAGTACAAATTTATTCCTATCCAACTAATCTGAAGCAGTGTATTTTTTTAGCAGAAATGTTTCTTCTGTTCATAATCTCTTTGATTTAAAAATATCATACTCGTCAAACTTTCTAAGATCTGATTACTTTTTACCTAAATTGAAATATATCACATATCATGTAAATTACTGTATCTTCTAGAGTCCAAGATGCAGTTTCTCTCATGGAAAATGCTACCAAAAGTCTGAGTGCATGTTATAGTCCACAAATGTAGAAGGCAGTGGAAATGACAAAATATATTCTGAAAGGAGATACTCGTAGGAATGTTACTCCACTCCACCATGGCAGCATGTTTTCATTGAATTATAATTTGCAAGAACTGAAATGTTGCAGACCATGTCATTGCTATGGGTGGGTTTGGATTTCATTAGTGCTGTACTGTAACCATTATTGGTAACATTATTTCATGTTTTTAATGCAATGGGCTCAAGGCACGAATGGATTTCATGTGTTATAGGGTTTAAATTGTGGCAAACAACATGGAAAGAATGCAAAAGGAAGATATTTTAGTAACATTATACAGATGCATCTTAGAGTCCAAAAATAAGGCAATTTAATACGAACATCTAAACAGTAGAAATGCTTTCTTTCTCAATATCATTCAGAATGTGAGATCTGCTTTTTACATTTGCTGCTAATGATACTAGGAAGGCATATTCACTCTAGTCTGTCCCTGAAAGACAGTTTCTAATACAGTTTTAATATCTTGAATTATTGATATGTGAGATGATAATCTTAATTATTTCCATGTGAGTCATATGTGACTAATAGCCCAACTCTCTTGATTGCCACGCTTCTTGCTTGATCACTTCATTTGGATGTTGTTGACCCTGTCCATGGATAGCCAACCATCCATCATTATAATCATCATTATGGTGGAGGTATTTGAGATTTCAGGTTCCTACAGCAGTTACTGTGAAGATTACTGTCTTCTGAGATGTAGTGTCATAGATGTTTACAGTTATTTCAGAGGAATATGCTGCCCCATCTGCAGATATGGGACTGGATGCTGATTGATCATGAAGATGGAGGTAGCATAATCCTCTGAAATGTTAGTACACACTGAACAGTTTTCCAGAAGACAACAGTCTTCATGGTGGAAGTTTTTTGTGGGTTAGTGAAGTATCTACTACTTTAACAGCATTGATCATTGTTTATATTACTTCATATGGTGTACATATTGTATCCCTGAATTGAATAAAAAATCTCCCAGTTTATTCATTTCCTTGTTACTGTATGGCAGTTTTATTAAACATGGAGAACACTACATAATGAGGAACTTCAAGATTCCTTCAATTCCTTCTACAGTCACCAAGGCATTTAAATATAAGACAAAGTTATAAGGTCTTAGGAATGTATCTGGATGGGGCAAAAAGAGGATTCTGGTAGTCAAATGTGTTCCTTTGGAATTCTATGTAGGACCCCTTTGGGACAGCTTGTTGAATAGTGTTGTTGTTAACACATTTGTGCAATTCATTTCTCTAGTCTTTTATTTAAATATTTTGTAGAAATTAGTTCTAGCAGATATATAAGGTACCAGGGTTTCATGGTGGTGAAGATTTATAATCGTTGATTATGATACCAAGTAGTCCACTTGGTGGGTACCAGCATTTCAGAACAACACTGGATCCATCTTCAGGGTAGAAGCACAGAGTTCTAAAATCATGTTTGTGGCCAGATGTAAATGAATTTGTATGTATTCTTAATGGATAAACAGTGGCTATTCATATATAATTAGTATTATGGAAACACAAAAGAGATGATCTCTTTTGGTGGAAGGCAGCAGTAAGCCATACAGGAACATTTTAATAATATGCATAAACTAATCTGTTCATAGATGCATTAGTTCTTATTATATTGGTGTACTGTTATTCAGTAAGACAATATATTGGTTTCAGTATATAAAAAAAATTATTTTTTGTGAAGAATGTATTATGTTTCCACAGTGATAGCCTTATAATAGCAAGTTTCAAGAAGGATTGTAAAGTGATTATAGAAGCATCAGTCTAGAAGTATAACTTCCATATGTTTCTAATTAAGCTGGGGTTTTGAGTCCTCATTTTTCTTGAACTGAGCAAATTCTGTCTGAGGTGTCTTGCAAATTTTTGAAACAAGCTTATTTTTATGGAGTTGTTAGCCCCACGCCCAATCCCCAAGCTGGAGGCCCACCCATTGTCGGCTGTCCGCGACTGCTTATTCAATATATTTGCAGCTACCCTGCATATCTGGAAGGTGTCTCCTCCATCTGCAACCTGAGGATGTGCCATGCCATGGTGACAAGGGACCCACCTAACTTGTACTCTTCTCCAAGTATAATTAGAATGATCAAGTCAAGGAGGATGAGATGGGCTGGGCATGTAGCACAAGTAGGGAGAGGAGGAATGTATTGTGGGTTTTTTTTGTCATTACTTCAATGAGAACCCACTTCTTCGGAACAGTTTTGTAGGTCCTGAAAAGGACCGTTGGTTGCTGAGATGCTTGACCGGTGAGGTAGCGCGGTGCACGCCGGTAGGAAGGGATGTTGGTTGCGGTGGATGTTGACTGGCCGCGGTGTGGCCATTGCTGGAGGTTGCTTGATCGCTGTGTGGCAGCTGCTGGTGGAAGTCTGGTCATCGAGCGCGGTCGCTGGAGTGGAGAGGCAGTAGCTACGCCAGGTGCCCAGTGAGTCGGGCATCACCACCGGCTAGCCGAGGCAGCTCAGTGAGTCGGGCATGCTGTCAGAGTGGCGAGGCGGCCATTCCTGGCGCAGCGCAGTGCCGAAGACTCCGAAGACTGAGCGCTGAGGACGAAGTGTGCTGGCTGATGTTGACTGATCATAGACTGATCGTTGACTGATGCTGCTGGGTTGGAGCTGCTCCTTTTTATACCAAGTGTGATGGCGGAGCGAAAATTTGCTGAGCGGTGATTGGCTAGCACGCGTAATGATGTGGATGCGGGCTAGCACAAGCGCTGTATAAATGCGAACATTGGAGGCAATTTGATTGGTTAGCATGCGTGATGGTGAAAAGTGAGTTGAATAGTGAGCGTTGTAGAAATAGCGTGGTATGTGGGATGTTCCCGCAGTATGTAGGATATTGGTGGGAAAGCCAGAAGGAAGGAGACCACTGGGAAGATCAAGACATAGGTGGGTGGACAAAATTAAAATGGATCTTAGTCAGGATGGGATGGTATAAATTGGATTGATCTGGGTCATGATTGAGGTCAGTGGAGGGCTCTTGTGAACATGGTAATGAACCTTCGGGTTCCATAAAATGCTGGAAAGTTTTGGAGTAGCTGCACAATTGGCAGCTTCTCAAGAAGGGCTCAGTTCCAAGAGTGAGTGAGCAACTCTGTTGGTTCTGATTGTGTCATTCTTAAATCTGCAGCCCAGTAGACTTCTAATTTTGCATTATGACTGGCCACATATGACCCTAATCTCTGTCAGAATGGTCAAAACAGTAGATCAACTGTTACACTTCAAAGTAGTAGTGTTCTCAGCATTTAAACCAACAATTCAACTACGAGCCAAAGTCAATTTTATGCATATCCAGACTAGTTCCTTCCCATCATATTAAGAATTGAATTGAATTGAATTTATTTACATTCTATAAATCCTAAGTAGGTTAGTACCTTTGGATACAGAACAAGTCAAAAGGTTACATACATAAGTACAGACAATTTTAGCTTAAAAATTAATATAACTTAATTTTACATCATTCTCTATTTACATTGAAGTATTCATCTAAAGAGTAGAAGGAATGAGCATGTAGATAATTCTTTAACTCTGATTTAAACTTTTTAATATCATTGCCCAAGTTTTTAATACTTTGTGGCAGATTGTTGAACACTTTT